CGCCTGAGAACTAGACGAGGTCGACGATCCTTTAGTCATGGTAAGAGCTGACCGTGAAAGTAGAAGTATTGGAAGAAGGGCGTGTATTCTGATTTTGTAAATGAAGCCGTGCATGCTCAGCGTATATAGTCTTGTTCAGGATCAATCCGGTTAGCCTACCCCGCTACAAGAAAGCATCCATCGTCATAACAAGTGCGGCCCGCAGCGGCGGGAGCCAGTCAACAGACGGTCCGAGCGGCTACGTAACCATCAGAGATCTGCTCACCATGCATGTAAGCAGCCACAGTTGATGCTCCGGACGTCTGAAATCAGACTTCAACGTGGAACGATAGAAACTGTTCAGTAGAACGACCAACATTTGTATACATGATTCCATGGCAGCTGCATCGTTCTATGTACACAGCTTGCCAAAGACCTGCGCTTGCCGTCCTGCAACACACATTGTCTCTGCTCGGGCTGCACTTAGCTTACGTTCATTGGTCCTGTACGTGCAGTGAGACTCTGCATCTTCATCAATACTGTGCTACAAGCTGAGAGACTGTTATTGGCCAGAGATAAGATCCCGAAGGCTCCATGCAAGGCGAAGACGCATTCGTTGGCACGTCGATGTCAGATGTTACGTCTACGTTCCACATAGCTGGCAGTAAGTGCCTAGTCAAAGATAGTGTTTGCCGGCTTAGAGGATATGGAAACGGATCGGAATCTGGCCTGAACCGCCAATAGAACCGCCGGAACGCGTAGGCTTTGAGTCATTACCAAGATGAAGTGGCACAGTCATATCGACGGGATCAACTACAACCAGGATAAGAAACAAGACGCAGCGTAGCGACGGGAGAGTGCTGACAGCCAGCATCCCTGTCAGCACTCTGACTGATCTTCCGCGGAGAACGATGACCATCAGCATCCATGTCAGCTGTGCAGCTGGTGACAGTCAGCATCAAGGTCAGGAACAGCGCGAATTCACGTGATGTTTGGCGGGAACCGGCAGAATTTTGATGAGGCGAGCAAGGCGGTAAGGCAATGCGAGCTAGCCTGACAAAGCACAAGAACCATGTTGAGTTGATTTTCCGAACTGAGTTGAACTAATCATAGGTCTTAAGGGCTGATCCCAAGTAGGGCCCTGGGATAGGGCTGATCCCAAGTAGGGCCCTGGGATAGATTTTTAACTTATATGTCTATAAATCTAATATCTACTATATTAGCACGCGCACCTAAGCGCCTCCGCCAGCTCTTCGCACTGCAACTTGCTGCGGCAGTACACCACGCCCTTCTCTCCCCTGTTGAGCAGTAGCTGCTGCTGTCTTCGGCACATCGCCAGCGCCGTCTCCTGCGCCTTACCACGCTCGTACCACAACACGTAGTACTGCGTGTTCGGTTAGACGGTGCTCGCCCAGATGTATGTTGCGCACGGGAGCAGCATGCTCATTGCCAGCTCGCCCTCTCTTACCAGCGGGAGCGTTGCTGTCAGCAGCACGATTAGACACGGCAGCAGCCGTAGATTCTTCAGCAGCGCCAGCTTCGGCCGCCAGTCACTCGACGTGATGACGAGATGACACTCGTCCACCACCACCCACCGCAGCAAGCCCTTGCCGCTGAGCATGTTTACGTACCCTAAGAAGTTGCCGTTACTCGTAGTGTTGCCTGCGGCATCTGCGCTGACTATAACAACTGTGGCTGGGCTGCTCTCGCCGTGCTTCCACTCCCTATAGTCGATGCTGCACTTCTGCATCCGGTCTACTAGATCCTCAATGAGCGCTCGGTACGGCACTACAACTACCGTCACGCCAGCGTCATCTATGCAAGCCGGCACGCTGAACAGCAAGCTCTTGCCTCCACCAGTCGGCAGCACGACGATAAGCGGCGTCTATCCATTAATCACTGCGTGCAGCGCCAGCTCCTGCTCTGCGGATCGAAACCCAACGTCCTGCTGACCAAGCTCCTGCTGCATTGCCTTGCGGACTGCCTTCTCTTTCTTGTCTCTCTGCATCGACACGGCTTCCCTGCCCTGACTGTCGTCGGCGTTGTCATCATCGCCATTGCTGTTATCGCTACTGCGCCCCCGTTTCTTCGCGCTTCTGACCGGATTGATGTTGCCTGTCCGAGTCCCCTTCGACGCTGTCTGCTTCCCATCCAGCCCCAAGAAGCAGTGCCACATCACGCTGAGCGGCCGGAACGCTTCGATCGAGCGCACGCTAAGATACTTGACAATGTTGATCGGCACGCTGTAGTTGCCTACCCCCATCACCGTCGTCCTTGCGTTCTGCAGCTCCATCACGTCCTCCCCGTCCTCGTCTACCTCAGCCTCGTCCACCTCGCCAACCTCGTCTTGATAGCCCTTGCTGAACCGCTCGCCTACGACAACTCGACTAATGCCGACAGCCGCGTGCCGGTAGTCGAGCGTGTGCAGCGGCACTCCAAGCCTCTTGCCAGTCTCTCGCCTCAGCGCTCGCGTCAGTTGATTGGTCCCCTACGGACCCTGCTCGTCCGCCCATACGTAGTTACTGAAGCTACCGCCGAGCACCTACATAGTGAGATACTCACAGAACGGCTTCAAGTACGCCAAATACAGCACTATTACCTGCCCTAGCCGCGGCGGCAAGAAGCGCGGCACCACCTTCGGCTTGTCCCACTGCGACTGCGACTTGTAATAACGGACGACCGTCATTACCTGCCCGTCTATAATGAAGATGTTGCGGTCCTGCAGCAGCCTGTTGCGGTGTCGCATCGTCGTGATCTCTAACCCTCTGCCTGGCTGTCCGGACGTCATGTGCACGCAGACTATTAGCAGCATCAAGAAGCGGTCCACACAACGCAAGTATCACTTGACCTACTTTAGGTTCCACTACCCGTTGCTTGACTGCAGTCTGCGGCCCTGCTCTGTCTACTCAGCCTGCGTCAGCATCCACTCTAGCTTATCCTTGAGACTGTTGTCACGGTGCTACACAAAAGACACGCCCCGCCGCTCAAACGTGACGTCGTCGACGAGCGTGTCCAACTTGACGGCAAACCACTCTTCCGCCCTCGTCACCTAGAACAGCTCCTCCTACAGTATTTGCTCTGCCTTAGACACTATGTCCTGCGCCATCTTGCAGAAGCGGCTGATGTAGATCCGACGGCCGTGCAAGTAGAAGATCTTCTTGTCCTTTGACTAGTACGCGTTGCCTGAGTTACCAGCTGCTAGCGCAATGTACTTGCCGTAAGCCAGGAAGCTAAGTACCTCGCTCATCGGGCTGTACGAGCCGTCGGCCAGATACTTCTCTCTGTGCTCTAAGAAGCGCTCGCGGTCCTCATCAGTCTACTTGTCACAGCACGCAGACGGGAGCAGCTTCTCCACGCTAAGCACGCGCATATAGTAGACTACGCCTGCTAGCATGTATGAGTAGTTCTTCGCCGTGCGTAAGCGGTTCGTGTTGCTGTCAATGCCCAGTACAGCAAGAAAGTGAATAAGTCTGCTGCTGAACGGCTTGTCACCCGTTATCGTGAAGAAGAATGATGTAAGCAAGTTCAGCAGCACTTCAAGCTGAGCGTCGCGCTGGGCGCTGCGCTGCACTTCATCATCGGCGTCAGCATCGCGGTCCAACATCTCCCACAGTGTTACTACAAGCTCCTTTTGCTCAACTGTCCAGCGGAACAGCTCTCGCGCGTCTTTCATCAAGTCCTTCTCTCTTCGGCTGCTACTGGGGACGTTCGCTGGTCGGCTGCCGTCAGCATTAGAGAAGTTATCGTCGTCCCCTTCCTCTTCCTCTTCCTCTTCCTCTCCCTCTTCTTCCAAGCCATCCTCATCGCCCTCATCATCTTCGTCGCTGCCCTCGTTGCCGCCTTCCTGCGCCGCCATCCTCACCTCTGCGTCAGCCACGAAGCGCAGAGCGTAGCAGACGAATTTGACCATGTAGCCAGCGTAGCAGGCCTAACTCTCTGGGTTCTGCAATCGAGCTATGGGCCGCTGATCAATCTCCTATCGCTTCGCGCTCCTCAGCCACCGCCTCGTCTCTCGCGCAAGCGTTGACAGCCCCTTGACGCTTCTCTCCACCAGCAGCTCCGTTAGCTTCGCTGCCCGCCGCAGCTTCTCCTCGCCTTGATTGGGCAGCCGGGTCTGATGCGCAAGATGCATTAGATTGCGGTCAGCAAAGTGCTCTAGCCAGCCAGTCCCAACGTTGACAGCCACGATTCTGAGCACAGACACGGCGTTGATTTCAGCAGCAGGCTGAAGATACACCACGCGCAAGCGTAAGCATAAGCGTTGTAGGCGAAAATTCGATGTCTGGCGAAATCATGCAATCATAATTCTCTGTCAACGCCTCGCCATTCGTTCTTATGCTTACTTGTCTGCTTCGGACTGGCATTCCACACCCTTGGTTTTACACACTTTTGGTATTCCATAGCGGACTATTCTCTGAGGGAGTAGTGGAGACGCATATGCAGACGCGATGAATCGCCTGACATGCCACCGACGTGGGGTGCCTAAGAGACATGACACCTCTGTTGTAAGTACAATTGTTTTTTCAAGCTCTTCAGGCCTATCCTAGCGAATGTCTAGATCACATCTGCAAACCTGATACAGCGTGTTTCTATCTAGTACCAGTGTAGTGCGCTGAATCCAATGAACGTGGAGCCTAACAGCACTAGTCTTTACAGAATCTCAATAAAGTGCGCTTTCCGTCGACGGCTCCAGTTGCAGCAGCATTCGGATATCGGGCTTGCATTGTGTTACATGTGTTTTTGGTTTTGCAGCCAATCGTCTGTGTCATCGAATCAGATGGTTATCCAATTGAAAGAACAGTGCGCCTTTTTTTTTTAAAGACTGCTGTGTCGAGCTATTGTACTACTAGGGTTAATATTGGCCTTTGTGTGTCAAGATTGTAGGCAAGGATGTATACATACCTTGACAAGAAGCACGGCGTTTCCAAGGAACTTTGAAAAGGACTCACGGGGTATCTGCGTCAGAAAGGAACGTTCCGAGCTTACAGAGATCTGTGGAAACGCCTCTAATGCTTCGTATAGAAGGCCGTAAGCGTCAGGTACTTACATTTATGCTTACGTTATCAACATGAGTATCGGCATGAGTGTCAGCATGAGTATCGGCATGATAAGTCATACTGTTGACATACTAAAAGAGGGTGTCTGACACTGCGAGAGGCTCATAGCCGTTATTGTCCGTACAGTTTATAATCGGCAAGATGGCTTCTGCTAGTGTGGCTGGATCCAATGCCATGAGCTTCCGTCCGTGCGGTCTAGCGAACCAGAGGGGGGTTTGTTACTCGAACGCTGTCCTACAATGTCTGGCAAGGCTTATCTGTCTGCACAGCCTACAGTCTCAGCTTAGGGAAGCCGGACACGAAAGAGCTGATACATGGTATGCAGAGGTAGACATCACAGATCCAACTGCAGTAGAGAAACGACTAGGAAGAGCCTTAGGTCGAATCAACCCGGCTAAAGACTGCCTCCATGTGATACGAGAGATGCAGAACAATCAAACAGTCCTTGTTTATCCTTATTATTTCCAGGCTTCTCTGGCCGCCAAAGGAAGAAAGAGGGGAAGGCAATTTGTATCTGGTGGGGGTGCGTATCCGTTTTGTTGGTTTCGATTTGCTCTTGACGGCCTATGTAAAGGTGTTAGGTTCAAAGGACAGTCTGAAACAGCTTCGCACGATGTGGTTGATAGCATGTTCAAAGTCGACAGCTTGTTTGTCTGCACCTGCAGAGAGTGCTTCCGGACTGGAGTAAAACAGGACAAAAGTGCAACGGACTGGGGATTACGGCTTGACCCCAAAGGAAAAGGGTTACCAATACGCGCAGCACCACCCACAAGCATCCAAAAGCTAGTGGAAGCGCGTCAAAGAAGTATAGAAAGCACCAAAGAGCAGTGCAAATCCTGCAGGAAGGTTACGAAGCAGTCCCGTACCTGGAACGGCCTAAGGCTAGCACCTAGAATACTGTGTATCGAGATCAAGACTTATGAGCGACTTAAGAGGGATGGCAAAGAAGCGGAATACAAGTTTCTCTTCTCAAATATCATGCTTGACGGACATATTACGATTCCTATGGGGAAGGACGCATCTATGAATTATATGCTCGACTCTGTTGTGAAGCTTGAGGGAAGAGAGCACGAGCATGCGGTAGCCTATGTGCAATCTGAGGGCGATACGTGGTGGAAATGCAGCGATGAAGACATCACAGAGTCAACGCTCGCAGAAGCCCAACAGGGATGTGAAGATGAGCAGGTGTCCTTGCTCTACTACAGGAGGAAAGATGGTTGAGTAGATGTAGAGAGAATGGTAGATAGTGAGGAAGCCTGGCTCGAAAAGATGTAGAACAAAAGACAAGCAGTAAGAGGAGCAGGAGACCTACCTCCACGCGACCGCCACGATACGGGCCTCATTCGTGCTCAATTCGGAGTAAGGTCTGTCCCTAAGCGGCGGAAAAACTAAGCTCGGCCCCATAGAGTTCGGCCACCCCAGCACAAATCGAACCTCACTATTCGGAGTAGTATCTTTCAACAAAAAGAATTACAATTGCCACTCTGTACACATAGACTGAAGCGTGAGTGCTGCTGCTACTGCAGCTGCCTTTTTAGCTTCATCTTCTCCTTGTCGTGATGCCTGCTCAGCTTGTAATGCTGCTGCCCGATCTATAGCAGCCTTAATCGCCTCAACGTTGCTATAGCGCTCATTTGGGTTAACTTGAACACGCTTTCTGAAGCGAGTAGCAGTAGCACTATCTAGTTGATATAAAAGGGACAAGACTTGTCAACATCTGGATTGCCTCACGCAAGCTACCTATGCGCGCCTCCTTCTGGCCCCATGAGAACAAAATTGTGGAAGTATTGCTTTGTGCCACCGATGCTGACAAACTTTCGTCCTGTTAGAACAGTGTAGGCTATACCTTGCTATTGTTAGAGTTAAATTGCAGATAAAGCCAGGATGTTTACGAAGTCGCCGAGCTTACTGTTGATCTGAGTAGTGTACCTGAACAAAAGTTCAGGTCGTTTCGAAAAGGAGCAAATCAGATATATTGTGAGGTCCATTTCCAGGTTGAGGTATCTGCGACGTCAACCCTTGAGTACACTATATCTATTGCAGGGTCTTGATATGGATAAATTACTGCGAGCTACACGTAGGAACTTCAAAAGGATAGAGCCCTAGACATGAGCTGTAATCGGAAGGCTACGCAGTAGCCTAAACATTTCGATCGGCCATATATCACGTATCTTTGAAGGAAGAACGCATTTCCTGCAGTTTTTTAAACTGTGCAGTTTTTGGCTTCGTCTTTCTTACCGTCTTTAATGGTCGTCGTAGACCTGCTCTGCACGTCGGCCAACGCCTTAGCCATCTCCTCGCCCACACGCGCCTGCGCGGCCTCGCCTTTAGTCGGGACAAGCTGCGGACCGCTGTCTAACGTGACCCTGACCTCGAAGTACTGTGAGCCGTGCCGGCTGCTGAACAGTCTTCGGCGTTGTACACGCTTGCAGCCGTTTAGCAGCTGAGCCTGTAAAGCCTCTGCCCGGGTCCAGCTGCGGCGTCTGCGCTTCTTGCCGGCTGACCACTCGTGAACCCAATGCGGTTCCCTGCTCCGCGCGATGTACTGGCATCTCGCTCGTCCGAGTCGACACAGCAAACCGTCGTCGTACACTGGCAGCTGGGGTATTGGGTCAATGCCGTTCCTTGGAATCTTCAACTTACTGGGGTACTGCGGCAAGTTTTGCCACTGGCGGACGGCATTACCGACAGCTCGCGCGCTCTTCAATGACTTCTTGTGTTGTTCCTGCAAGTGGCCCTTGATCTGATCTGGTCATACTGCGTATCGGCACTCTCTACACACCGCAACCTGGTACTCGGCCAAGTGCTCAAACCATCGATTCTCAACACCTCCCGCTGAAGTTTTGGTGGCTTCGTTCTTGCTGGATTCAACGCTGCATTCGCTGTTCGTATTGCTGCATGATCAAGGTTCGCGTCTGTTTGATATTATCTGAATCTATCAACCTCATGGGTTTTTCATGGTACTTACGGCTCTGGAACCGCTCTCACGTTGCTCTTCCCTGTTAAGCCGTCGTATCCATCAGCAAGATTGTGAAATATTGTTAGTAGCTTGTTCATTCTTATTCCCCAGAATTCAACTTCCTGTTCGAGCCATGCACGGGTATCTACCCTCTCTCGGTGCGTCTCAGCTATTACCAGCTGTGGAGAGATTATTTCTCTTAACACCCCGTTATGTACTGTCAAAAGTACCGCTATGCCCTTCTTTATTGCCATGATGCAGCTACAATCCTCTTCAAGCTCAGATCCGTCATCATATGCTCCCCTGCATATCTGTTGTGGGTACCTACAGGAAGCGCATTGACCGCTTCCCCTCCACTTCGGCTGCTCTACAGTGCAAAGGAAGCGCAACATCTTTCGAGTCGACGCAGACTCTTCTCGAAGCCTACAATTTCTTAGTTCGTGATCGTATACTGACTCGCGCCACTCATACGTCAAGCATAGCGAGCAAGGGACCCCACTCCAAAACTCCAATTGACCCCGCAGTCGATGCAGTATTTGAGGGTGCTTGCCCCCAGCCCACAGTTGCTTATCCGCTTTGTCTCGCTGGGCGAGATGATCGCGTACAAGTTTTGTGTTGACGGAACGGTCAATTGGCTCAGGGGTGCTCGTACGGCGCGCCACCGTAGAGAGCTGCCCAAAGACCCTTGTAGCCGTAGCGGACTTATCGCCCCCGACTTCTTCTGTAGAGCACAGCCAGTTGTGTACATCCTTCACCTGATCGCCTGGAGCCCGCTTTTTCAATTCGGTGATATCGTTCAGCCGATTACGACTAGGATCTCCCATCATTGCGGATAGACCGTCCAGAACAGCGGATTCGCAGGCACACTCTGGCATGAGACTTGGATCGGACGCGGGAAGGGAAAGGTTTATGGACATTTCGCATTGTCCAGAGCAAAAGCTCCCTCCACTATCCCGAAAGCTCATCATGTTCCTCTGCAGGTCGTTTCTCGTCTGCCGAACCTGGTCGGCACCCGGTACTCGACACTGTGCGATCATGTGGTGCCCTGAGCACCAGTACCCGCGGATATGGCACAACGAACAACGCTCGCTCCAGATTCTGATCTGGCTTTTCAAGGTCTTCAAATCGATGGGGGCAGAAACGCGTTCTTCCCTCATACGTGCGCTTTCGGAGAGTAAATATAACAGGCCGCGTTCGCCATCTCTGCTGGCAGCCTGATGCGGAACGCTATGGCTAATTGCGTCTGATGGATGGCCACAGTTTCCTGTCCGAGGTTCTTTTGCTTGAGGAATGAGGCGTTATCGCCTATCGTCACAAGCTATTCTTTTTCTCTTCGCCTGTGCGTCTAGGAGACCTTGAACACCCTTCTGGCGCTCTGGAGGTAATGCAGCTGTGCTAGAGTGCCTTCGCTGTGGGGAACGTGTGGGACTTTGTACAACCGATGTTGCGGGTAGGTCGTCCTTGGCAGGACTGCTATCCTCGTCCGATGGTCGGATAGCTGGCGAATGTGGTGCCACTTTGAGAGAATGCGTTCTTCCGGTGCTACGATATTTCTGGCGTTTTCCATCGTTCGAGTATGTAGCCTCCAATGGCTTGGTCGCATTGTTCCCCGTATTGTTCCCCGTACATCGCTTGCGCTTTTTGGTCGAGGATGTTTCGGGATCTGTCGGCAGGAAAGTAGGTGTGATCCCATCTGCAAAGCTGGCTTGTGCAGGACTGTGTTGAAGTGTTGCTGGTGAGGACTGTTGCTGGAGCCCATGTTCGCCAGTTGAGACATCCGAGCTGAAGCCTTTGGTCGGCTGTTGCAAAAACTCATGTCATCGGATGGAGACCCACTCATATATACGCAACAGCGATGGCTGCAAGTGTGTTGGGAATGCGCCGTCCAGACCGTAAGTATTTGCCCGCTGCAAAGGCCGGTGGCCGCTTTGCCACGCATATGCAACGTTGATGTCTGCATTCGAGCTTTTGTCGTCGTACCTGTTGAACCGCTGATGCACTTACTTCACATGCTTTTCCGTGATCGCGATGGCCAGCTGCCTGCATAATTGAGCGTTGACGACCCATCCCCACACCTGCGAGCTGGCTCTTTGGAGGACTGCTGTAAGCTTGCGGGATTCCTAGGGTCGATCCGGGGCCTGATCAGAGCAGAACAGAAGCGTGCTGCTGTGCTTTGACAGGTCGTCCCGTCTCTCTCGTCGCAACATCCTGACAAAGGGCCAGATATAAACGAGATGATAATAAACAACTCGACTCGCCCGTGCCGGTAGGTAGCGGGCAACGTAGGACTCACGATTGGTCGATCTTTTCGCTTTGTGGTGTCGGGTGAGGTAGAAAACATGGCCGTTGTACATATAAAAGCCTCTAGCGCTCGTTGGTCCGTTCTCGCATTCTAGGCCGAAGAGTTCAGAGACTCGGGGGAACTGCCCCCCACTCGTGTAGCACATCCCCGCCACTGCCTCCTGAAAAGCCTCCATCTTTTTAAGATAGAGGAAGATCGCTTTCCAATTCCAGCGGCCTTCCCTTAACAGCCCGTTCCGGCGAGTGGTGCAAGTCCGGGTAGACAGCTCCAGATAGGCCTCCGACAGATGATTGTCAGGATGATGAACAAATGAGAACCCCTGGCTGGTGTTGCCAATCTCATCCTTCACCTGACTAAGATCTACGGGCGGAAGAACTCCGAACATCAGCTCTCGGCAGAGGTCCTCCGCTTCATCCACGAAGACCTCGCTGAAGCGGCGGAAACTGTCCATAGTGACCTGTTTGGTGCCATGTGAGATAGTCTGGCCATCATCGCTCCAACGGAAGAGAAACGATGGAGCATCTGTGCGCCCAATCACTCGACCAAAGTCTCGAAGACTCTGGAACTCTGCGAGAGGATGCATGGCACCTTCTACCATGTACTTGAGTCGCACGACGTTCAATTGCTCCAGCTGCCCGTATCTTGGCCGTTGTTCTAAGCCTATGTGTGGGTACGCCCTGTAGGGCAAAGCGTACTCCAAGAAGAGCAGTCGCTGGACGTAAATAAGCTGCGACAGGATAGGAGTAAATGATTTTGCTGTCCGAAATGTTTCGCCAGCGCCTTGCAGCGCGAGGATGCCACTGTAGAACACGAGCGTACTTGGGCTTGGTTGCCCGTCTTTGAACTCTTCCGTCATGAATGTAATGCACAATTCGAAAAGGAGCTCTAGCAGCTCGGCAGCTGCAGCATGTATCGCACTAGCTTTGTCGCTCAAGACAGGCTCCCGTAAGGACGAGGCGGTACTGCTGTCGCTTTGCAAAGCATCCTCATCCTCTCCTGATATATCTGCCACGTCCGATCCGACGTCCTGCTCCTCGTCTTGATCTGTCTCGTCCTGTTCGGTTGTAGCTTCTTCGTCAGCCTCTCCATCGTCAGTCTTTTCATTTGCTTCGCTTCCACGCTGGCTGTCGTCAGTCGCACTCCTGTCGCTGCTCCTTCTCTGTTGATCACCTGCAAGGTCCGACCAGAGGTCTAGCCCAATACAATGGTCCCATAGACGATGATCCCATATCGAGCGCAAGCGAGTCAATTGCTTCCGACTGAATTGGAGGCCAGGTAGCATCGAGCGCTTGCTCGACTCCATGCGCCATGCGCGGAATACGAATGCAAGAAAGCACTTCAGCCACCGGCGATAATACTTTCTAGTTTGCTCTCGAGCAAGAAACTTAAAGGGCTTCGGAAAGCAGGGCGATGGGCTCGTGGTGATCAGCCAGCACAAGAGCGGACGGCCGGTGCGGCGCATGGTCTCTTCACATCTATCAAGCACGATCTGGACAGCTTGTGTTAAATGCCATATCTTCTGCTCATCTCCAGCGGGGCTTATGATGTTCGAATCATGCTCTGATTGTCCGATGGTCCGGTCGACACCATCGTGCACTACGGGCAACTCAGCAAGGCCCAGCAACACATCGCGGCGAACGCCCTGGTACGTGATGGGCCAGCGAGTGCGCTCCATCCAGGGGCCCGTGTTCTGCAGCGTCTGAGTTCCCATATAAGTCAGCGCGGTGCGCTGTTGCTCCTCACGTCGAGCCTGCTCGCGCTCTCGCACCAGTTTGAGATGTTCGTCAGCACATGATAGGCTTAGCTGACGTAGCGTGCTTCCGTTCGTTGATACTGTCCAGTATTTGCGCGTCGGGCCGTCCCCCCATGTCTGGAGGAACACATCGTCGTACAAGCCGTCGGTCCTCGGTTTGGAAGCCCGTTCGCGCAGATGGAGCTTGCTGAGATGGCTAGTCAATTGTTTGAGACTGATGGTATAGAACTCGCACTGGCGGCAAGCGAAGCCTTCATGAACGTTGAGCTCAGGATGCGGTGTTGATGCGTGCGGGCGGAGAGAGATACTGCTTGGGTCTTTGAACGCACACGGGTGCTGACGAAGATACTGCGTGAGCCCCTTGCGCAGCTCCTTAGGAACGCCGTGCTTCCTGTCTAGGTGGGTGGTGACCTGCGAACTTGCTGTGGCAAGTGCGTATTTGCACTTGCGACATATCAGTGCTTGACTCTCGCCGTCCACGTATAGATCGCAGCGCGCCAGAATGGTTGGTGTGGAGTCACGGTTCATGATGACGGGGAATAGCAACACGGCAACACGGCAACACGGCGAGCGAGCAAAGGATACGGGACTCGCAACACAGGACAACAGGAGATGAGCTGTAGCAGGAGGAGCGATGTCATGCTATATAAAGGAGTTCTTGTCAGTGTAGGGGCAGTGTGACGAACGCGTGCACGGCCATTTTTCGGAAATTTGACAAAGGTTATCGGGAGCACGGACGGAGAATGGGAAGTTTGATCAAAGTTCCAACAAGCATTAGCCCAGTACCGTGGTACACGCCGTGACGCACGGCCCCGCGTGCCGCCCGCCCAACCACCCTCAGTCACTTTTCAGAAATGAGGTCATTGAGCCACGTACAATAGCTATTATTGCGAGATTCTTTGGTAGAGTAAAGTGTTGATATGCAAAACAGTGTACAGCAAAGTATTAATAGTTCTGAGTAGCGGTGCGGCCGCTGCGGGTGGTGTGGGTGCGGGCTGGCGGAGGAGGACTTGGAGCAACAGCACCGCGACGAGGCGCCACAACACAACGCTTCTTGGCTGCAGGCGTCTTAGGAGTAACTGAAGCCTTGCGCTTGCCTTTGTTAGGCAATTGGGAGGCTTTTTGAGCGTCGCGAGCTTCTTTATCTTTCTGCCTTTGCAGTTTGCGAACGTTGATTGCTGCGCGCTCTTCTGCGCGCTCTCTGTCACGAACAACTTTTGCTGCAGCAGCTGCCTCGCGCTTCTGTTCTTTGATCTTATCCTTGTATAGCTTATTGGCAGCCTTGAGCTCCTTCACTGAGGCCTTTTCAAGCTCCTCTGCATGCGCAGTCTCCTTCAGAATCCGCTCTCTGTGGCGGGCTTCCTTGAACGATCAAGGCGACCACCAGCGAGCTCCTCCCCAGTCATCTAACGTTGGCTTGACTAAATTAAGTGCTTTGCTCTTCTTATTCTGCTTCTTCTTAATCGCGAGAGACTCACTGAGCCCGTCGTTCTCGTTGCGAAGTAGCTCATTATTGACTGCAAGTGTGTGGACTTTCTGACGGAGGGCGCGCGCCTCCTCTGAGCTTTTATCCGCCACAACAGTCTAATTCGCTCATCAAACTACGTGCTGTTATACCTGATGGAGGCGGCGGAGGAGTCGACTGATCAGCAGCTCCTTCAGGAAAGCGCTTGAGTACTTTGTCGCGATTGAGCGGGTGAAGGCCTGTCGTGTCAAAGGCTTTGAGTATATTGTCTTTGGTGAATGATTGTAGCCAAGCGGGCCAAAACAATGAGAAGAAGCTACCTTTCTTCACTGGCAACAAGCCCTTAGAGCGCTGAGTCCGCTCTGTCAATTGCTGTGAGTATGCTGTCGATAGCGGCTTGAAGAGGACGACGTTGGCTGGCTGGAGCGTGTGAGTACTGTGGGGAGGAAAGATAGCTACAAGTATCTTGTTTTGATAACAGTAGGTTAGAAACGAGCGGCTTATATGGCTGCCGTGGCCGTCAATGATAAGTAACCTCCACCTTCGACGTGCGGAGGCCTTTGTTTCTTCGTCAAAGACCTGTTGCAGCCATCCAAGGCCAGCGTCGTCGTTGCTCCAGCCGCTCTGCGTGACCGTGACAAAGACTCGATGCTTGGATTGCTTGATATCTCGCACCCATGCGTCCTGGACGTTGCCGCTATCACTCGCCATGATTAGGCCTGGAGGAAGAGCGACTCTAGAAGCGCTCACGCACGCTATAAGCGTCACCCATTCTCTGTTGCCGTCCTCCAGAGCCTGGCGGAAGCGCTTGTTGCCCCAGCTTGTCCTGCTGAACACTCGTTTCTGCCTGCCTATCCTGCCAATCATGAAGCCCTTCTCATCCATATTGTACGTTTGCTCTGGCTGTATGTTCTTCTCGGCTATTTTGAGCTCTAGCATGTCAAAGTACAAGCTGTACTTGCTATGAGAATCAGCGGCGTGACGTTCAGAGGCCATGGCGGAGGTCCATCGTGGAGTGAGCGCGTCGTGATGCTTGGTGACGAATCGGGTAACCCACATCTTTCCAACGTCGAATCCGCAGATAACAGAGGCAAAGTTTTGAATCATATCGCGCGTAGGAGGAAGGTGCTCTCTACAGAGTTGATCTATGTAATCAACGAGCTCCAGCTCTTCGTGGTTAGTGAGGTTTTGTTGTTCTACCTTCTGTTGCATAGAACCCTGAACGCCTCGGTGACGCCGCGACAAAGTTGAACGATCAACACCATGCGTATCTGCAATCTTTTGGTAGCAAAGTTCACCACGCGCATTAGCTGCGCGTGCATCTCCAAGCGCGTCTTCTAAAGTCATTGCGTTGTTGAGTTATGGTGTTGAGGATAATTCGTTGTTTTGATGATCGCGTGCGGCACGCGGGGTCGTGCGTCACGGCGTGTACCACGGTACTACCGTGCACGTGCACCCAACGAGCCAAGTCAGCCAACGAGCCACTACAATATAGAGCTGCGATTTCAAAAATGAGGCTATAGAGCCACCCACAAAAGCTATTATCGCGAGATTTCTTGGTGTATTGATAAATAGATGTATGCGAAACTTTCTAGCTATTCAGCTAATCTTTTAGGTGCTTGTATTGATCGTGTGCGCGTCTTCTGGGGCGGCTTCTGGGGTGCCGTGGGTGCAGCGTCTGCCTGACTTGCTGCACCCACAACACGGCGACGCTTTGGTGGATTTTTTGTAGCACTGTGTGAGGCTTTTCGCTTACGCTTATTAAGTGTATCGTGAGCTTTTTGTGCGGTTGCAGCATCGCGTTGCTGCTTTTTGAGTGCTCGTTGAGCAGCGAGCTCTTGAGCCTGTGCTTTTTTGGCCTCACGACGCTCCTCAGCAGCACGTTGTCGAGCCACCTTTGCTTCAAGAGCAAGGTGCTTTTGAAGTAACTTTGAAGCCTCTCTTGCCTCTTTATCGAGAGCTTTTTGGAGTTGTAGCTGCTCAGCGTCATCCTGTTTTACACGCTCACGATAGCGAGCTTCGCGGAGCTTTCTTGGAGACCAGAGGACTGCACCACCATGGTACTCCTCGCGCTGTTGAAGGTCCATAGTCTTGCTGTTATTGGTGCGCTTTCCTCTTACGTTAAGCGCTTCTTGTAGGCCTTGGTTCTCGTGGTGGAGTAGCTCGTTTTGTACTTGTAGAGAGATCAACGAATCCTCCAGCTGTTTGGCTTCAACTTTCGACTTATCAGGCACCGCAGCATCGTAGATTTTTTGCAGCTCTCTCCAGCTATCGCCGTCACCATGGTGCTCAAGTTGTGAAGCCGTAGCTTGTCGTGAAGTGCGATTGTTGAAGCGTTTTAGTACAACGTCTCCGTCCATCGGCCACACGCCTGTAGCTTGAAAACTCTTCTCTATAAGCTCTGGCCGCATTGTAGAGCTCCACGCTGGCCAGAAGTTCTCAAAGAAGTCGCGTTTTGTAATCCTTGTGATGCCTTGCGATTGGTAGAGGTGGCGATCAAGGTTCTGAGTGTAGTACTTCGCGAGAGGTCCAAAGAGCACGACGTCAAGTGGCTGCAAACTGTGGGTTGAGTGAGGTGGAAAGATGGCCAAGAGTATACGATTGCTGTCGCAAAAGTCTATAAAGTCAGTTGTAACGTGACTGCCGTGGCCATCAAGGATGAGAAGCCTGTAACTCCGTCGCGCTTTCTGCTTCGTAAAGCGCTCAAATACCTGCTCAAGCCAGGCCAATCCTATATCGTTGTTGCTCCAACCTGACTCTGAGTGAGACAAGAAAACCTCGTGTTTGCCAACCTCTATAGCGTCGACCCAACCCGATTGAATCCCAGAGACGCCCTGGTAAATGAGAGCTGGCGGCAGTGACACTCCAGAAGCGCATACGCAAGCTATAAGCGTAATCCATTCACGGTTACCGTCTTTTATAGCCACCTTAGGCCCACAAGAGGCCTTTGAGAAGATTCTTTTGCCAGCTTTTGCAACACCAACGTGGAAGCCCTTCTCGTCCATATTGTACGTATTCTCAACGTCAACGCCGTGCTCTTGCATCTTCGAGTGTAGCAATTCAAAGTACAGCTTGTAATTGAATGGTGAGTCAGCTTTGTGCCTCTCGTGATCGATTCTGGAGCTCCATTTGATAGTAAGCTCGTCGGCGTGGCGATGGAGAAACCGAGTAACCCAGCTGTAGGAAACCTCCCATTTCGTAATTGTTGAAGCGAAGTTTTGTACCATCTCGCGCGTTGGTGGCAAGCCTCGCCTTGTGCATCTTTCTATGTATAATACAAGTTCGTGCTCCTGTTGTGGGTTGAGTAACTGTCGCTCGCGCGCCTCAACGCTGCGGGCGTGCTGTGATCCCTTGTGCCTCCGCGACAGCGTCGTGCGATCAACACCGAACTGTTTTGCAATTTGGCGATACGAGAATTTATCTCCAGCTTCACGCGATTCCAAACAATTAATCGCTTCTTGAATTGGATCCATGGTGGTGGAGTTATGACGCGTCAAAGTTGAGACGGATCTTGATGTTCTCCAAAACGCGTGGCTCGTTGGCCGACCTGGCTCGTTGGGTGCACGTGCACGGTAGTTTGCGACCCCAACGAGAGACGCAACCTGACACGGTCTCGTGCACCCGTCTCTCACCGAAGAGGTATGTCTAGGAGGGCTATATCCACGCTTAGATATTGAACAGTTGGAACTGATTAACCTTGATCATGCTACAGAAAGCCCTTCAGCGTACCCAACTGCTCAATGTAGTGGAAGAGGTGGGTGTACATGCAACGCCCGGCATACATCTGACATAGCGAGGCAAGCCGAACGCTGCATGGAGAGCAGGATTTGCTCCCAATCCAAACCCACTTCCTCATTGTCTGAGGGACGATGTCCATGGGAAGTAGAACAGAGAGGACATAAGTCGTAAGCCTCACGCTACACAGGCCACACATCAAGCTGTTCCTAATTTGAGTTGTGAGAAGAAGCCTCGAGGATTCTTTGCATCCTCTCCAAGGCAACCTTTCTTTGTACGAGCTGTAGATACAGGTGCCTGATTTGCCCAAGGACTATCAGATTGCTGGTGATCCATCCAAGCCGAGAAAGCACGTCGACATTATCCTATCACCTCAAAGTTGTTCCCCTGGACTCTACACCACCTTATGAAGCACTGTCTTATACATGGTGCAAACAAAGCGATGGCTACCTGCAGTGTGATGGAAAGAACTTCAGTATAAGGCGGAATCTCAGAGAGGCTCGTACACGCCTCTGTGGCACTGTTGTCCAGCGAATTATATGGACCGATGCCATCTGCATAAACCAGGATGACATGGAAGAAAAGGCAAGTCAGATAAAGCTCATGCGGGAATTCTACAACAAGGCGACGCGCATTCTCGTTTGGCTGGGGGAAGATGTGGGCGGTAAGGCTGAGAAGCATTCGACCGGATCGGCAGGATTGCTCAGCCCGAAAATAACGTCCCTTCTCCCAAAGTCTCCTGGTGGGATCCCGTAGCTGCATTCTACAGGTGGGCATGGTTTTCGCGTCTATGGGTCTTCCAGGAGATAACTATGGCAACCTCTGCTGACCTCTACTGGGGAACCTTGAGTATCTCTTGGAGAACGGTCGGTTATGCTTCCACCCGGATAAGAACACAATGTTATCAAGCGACGCTGTACCACTTTATGCCGAATGTGTATAACGCGTTTCTGTTCTGGAAGTTGTCAAAGATCGGTGGCTATTCCCATCAGCACGAGTCCTTGCTCTATATGCTACAAGTCACCCGGTGCCTCCAGTGTACTTTCCAGAAAGATCGCATTCACGCTCTCTCAGGTTTCGCAACCGCGGATACTGGTCCCAACAAATTGCCGGAACCCAAAGAACGCACGCAGTCGGTGTACCGAAAATGTGCTCAACAAGTACTCGAGAAGATGCACAGACTTGACCTACTCTCAGCCGTTCAGCACGAATCTGTTATCCGGACATTGAGCTGGGTTCCGAGATGGAACATCCGCACCACTCACACTCTGGCACCGCTTGGATCGAACCTTAACATCTATAACGCCTCCCGACTCCTCCCCCCTCTTTTGATTCAATGGACAGGGATTGGGGACAATTTTTGCATGTTGAAGGTATCGAGTTTGATCGTATTGCTAAGAGAGGACAAAAGGTCACTCAGCCTCAGAACTCAAACGAACTGCAAGCAACGTTGGTGAACGTGTTGTCTCAATTGTTTACTGGAGCTTCCTTACCCAACCGGCGAGTCCCTAGACAAAGTCGCCTGCTTCACTTTGACAGCAGGTAAAGATGGGTATAGGATGAGGGTCGAAAACGTGCGACAACATCTAGCCAATTTTGATGCATTCTGGGCCAACAGAGCCTGTGTCACAAACCGCTACTTGCCTCGATCGTCTTCTGGCATATCTGGCGACGCTGATTGCTTCCTTTTGGCGGCTCAGTTCGCTTGCGTTGACAGGAGGCTTTTTCATACCTCAAGAGGCTATGTAGGTATCGGACCTGCCCTGTTACAGGCTGGCGATATGGTATGTGTCCTCTCTGGTGGAACGACATTCTTCATATTACGGCAAGACTGGCGTTCGAGGCCCTCAAAAAGAAGGTTCCAGCTTATCGGAGAGGCGTATGTTCACGGAACCATGCATGGCGAGGCTGCCGGCCAATGTACAAACAGTAGATTTACGAACGTCGCATTCAATTTAGTTTGAATACCAGACAGATAGCAGCGCCTCTAAACACCACAGGCCAGTGAACCTGATGCCAAAGATGACCAAACCTTTTGGGCAATCAACATTCTTACGGAACGTCCGAGAACTTAGTGCGACTTGTCTGAGGGTTTCAGCTTACCATGGCTTAGAGCATTGCGGGTTGAGCCACTCGTTCATCCACAACTAGATGACGGACTTGCAGAGTCGGCGTTTCGACCAAGGTCAAATGACATCTCGACATTGGAGCTGACGGACGCGCAAATATTGAGTCGAAGTAATTATTATTCTGAAACTACATTTTTGTACTGCACTCGATGGTTTCACCTACAGTGAGTATGTAGAGTATCAAGAGTATAGTGGCAGCAGTGGGTGCAGCGGCGAACATGAATGGGAGGCTTCGAACGCTGATTCATTGACTAGAATCCCATCACCTTTCCACGACACCCTGAGAGCATTTTCGCTTGGAAATCACGATCGATACCCCGGTGAGAGCTTGCCGTTATATTCGTTCATACAGCTCGCAAATTTGGAGCGTTCGTCGGTTGGCGCATTCGCTATTATCGACGGAGAGCGCCTGACTCTATGATGTATACTCGACGCTGACCGCAGTTCATGATGGCAGAATATGCGATGTGAAAGCGGCGCTTGCAGGAAGATTGCGACGATCGTAAGCCTAATCGAGAGCTTGTCGAGGCTCTGCGGGGCGGTCGATGCGAGGACGAGGGATGGGGCTATCGCAAGGACGGCACAAGATTCTGCGCCAGCGTTGTCATTACTCTGATATAAGGTTGTACTATCAAGCACTCCGGCCGTGTTTGAGTTACGTAGAGGTATTGAGAGGAAACATTCTATCAACGGCTCTTGATGTAAAGGTGAACGTGTTCACCAGTCTGCCCTACCCAGCGTATCTATCATCGATATCTGTAAGGCCAGGATCCGCCTTGGTACATTAAGAATAGCAACAGGAAGATACATCTCATAATTGTAAAGTTCGGAACTGTTGTTCAAGAAAGACTGCGTTATGGCGCCGGTGACATCCTTCGCAGACGTCCGAAAAAGGGCTGTGTCGAACGAATACTTCTGCTTGGGTCCAAACATCGCGACGAATGCTCAGGCGGTGCTGAAGACCGATGAACAGGACTTGTGATCGTCTAAAGACGCTAATTAGTACTATTATGCTGCCCCGTATAGAAGTGCTAGGCTTACAGAGAGTAAGGCTGATCCTTCGATTTAGCACGTGAGCATATCGGCAGGAGCAAGCGCTAGAGACGCGCACGGATCACAAGGAGATTCATATCCCTTGAGGCCTGTGCACAGAAGACGCGTTAGGAGCGAAGCACTGTCCCTAGCGTCCGTCCCGCTTACCCCACACCGCCGAGGCCCACCAGCGCGACTCGTGATGTCGGCGCTGAGCGTCATTCGCGTGTCTGTTCGAGCAGCGTTGCACGGCTGACAAAGTCTAGGTCGCGACGTGGCGGTACGAAGCATGAAGGTAGTGGGGGTCAGTGGGCACTCTGCAGAAAAGAGCGTGGTGAGCGCAGCATCAGTCAGAGCGGCAGCGAGCACTTGCCAAGAACATGAATATGGGTGTCGGCAACTTACTTGATCATCATTGTGAAATTATTAGAGTCTCAGAGCGCCCGAACGAGGGAAGGCGATGAGAACGAGGTGCTAGCCAAGTGGGGGCCTACCGAGGTTCACACTGTAATTAGCGCGCTCGCACGTCCTGGCCCAACGCGCGGCCGAATACCAAAACTACAAAGCTGTGCAGCTCTAGCGTGCGGCGGCGCAGAGTGGTTAATTGGTTGGTTGATTCCTACACGGTTTCAGCCGCGGCAGCTAGTTGACAGGCGTGGCAGACAGCCGAGAGGCCTGTCGTATCTGGCTTCTATCTACGACTATGTACATTTCGTCTCTAGAAGTGACGTGTTTGCCTGTGTTTGTGTTCCTCAAATTGTCTTCCTGTGTGTATGCCGTACTCGAAGCCTCATGTGTGTAACGTTGTTTCAAGGCTCGTAGAGGCACGGTTGCCTCATGCTTTGCGACCGCAATACCTTCAGTCTCCCCCTAGCGTTCAGCTGTCGTGTGTGCTAGCTTGCCCTCGTTCGCCAGGGCCTGCAATGTGTTCTCCGAGCTCTGATATTCCTCAGTGTTGTGATGCCGTCCACTAGGTTCCTATGCGGCTGTGTTGTGTGGTGTGACCTGCCACCAGGCGCTGCGGCAGCAGCATTTCGCCGTAACGCGGCTCCACAAGAGCGATGCTCCGCTCGTGCGTGCCGTCGAGCCTACTGAGCAGGAGAGCTCCTATGCGAATCTCCTCAGACCTGGTCGGGTGTGTCGAAGGGGCACCACTCCTTCGGCACAGGGTGGAGGCGACAGTGGACGAGGCTGTCTGATGATCTGTAAGTGTGTTGTGGCACCGATGGTAACATGCCGGACGTCTGTGAGGGTAACTCGTGCGAGAGGTGATGCTGTTCAGCCCGAGGGCTCGTCGATGCGGCACGTTGCAGACATTGTCGGATGGTGATGGGCTGACCTGGAAGCCCATCAGTAACTGTTGTATGTGTGTTGTGACTGTTGTGCTCAAGGGGTTTCTGGACTCCGTCGTCGCGTCTTGCATTGCTGTGTCGTGGCTAGATGGCTGCCGCTGCATTTGGTGGATGTGTCATGTTAAGTAGCTTGCTCGCAGATTTTGTTCGTCTGTGTCTGCCATGGCCGCAACAGCGACTCTACCAACGCGGGGGGACGCGTGATGGCCTGTAGAGACTATTGCGGCCGCTGGCAGATGTTTTTGAGGCTGTTGTGATGGATAGTTCCAAAAATTGAATTCTCGCTGTTTGTCGTGTTTTTCCGGCGGCGCAGATTGATGTTTGCGTTGTGTCGGCTGTCCGCCAAGCCGGCCAAGCCGATTTAGCTACGGGAAAAACTGGGCTAGAAGGTGTGGCGCTTGCTTCTAGAACGCTTCCTTCCTCTCTTTATAACTAGACGATTACGTGCCTGTTATTTCTAGAGAGTATATAAGCGTGTGCAGCCATTACTGACCTCTCCCGCGTTCTCTGCCCATCACCATGTAACCCCTCGTTGATTCGACGATACCAGGCGATAGGGATGCACCACAATGGGGCTTCTGATTTAAGCTTGCGCCAAGCCCCACTTCCCTCGTTCCAGCCACGGGGCAAAAGCCACCTGTCAAGCCTCTTTTGGCAAGCCCTTTGCAGGCATACGTGTCTGTCGCAATCCAACACCTCCACTTTACCAGTCTTATCGCGCGTCTTATTTTCCTCGCGTCTTGCTGTCTTTACTTTACGCCACAGACCTACCGTCTCGATCGTCAGCTCTGTTTCTCGCGAAGTCGAACGCCCTTCTCGTACCGCGCAGCCTCCCTAGTGTCGAAGCGGACCTTTCTCCTTACCCCGTCATCTCTGGGATAGTCAACATCGAGCCTTTTATCCCGGACCTTTCGAGCCCACGACGAAACCACAATGTCGAACAAGAAGAATGAAGATCTAGAGATGAGCGGGTCGGGCAAGAAGGAGTTTGATGAGCGGGAGAACTTCCTGCTGAAGCCTGCACTCCATCACCGGGCGCGTGTCGACAGCGGCACGGGTAGCATTCTGTCCCGGCTCGAGAACAACCCTGGTGCTGCTGTTCTGGCCTACTGCTTCTCCTCGATCAGCATGACGGTCGTGAACAAGTACGTCGTTTCGGGCTCGTCCTGGAACTTGAACTTCCTGTATCTGGCCATTCAGGTATGCGCCGCGACACTCTGGCACCACATCAAGACCCCGCAGCTGATACCTGTTCGATAGACCGTTATTTGCACGGCTGCAATTCTGGTATTGAAGCAGATGGGGATGATCCCTTACCTCGCGGCTTTGAAAAGTGGCAAGGCCAAGAAATGTATGTCTGCGACGGCCAGCTGACGCTTGTGCTAACATTGAATCAGGGTTCCCCGTGTCTTTCTTCTTCGTCGGCATGGTCTACACCAGTACCATGTCTCTTCAATTTCTATCTGTTCCGGTATACACCATTTTCAAGAACTTGACCATCGTCGTTATCGCCTATGGTGAGGTCCTTTGGTTCGGCGGCAGCGTGACCCCGCTGCTTCTGTTGTCGTTTGGCTCCATGGTGCTCAGCTCAATCGTTGCTGCGTGGGCTGATATTCAGGTTGCCCTCAATAGCACCGAGCCCTCGGTGGACACTGCCGCCGCCATCTCAACCTTGAACGCTGGATATGCGTGGATGGGGCTGAACGTCATCTGCACGGCCTCATATGTCCTGGGCACACGCAAATTCATCACCTCCCTTAACTTCAAGGAATGGGACAGTAAGTTACTGATGAACTACCAGGCGCTGCTATTCAAACTGACCGCAATCAACCAGCCATGTACTATAACAACTTGCTCTCTTTCCCTATCTTGGTTATCTGCTCCCTGGTCACCGAGGACTGGTCTATGGCCAACCTGGCTAAGAACTTCCCTGCCGAGTCGCGCAACAACCTTATGATTAGCATGCTCTATTCTGGCGTGGGTGCCATCTTCATCTCATACTCTTCTGCCTGGTGCATTCGCAAGACTTCATCGACGACGTACTCTTTCGTCGGTTATCTTAATAAGCTCCCACTCGCCATCAGCGGCATCGTCTTTTTCGATGCTCCTGTCACGTTTGGTGGTGTCTCGGCTATCCTACTAGGATTCTTCAGCGGCCTTGTTTACGGTTATGGCAAGATGAAGCAGAGGGAGCAGTCCCAGCAGGTCCTCCCCATCTCCCAACCGCTTATGACGGCCAGCTCTCAAAGCCAGAAGGATGCAGCCAACTCATAAGCCAATGCCGGCCAGGCTACTCGAAGTAGTGGGGAAGCATGGAGTCCTCAGCAGGGTTTATAAGTAACGAAACAGACATCTGCTGGAGAACCACCATTTCATTTGTCGTCTTGTATATTACTTTGTTCGACCACATCCCCTTTAATCAAATCACTTCCTTTAACTATGGCATAGACCTTCATTGCGGTTGTTACTGTTGGGCAAATGAGGCGCCCAGGCTTTGGTACATTATCCTTGTTTTCTTGGTTCTGAGACGTATCTGCAAGGTTCTGCTTCAAACCTGCAAAAGAATGGTGTTTAGGGAGGGGTGGCTATCTGGAAGGCTGTCCAATGGCCTCAACACTCTTCTATATTGGTCCTTCAAGAAACGCGTTATGCAGTAGCGATGTAGAGTAAAGAGGAAATCATGGTTATTCGGCGTGTAGAGCAGGAGGACAAGCTTTTGTACTGTACCTTCTTATATCATTGGCTAGCTAGAAGCAATCTAAATGATTGGTGCTCGACCGGAGAATTCTGTTGATAGCTAATAATAGCTGTTTTATCTTGGATATCTACCACGCTGGTCTAGCACATGTTGAAAGCGGCCAGGCCAATTGGTGGTGTTAGCAGATTGTGCCCTCGTTATCAATCGCATAGAATTGTGTGGAAATGAATCCAGATCGTGAGAGTGTTCCGGAGCTTGCTGGTCGCTGTGCTCTCCAAACGAACCGCGCGGAGTCGTTCTCAAAGAGACTACAGGCTGTACGTAGAATGTGCAAACACGATCGCTCAAAGCTGCTCACTGAGAGCGCGAAGAGCGAAGAAGGGCAGTGCTCGCAAGGCCGCCAAGTACGACTTCCAGAGGTATCGCAGCGGTATCAAAAATTTCTCGCAGATAGAGACAGACGACGGCGCACCGCTCGACACAGGCGAATCGTCTGCGCGACGCAGACTCACTATAAACAATCCGTGCACAAGCAACAGGCGCTCAACTTGGGCACAAGGCGTGTTGGCAACGGTATCCGCAGTATTGGCGTATCTCACTGCCTGAGTGGCAGTCGCTGCACTGCACAGCTTTGACGAGCCAGCGGCGTTCTTGTCCTCAGGGATCGCTTTTGCAGCAAATTTGGCGTTCCTGCACGTACGCGGATATTTCATTTGTTCTCAAAACACCTGTGATGGTCTGACAGGCAAGCCGCACCCTGAACGCCTTGGGCGCAGCAACTACAGAGGCGCTGCATGCACTGAAAAGAAGTTAATGAAAGTGTTTATATGCGTGAATGCCCGCCCTTATCTTTGGTCTCTTATTTCAAGCTCTATAACGTTATAAAGGCACGGACAGGGTGTAGAAGCAGGTATGTTTATGACACAGCTAGGGAAGGGGTATGTCGGCGTGCACATATACAGTTTCTGGGAGCAATCCTGATTGGAGCGCTTTTTCCTATCCGAGGGCTGCATTATACCACAGGTGTTTTGCGAAAAGCCTATATCGATAAGCTGTCATCAAACAAACGCCATTCGAGAACGAGTTTGAACGTCGTCGTAAGGCCACCGTCGGCATACGACCAGCTGCGGTGACGGTGAGCAAACTCGAAAACTTCAAGGAGAGCGAAAGTATTCTGCTGCACTGTGCTGCTGCTGCAGCGGCAGCTCCGCGGCTCGTCTTGCACCGCTCGATTGCCGTCAATTGCGGCGCTGCTGGCCGTTGCTTCGAACGTCGCAATCTCCAACGCTAGCATGAGTCAAGCCGCATGCGCAAATTGAAGAGCACCGGCAGGCGCGGGCAGACACGGGCAGACACAGGCGTCTCTACTGGCGCAGCGCAGGACATTCGTTTAAGGGACTCTAACGCGTTTGTACTTCGCAATGCAGTATGGCGGCGGGTTCACAGCTGTGGGTGTAGCTTCGTCTCGGCCGCTCGTTACTCGTCTTCGACGGCTGGAGCGCTGTTTGTGGGTGCGACGCGAGTGGCCTAAGCAGCGACGACAGGAGCCTGTACCATGCCGCGTGGCAAGCAAATAAGAGGCACGAGCAGCGCGAGCGGAGTGAAGGGGAGCTGTGTCGGCCTCTTAGGGGCTGATTGTCGAACCACGCGTGTTGATGCGCAGCGCGCGGCGTTGTGCTGAGGAGACCCTCCTGTTCGCTCGAGAAGTGGAGCCAAGTGGTTCACGTTAGCCTGCGGCGTAGCGCTGCTGGGGTTGTCTTTGAAGAGGAGCGTACTGGCTGGACTCAGAAATACGTAGCTGCTCTAACGCTGGGTACATTACGGCGTGGCTGTGAGTGATGAGGTGGCTGATCCTGAATTGGGGTTAACTTAGAAGTTGATTGCTGAGCTTTGAGGGCACTGATGTCGTAAACGAACAAGCTCTTGACCCTATTACATACTCATCGCTGAACCTTGGACGTGAACGTCGACTTTCCTCCGTAGCGTATCAAGTTATTGCAAATAGCGCGTCGCACACGCGCCAGATACCGTGTCCGTGCACTTAATGCGCACAATCAGTCAATGCGCACACATTACCATAACAGTACTTTACCAAAATAAGGCTATTAAGCCACACACAAAAGCAATCATCACAAGAGTTCTTAGTGGAGTGTTCTATAGACTTACGCGACGAACTTCGCCACTACAGCTTCTTGCGCGGAGCAATTTTGCGGCCACGGGAGTTGTACTTTGGTGGAGGTGTTGGGGTGCGCGGCGTGTCAACAACACCACGACGCGTAGCTGCAACACCGCAATTCTGCCTCTTCTTAGGTGCTGTACTTTGTGAAGCTTTTCGCTTGCCTCTTTGGGATGATTGTAGCTCTTTTTCACGGTCTTTCTTCTCTTTGTCCTTGCGTCGTTGCTCTTTGCGCGCATCGATTGCCTTACGCTCCTCTGCCTTCTCCTTCCTCCGTGCCTCTTGGTCTCGTGCACGCTACGCCTTCTTTTCTTCTGTAATCTTGTCGTTGTATAGCTTATTAGCCTTCTTCAACTCTCTTATGTCGGCCTTGTTTTTCTCATCTGCTTCCTGCTCCTCTTTTGCCTGCTTCATGCGCACCTTGGCTTCGCGGAATGAGTGAGGAGTCCACAACATCTCCGGTCCCCAGTACTCATAATGTTGTAGCAAACTTAGAGACTTGCCCTTGCTGTTGCCCTTGCGCTTAGTGACTAACGCGTCGCGAAGCCCCTCATTTTCGCTCATCAGAAGAGTGTTTTGTATAGCTAAATGGCGTAGCGATTGCCTCATAGTTGAGGTGTCCTTCTCCAAGGCACCACACAACGCTCGTTTGGCCACAGTGTTTAGCTTTTGCCAGGCATCTCCGCCATATGTAGGAGCTTCAGAAGACGCGTCGCTTGCTGTTTCTGTGTCGCTATTCGGGAATCGATCGAGGATAACGTCGGGATCGAAGGGGTGTATGCCTGTTGCGTTGAACGAGCTAGAAATGTTCTTCTCTGTGAAGCTGGCTACCCAAGCGTCCCAGAAAAGTAAGAAGAAATCTGCTTTCTTTACAGGAACTAAGCCACGGTGCTTGTGAAGGCGTGTTGCCAGCTTCTTTGAGTACGCTGTGCTGAGAGGCTTGAACATCACTACATCCAGCGGCTGCAGCGTATAGGTGCTGTGAGGCGGATAAACAGCTAAGATTATCTTGTGCCGGTGACAGTACTCCAGAAAGCCCTCAGTTAGATGGCTCCCATGGCCATCCACGAGCAACAGGCGGTACTTCCTCCGAGCTTTGGCCGCTGTAAAGCGATGGAAAACCTGCTGGAGCCAAGCAAGTCCAAGACCATCGTTGCTCCAGCCGCTCTGTGATGTGCCAAAGAAGCACATATGCTCGCCTGCTTTTACATCCTCCACCTAGCTGTCTTGAATGTTTTTAGACTCTGCTGCATATATGAGGCCTAGTGGGAGAGCTGTACTGTCCGCGTAAACGCATGCTAACAAGCTTATCCACTCGCGATTGCCGTCTTGGAGTTGCTGCCGAAACTGCTTCCTCTTGAAGAGCCGCTTACTGAAGATCCTCTTTATCCTGCCAACAGCTCCAATCATGAAGCCCTTCTCGTCCATATTGTAAGTGTTCTCCGGCAGGATGAGTTGAAAGCCTCAAGTGATAGCAGTGTTATTGACTGTCTGTATCTGTAGGGCCGTATATATAGCCTACTGGTGTGTTACACCAGTGTTTGATCATCTTATCACATGACCTGGGATCCAACTGGATGTCGTAGAACTGTATCTTCTCGTGCAGAAGCTCAAAGTAACGTGTGTACTTTTCACTAGAATCAGCGTTGTGACGATCGCGGTCCATAGACGTCGACCATTGAGAGGTGAGCTGGTCGTCATGACGGTGGACAAAGCGGCCAACCCAGGCGTCGGAGACGGGTATCTGAGCAACATCTGATGCGTAAGTTTGCACCATCTCCCTTGTAGGTGGTAAGTGTTCTTCTGTGAGTTTATCTATGTACTTGACAAGCTCTGCCTCCTGTGGTGGTTGCAGTTTGCGGCGTGCTAAACCTGCCTCTTCGCGGGAACGCGTCTTGCCTCGCCATCGTCGCGTCAACGTTGACCGCACCACATCATGCTTTGTGGACAATTGCGCCCGCGGAATATCTTCTTGGCGTTCGAAAGCATCTGCCTCTGCAAGCGCTTCTTTTAGTCCCATTGTGGCGTTGTGCAGTAAGTACTCAAAAAAGGGTGTATGCGACGCGTACCGCGCATTGACTGATTGTGCGCATTGAGTGCACGGACACGGTAAAGTCTGTGCGCTCGGTGGAACTAGCTCGATCCTATCCCTGGCCGAATGTCAAAAGTCCGCCTCCAACAATTCCACTAAATGAAAAGTGGCCCTGTCGACCAGGGGACGATAACCGTTGACGAATTGCCAGAACCCAACCTCTGCCGCAATCATGTTCGTGCACTCAATTGTCTCCTGCAAGTAAAGCCGCTCTGCACGCACCAATGCCGCGAGATTGAGATTCGCGGTCGACCAAAAGCACATGACGCATGCGCTTCGTAGTTGATTTCTATCGTAGCAGACGGCGCGTCTCTTCTTTTCGTTGCGCACGCAAATCCACAAGCCAAGACGAGGGCAAAGACCGTTGATTGCTGATGAAGCCATTTAGTGGCACAGCACATCAGAGCAAAATTCCGGTCATCACTACATAACGGCTGCATACAGCAGTGGGAACAGATGAGCATGGCTACAGAAGTCGATGGAATCAGGCGGTTGCCCTCTGAGAGTGGGGTCTGCGCGTAGCATCGCTGAGGAAAGCCGCAGGGCCGTTTTGTGTATTGCCCACCGGGCGTGTGTGATCGCAAGTTTCCACAAACATGCTGTTTCAGCCCCGCAAGCACCGCGTCTGCAAGCTGATGGAGCGACTGCTGTAGTGTTCCATGGGCACATCTCTTGGTGAAATCGCGGTCGCTCGGGAAGCTGCCAGATCGAATAAGTGACTCGAGAGCTCAGGCATGGCAAGCCCTGGATCATTGGCTTGCCAGAAGTGGAATACCCGTAACAAGTGCGCGTAATGCTAAGGGCGCATAATCGTAGCAGAAACTACTGCCCCCGAAGACGCCTACGAGTAACCATGCACCAGCTGAGAATATTCTACTGGGAAGCTCATTACCACCAGTGACTCTCATGTTTCAAGCGCTGGAGCGTGCACTGAGTCCGGGCTTTCGCCAAATGACTTGATCTGGTTGACAGCTGTTGTAGGTCAGCAAGCAAATGCGCAACAGATGCAGTACTCTTTTCTCGCCACCGAGCTGGATTACTAATATGTCAGGCGCTTATCTTTACTGCGACGCCTCGTTTAACGTCGCAGTGTAGCATTGCTTGAGTGCTTACGATAAGTGACTGAGTATGTAGATCGGGAAGCGATAGAAAATCGTTGCACTCCTGTTCCTCATGGTCGAGAAATAAGACGCCTCGACCTGCACTCGCATGCGACGCGAAGACATCCTATTCAGTCTGTCCGAGTAGACTTGCACGAACGCACAGTACGCGGGCCTGCGCGTCTTGTATAACTAGAGGCACAATGCATATCACCAACCGCTCTTTAGATATCTACGAGGTCATTGGCAAATTGTAAGTAGCCACGCGGAGCACAACCAATATCAAAGAGTACAGCTGATAGCCCAACTGTGAAGACTTCCGAACCGACTGAACCGCTTGTAGACATTGCGAAGGTTTGGACGCGCACAGTTACAGTGATGTCAACTTCACCGGTGCTCAGCTGAAAGGGACTTTGCGCTGAAGAAGACTTCTCTCCCCGCGACTCGGGGCAAGTGGCTGGGCGGGTGGCGCATGAAAGAGCGAGTTGGTGCAGATCGCTTGGCTCCGCGTCTCTTGATTTGCCCCTAAGGACCCTTGTTTGACATATAACGGTAGACCGACTATTGCCAAGGATCCCTGCCAACTAAACAGTGCGGGGGTAACTAAACTAGGTAAAACAGGAACCCTTGATCGTCCGATTCCGTGGTCTCGGTACGAAGCTGCTGGCGGACAATTGTGAATGCCAAGCATTATTTTCTCGCTACTACTTAGGAGTATTAAAGTCTGATAAACTGGATCACGACTGTCCTCGACGCGATTGCAAATGACACAACACTGCTAGTAGTGGCAAGTGCTGCTCCAGAAGAATCCGACAATAAGAAATGACCGGCCACTATGCAAGTCCTAGCTGTCGACAGCGCAGGACGATATCCCTGGAAGTCGTACGAGGAATTGTATGCGGTCGCACAAACATTAGCCAACACATTTCCCTATGGAACGAGCAGCTATGCGCTCTCAAATGGGTCAGTCAATTGCTCCACAATTTCTCTAGAATCATGGCTGACATATGTCTACAGAATTAGCGCTAACGTGTTTTACAAGCGAGTGCGCATTACAAGCGAGTGCGCACCCCACCAACTTCGTGCACCTCTACAGGCAAACATCTCAACCATGTTAAGAGATAATATATAGATATTGATAAAATAGATTAAGCAGTGTCTAAAGTATGTTTTTGCACGTGCGTGAGTTATGCCCAGTCTCTCTGCACCTCTTGCAGCGCGCAAGAGCCTGGCGGCTGAGGCCTGATTGCTCTCTACCTTGACGCTGTTCACGCTCTATCTGCTGGTCAGCCTCCTTTTGAGCGAGTATATCCTCTCCCTCTCCCTTTGTTAAGGTCCCCTGCTTCTGTATCCGCTTCTTTTTGCGCTGCCTGCGCTTTGATGCTGCCTCGTTGGCTCTCTCAAGGCTGGTGATCCGATCGCGCATCAGCTCAGCCGAGAGCATCATTACCTCTGCTCCTTTCTTGAGCTGGCTAATCGCCTCAATTATCGAGCCTGGCGACGAGCTCTTGTGCTGCCGCACGCGATTACGTATTAATGTTGATTGAGCCTCAAGCTCACGTACGTTGCTCGGCGTACGAGCCTCCCAGGGGGCCTCTGGCGGAGCGGCTGGTGTAGGCGTACGAAGCTGCACATCTAGCTTTGATAGAACAACGTCTGGCTGGAGAGGGACAAGGCCTGCGCCTCGAAAAGCTGAGCAGATATTGGCTGCTGTGAATGACCGTGTAAAGGCTGCCTTGAAAGCTGGCAGAAACTCAAGCTTTGTGATGTGGTTGATGTGGTGGCGGATCAGATCTTCAATCTCACGGCTGTACGCGCGCTTCAGCACTGAGAAGCAGACTACGTCAAGTGGCTGCAGCAGGTGCGACGAGTGAGGCGGCATACAGAGCGTGTAGATATTGTTCTCCTTGCAGAGTTCTCGAAACTCAAGAGACTGGTGGCTCTCATGGCCATCAAGGATAAGCAGCCGACGCGCCCCAACCACCTTGCCCTCTGTATGCTTGATGAAGTGCTTCAGCCACTCAATCCCAAGCTCGTTAGTCGTCCAGCCATTGTTGCTGACAGCGATCGCCTAGTCGCGCGGTATATCCTCCTCATACCAGGCAGATAGGTGGTGCTGGCCAGCAAAGACGATAAAAGGCGGGATAGCCCAGCCAGCAGCGTTAATTCCCTGGATTACTATCACCCATTCGCGATTGCCTGGCTGGATAGCCTTTGGCCGGCCTCTCCTCTCTGATCCTGTTACGACAAGCTGAGTCATAATCTTGCCCATCATGAAGCCAGCCTCGTCGAAGTTGTAGACGTCCTCGTCGCAGATGCCGTACTTGGCCTTTGTCTGCTCTACAAGCTCAAACCAGCTCCTGATTAACACAGGATCTTCGCATAGAGCTCTCTGCCTATCGTACGCTCGATTGAAACGCGTCGCAAGACTGTCTGTACGCTTAACAAAGTTGCGTGGCCATTGGACGCCGACACGACCTGCGCCGCGCGCAGCGAGCAGCTTATTCGCCATATCACGTACAGCCGCGTACGTAGGCGCAAATCCACGTTGATCTAGGTCAAGTATATATCTGACAATCACCTCCTCTTCTAGCTGGGTAAGTTTCTTTGAGTTAGGCTGGCAATCGCGTCGGGCAGGCTTGCCAGCGCGTCGGCGGTGGAGTGTATCTCGAGAGACATTGAACGTCTGTGCAGCGACTGCCTCACTCTGAAATTGGTTTTGCTGAAGAGCTGAGATAGCAAGGTGTATATTAGCCTCAGAAGAAGCTGGCTGGGCTTGAGTTGGGGGTGCCATGACAGCTAGGAGTTCACGCGTCGCAGAAAGTTGGTGGGGTGCGCACTCGCTTGTACCTAATGCGCACTCGCTTGCAAAACACGTTATCGGTAAAACAATCATGCCCGTAGAGAGTCAGATCACTCCTAGTTTCAAGACCATCAGGACAGACGCCACTGTCTCTTTTGTCAATACTAACGGTTATCCCGTAACGACGAGTAATAGCTGCTGCGACATGCCAGCTTTTTTTGCCGGCTCCGGCGTTGTCATCATCGAGGGTCCGGGCCACGGATATGAACGAGCCCCATCCAAATGTGCCTTCGACCTCGTTGTAAAGTACATGAAGGATGGAATCTTTCCAGAAAATGAAGTAACCTGCCAGATGGACGTCAAAGCAGACTACTTTTGTGGGTGTCCCTCGCCAGATCGGCTTGACGCAAAGGGGACGTAGATGACGACCTCGTTAGCGCTACTATGGGTGATCTGTGGCGTGCATGGGGGTTCTTTTAGTATGAAAATAAATACTTTTGAGGGGTTTCTTCTCATGTTCAAGATCCAGTTGCTTTAGCCATAGACAGTATATGTATTGATGGTGCATTATGTGAAGATATTAACTATTGATTTGAATCACGAAACACAAATCAAATTGAAATCCAGTCTCTCTAATGTTGTGAATTGATGCAAGGCACAGACTGGGATGGAACAAGACGAAAATGCAGAAGTTTGCATTTCTGCAACGCAACCCAATTAGTATATCACCAAGGCGGAAAGTTACTCGCCTCCAGCACTGTAGCAGGACTGTTCAGCTGCTAGAATCAATGTGTGAAATCGATCTTGAGCGTCTATCGAAGAGATCCAACCAAGCAGTAAGATAAAATACGCCGAGTAAAAGATGGGAAATGCGAAGCGCCTAAGAGATCGACACATGGATATCAACAGCACTACAATCATCCAATGTCTCTCATAGAAATCTGGAGGCTAATAGTCTTTCCCTTGGATCAATGGATATACGACATTGACTAATTTCTGTCAATCGAGGGCACTACAGTATGTTTGGCTGGCAATTTTGCCCGGCACAAGCCAGGCGAGCACTTGAGTTTCTCTCCTTCAAAGTCATCTTAGAAGGTACTGCGTTTATCATGTAAAACTACCATAGTTAATAAAGTGTTACGCTTAGAAAAACAAAAAGTATATACGCCTATCTACCTTGATATAACAAAAAGCAAAAACGCCTACTCCTTAAACTGCAAAACAAAGGTAATAACAATAACTAATCAAGATCCGAGCTGTGAAGTTCCGGGTGGGTATTCAATGACCACGGAATCCTAGTCAAGATCATAAAATGCCAAATGATGTGACCATTTCCTTGGTGAGCTATTTTTACAACATCTTGTTCAAACCCAAGATGATATCGCAGAACTCTTCGTGCATGCGGTCCACAACCTCCTCCTCGAAAATCTGCCTGCTAGCGGTAAGGACAACTCGTACATGAAGTCCATCCGGCTCAGGGATTCCAATCATATCAATCTCATGCATTGGTGCGTCATCTAGAACTCTCTTGTTTGGAGCGGTAGCGCCATTTAGTGGTTCTGCATCTTCGGGATTTGTCAAACCAGCCAATCGAACACGTTCGTCCTGGACTTGACTTTGAGGCTGCATCTCGAAGTTCTGGAATGTGCTGCAGCAGCCGTAGTTTGTAGTCGACGCTGGCCATTTAGTGCAGTTCTCTTTGATGTCATCGAATCCTAACGTTTCAAACGGCAAGCTGTCGATGTATTGGTCTTGCACCATGCCGAGAAGTTCTCTTGCATTAGTGTGATCAGTCATGCGAATACGCACGGGGACGATGTTTGTGCAAGGGCCGACGATATGTTGGTCATTGATCGGCAAAGATTGACGCCCAGATACGAGTCGGCTGAAGGTGATGTCGCTCGATCCGGTCATTCTGGCAAGCAGGATGGTGGAAGCAGTGGTAAATACTGTTGCCTGCGTAATGCCATCTGAGTTGGCTGGGACAACAGCCTTGATGATCTTCTCGACGAACCAAGCACCCTCAGGTGATGATGGTTGTTGAGCGCGACGGCCAGTCTCTACGACTGTCATCGAGGACTCCTCCAGGACAGATAGCCAGAAATCGTAACCTTCTTTGCGGCTGTCAGTCAGATGCTGAACATACTGAACAAACTTGGGTTGTGTTGGGATGCGGTCGCCATTATACAAAGCATGAAGTGATTGCACAACGTGCTCGAAACTCAAGCCATCGTACAAGCAATGAGAGATGCGAAGTACCAAGCGCACAGCTGACCTCGTCTTCACGACTGCAAAGCGTAAGAATGCTTGTCCGAATTGGAGCGGATTTTGTTGATCCTGTTCCTTCAGGACACGAGTTGCAGTACTGATGTCTTCCTCGGTTTCGATGACCGAGATGGGTACGTCAAGCTCTTCCAGAACGACTTGGTAAAAATTGCCGGCAGCCTGAACAAAGACAGTCCTGAAGATATCGAAAAGCTGAATGAGAGACCGACTCGCATTGCATACTTTGTCGCAGTCAGCGTTGGCTGGGAAATCGACAAAGAAGAGTGATGGTGCACGTGGAAGTCCTGTTGCTGGATCAACAAGGAAGTGCTTTTGTATCCACGTAACAGGATAGACATCCACGATTTTGGCTGACTGATGAGCAAGTTGCGGGACAATGTCGCGGTCGATGATTTTCTGCGAATCTTCAGAATGTAGTAGCTGGAAGGGGATGCTGTTCGTTGTCGACAAGGCTCCGTTGTCCATTGCATGACCTTGGGACATGTAAGACGAAACCTTGAGTGCTAGATCTGCGGGCACAGGCTGATCGAATACGTCTTTAACAGACACGCGAATATCCAGCCGGCGGCTAATGCGAGCTGCGAGCTTGGTTGCCAGTAGCGAGTGCCCACCGAGGTCGAAGAAATTGTCAGTGATGCCGACCTCAACGCCGAGCACTTCAGCGAACTCCTTACAGAGCGCAGTCTCCAATTCATTGCGGGGAACTACGCGCCCTGCCGTAGTCTTCTGTCTAGGTGCGCTCTGAGCCATGCGATCAAGCTCTTTACGATCGACCTTTCCATTGGAATTCGAAGGCATCTGATCAAGGATGATGATGCGAGATGGGAGCATGTAAGGAGGAAGGATGCTCTTCATCCGGTTGAGGATCGCCAATTCAGTTTGTAGCAAGTGTTCTTCCTGGCTCTCCCCGTTCTTGGGTGTATTGTTCTCAATCACCACGAAACCAATCATTCCCTTCTCTTGAATGTCCTGGGTAGGGACGACAACAGCAGCATTGCGAACTGCGCTGTGACTGAGCATGGCGTTCTCAACTTCCGCCGTCTCGATACGGAAGCCTCGAATCTTAATTTGCTGATCCATGCGCCCGAAGAATTCCAATTGACCGTCTATTCTTCGGTAGCGGACACGATCGCCTGTTCGGTACGCCCTCACGACCTGACCATCGATGTTGACCTTGATGAATCGGTTGCGGTCTAGTTCCGGATCAGTGTACCCTCGAGCAAGTCCATCCCCAGTGACGACGAGCTCTCCCATTACTCCGAGAGGGACGAGCTGTTGCAGGGCATCCATAACGTAGGCTCCCGAATTGCTGGCGGCTGTTCCAATGGGAACGCCATTCACATACGAATGCTTGTCGCTGAGATTGTAAAGCGTGCTGATGACCGTGTTCTCGGTAGGTCCGTACATGTTGTAAACGCCTCCGGGAACAAGTGCTTGCAACTCAATGGCATCGCGACTATCGAGTCGGTCTCCACCCGTGTAGATCACCTGTAAAGCCCTGAGCATTTCGGGTGCACTGTTCACACACTGCTTGAGCAAGCCAGGAGACAGCGAGGACGCGGTGATCTTCTCTCGCTTGAACATGGCCACGAGAGCATCAATGTCCAAGAGGGTGGAGTAATCGACACAGATCAGGGCACCCCCATTCAGCAGTGTACCATAGATCTCGTAGTTTGCTGCGTCGAAGGCAAGGTTGAACTGATGAGCGACACGAGCGGCTCGTGGGAGCTTGGCGAGGGTATTGCTGTTTTTGACAAGTCGCACAATGCTTCTGTGCTCAATCATAACGCCTTTAGGCTTGCCTGTCGACCCAGATGTAAAGATAACATATGCAAGGCTTGCAGCGGAGGGCTGCAACTTGGCGCATGTGCTGTTGAGTTGCAAACTGTGGCCTAAAGTATGATTGATCTTGACGAATTCAGCATCTGCTGATCCAATGCTTGGAGCAGCCACATGTGAGCCGAGTAGGACTAATGTGTGGCCAGGGACTGTGGACAATATAGTCTCAATGCGAGCAGCTGGAACATTATCGTCTAATGGCAAGTATGCGAGGTTGGCCTTGAGGATTCCGAGGAAGGCAATAATTGTCTCGCAAGATCTAGGAGCCAGAACGCCAACGATTGTCTCTGCCGGAATGTTATGTTGGCAAAGCCAGGCAGCCAACCGGTCAGATTGCTCGTCCAGCTGAGCGTAGGTCAGCTCTAAGACTGAATCCTTGACGGCTATTGCTCTAGGATTGGCTGCCACCTGATCACGGAAGATATCAACCACACTAGAGTCCCGTGGATAGTTGGTTCTCTCCATTTGGAGCAGACCCATGCTGCGAAGATCCTCGGACGCGCTGTCAAGGGGCAAGACTGCAATAGGCGTTTGGGGTTGCTCAAGTCCTCGGCGTAAGACCTCCTGGAAGACGGAGACCAGTCCTTGAATAGTCTCAGGCTCAAACAAGTCTGTTGCAAACAGTACGCTACCACCTAACTTCTCAGCTTGCTGGAAAAGATGGAACTCTACATCCAGTCTGGTGGACACTGGTGTGGGAAGAGCTTCTCCTGTCAGATCCTGGAGATCGATTCTTCCAAGGTTATGCTGTGAGTGAAGAGCAAAGCTGAGCTGCACTAGTGGATTTCGGGACGTGTCTCTTGAGCCAGGCATCAGGGCTGAGACGATGCGTTCGAATGGGACATCCTGGTTGACCTGCGCAGCTGCTGTCGTTGCCCGGACTTGCTGCACCAATTTGTCGAAGGTATCGTCCTCTCTGATTGTCACGCGTATACACTGGGTATTGACAAAGAAGCCAATCAGACTTTCTAGTTCTGGGCGATTACGATTAGCAATTGGAGAGCCGATGGTAGCATCCTCAGCGCCCGTGAGACGGTAGTGGGTTGCACGGAAGGCTGCGAGGAGTACAGCGAACGAGGTCGTTTGATGAACGCGGCAAAAGGCTCGAAGGCGCTCGTAGACTGCGCCCTCAATCGTGAGTTGAACGAGACCGGCCTTGCCGGTTGGCACCGATGGCCGGGGTAGATCCGTAAGAAGCTCAGCTGGAGAGCTATCTGCCAGTTGTTCGGTCCAGTATTGTAGCTGGCGCTCATGCTCGGCCACTTGCTCTGGCTGCTTTTGCCAGATAGAGAAATCTCGGTACTGGATAGGCAGAGGGCTCACTTGCGCCAATGGATCCTGGCCCTGTAGTGCAGCAGTATAGAATTGGCCAAGCTCTCTGCATAGAACATCAATAGACCAACCATCATAGATGATATGGTGCATGACAATTGACAGAATGAAGTCGGTCGGGCCCAGCTGCAAGAGGGCGATCCTAAACCCTGGCTCGGTCGTGAGATTGAATGGAGCTGTCCGTTCCTGTCGCAGGGCTTCCGTATAGTCGTTCTCGGACGCGTCAATGACTCTCAGTTTCTTGCTGTTACTGGGCCGAATGACTTGCATGCCTACATCGTCGTGATCCACGAAGGTTGTTCGGAGAGTTTCATGGCGTGCCTCGAGAGCAGATACTGCAGCTGCGAAGGCGTCAACGCGCAGAGGTCCGCGCAGGCGTAGAGCAAGAGGCATGAGATATAATTCCGATACGCCCATATTCAGCTGATCCAGGAACCAAAGTCGGCCTTGCGCGAAAGATTGCTCCACGGGTCCAGAGTAGTTGGTCGAGGGAATGGGATTATGAGGGATCGAACCTCGTTCAATTGACGCTGCTAGATCAGCAACGACAGGGTGATCAAAAACGTCCTTGACAGAGACGCGAGCGTCGAGGTGCTTGCTGATACGGGCTGCGAGCTTGGTGGCCATGAGCGAGTGTCCGCCCAGGTCGAAGAAACTGTCTGTTATCCCGACCTCCACACCAAGGACATCGGTGAACTCTTCACACAGTACAGCTTCCACTTCGTTCCGTGCACTGACCCTCTCAGAAGCTGGTTTCTCGATCTTAAGTACTGCTTCAGCTCTTCGTGCCAGGGCCTTCCGGTCAACCTTGCCGTTCGCATTCAGAGGCATCTGGTCAACCATCACAATATGTGATGGAATCATGTACGATGGAAGCACACTAAGAAGCTGTTCCTTGAGTTTTGTCTCCACCCTTCGGCTCTGGAGACGCTGTAGTGGTCGGTTCGTAAGCGAGCCTGCCCGGATGTGATTGTCGGTCGGAAATTGTAGCAAGACACGGCTACCTTCTTGCGCAGGTTTGTAGTGATGGAATACCGCATCGATCGCTCCATTATGAGACCGCTGTCGTGCGCAGCTGAGCTCCACACGGAAGCCGGTCTCTTCAGCAACCTGTACAAGGTGGATCGCAGACAAGGATGCGCACTGTTCAGCGCTGGAGCGGACTGCCGAGATCCAAGCAGGGCCGTCCAGCATCTCTTGTGAATCCTCTGCACTGAGTGACTCAACAATATGCCGCGCCACGATCGTCTTGCTGTAGGGAATATTGCTGACAGCGATAGCTTCAGCATTTGAGCTCTGTAAGAGACTGACGAGCGCACTGCGGTCCATTTGAGAGGTGCTGAAATCAATCCAGGCGTCCGATTTGACCGTCTGCACAGTCTGCGCTCGTTGTGGATCACGGATGTAGACTATAGCCGCGTATCGGTATGCGCTGAGTTCGTTGGTGGCCTGCATACGCTTAGGTAGGATCTCAACGTGCTCGACCTGGCCTTGAAGCTTGGCCGTTAGACTGGTGAAGAACGTTGGGTCGACAAGCAGTTCCTCCTCGTAGTCTTCGAGCTCAGCCATTTTGCTTCGTACAGTATCCTTAGTAGCCTTTTCTCCTAGCTTGTGTAGGGCTCTGGCTGCAAGGAAATGGTCATTAGTAGCGTAGGATCGTATGTCGCCGAAGAAGAGTCGTTTCACGCCTGGAATGTGAACCAGAGCGCGAACGACATCGGCCAAATACTCAGGCGATGGGAAGTATTGAGCTACCGAATTGATAACCACCACTTCGGGGTGAAGATCTCGCATCCAAGCCACATCTGTTGCTGTGCCGACGTGAACCTCAGACTTGCCTGCCAGAGATGGGCGAGACTTGATGGCCTGATTAACGAATGAGGTTGCCTTCTTCGAGGGATCGAGGCCTACGTAGCTCTTCAATCCCACCCTCTTGGCTAGGTTGAGCAAGATCATGCCAGTACCAGTACCGATTTCGAGTACGTGGCCTGGTTGTCGACCGTCGAGCAGTGTGCTCATAGTGTCGTCCAGCCACTCCTGCATTTCGTCTTTGTCGATAGCACTACCGTCGTACATGGACGTCCAGCCCATGAAGTCGTTGCCAATGGCAGAGGAATCGATCTCTTCGATCTCAGCATATATGTTACTCTCAAACTGGTTACCCCAATCTTCGACTTGGTTGCTGGCTTCGTCGTTGTCAATTCCCTTATCGCTACGCGTAGTAACAAAAGCAATCATCTCTAGCTCCTGATCTTGCTTGCGAGTAATTACGGCAGCATCTTGCACCATACTGTTGTCAAGTACGGCGTGCTCCACTTCGGCTGGCTCAATACGATGGCCACGAATCTTGATTTGTTGGTCCATGCGGCCGAAGAACTCGATCTGACCGTCTTTAGGTCGGTAACGAGCGCGATCACCTGTTCGATAGGCGCGCACCGCCTGATCACCATCAATCGCGATCTTAATGAAACGATTGACATCTAGTGCTGGATCGGTATATCCTCGAGCGACTCCGTCTCCTACCACGATAAGCTCTCCCATAACACCCACGGGGACGAGCTGTTGATTGGGATCCATGATGTAGGCACCTGAGTTGCTAACAGGGCGACCGATTGGAACTCCGTTGACGTTGGCGTCGCCTTTGACCACATTGTAGATGGTACTGAGAGTCGTGTTCTCGGTAGGGCCGTACGCGTTGTAGACACCGCCTCCGACGAGCGCTTGTGTCGCCGCCGCGTCGCGCCTATCGAAACGGTCGCCCGCTGCAAGTACCACGTCTAAGGCGCTGATAGTCGCAGGGATGTTGACCAAACACTGCTTGAGCAGCGCCGGCGGAAGCATGGCCGCTTGGATTTTTTCTCGTGCAAACACGGCTTCAAGCTCCTTGCTATCCAATGTAGTGAAATAGTCAATACATATGAGAGAGCCGCCGTTAAGGAGCGTAGCATAGATCTCCCACGTGGCAGCGTCGAAAGCGATATTTGATAGATGGGCAACGCGTGCTGCCTGAGGCATCTTTGCTACCACATTACTCTGCTTGACGAGACGTACGACACCACGGTGCTCGACCTTGACGCCCTTGGGTAGGCCTGTAGATCCGGACGTGAAGATGACGTATGCAAGACTTGTGGCAGAGGGTTCGGGGCTGGTGCATGTACGAACAGTCTCAGCCGTGGCTTCATCAATCCAAACATATTCGACGTCCTTTAGTTGTACCGCAGGAGCGGGGACTTGAGACCCAAGCAGTACTAGCTTGTGACCAGATATGGTTGATAAGATCGCCTCAATACGGGCGGCTGGGACGTTGGTATCCAATGGAAGGTAGGCTAGATTAGCCTTGAGAATACCAAAGAAGGTAACGATGGTTTGACACGTTCTTGGAGCGTATACAGCAACCAAAGTCTCAGCTGGCATATTGCGTTGGAGGAGCCAGGCAGTGATCTTATCAGACTGGTCGTCGAGTTGACTGTAGGTAAGCTGTGAGGTGGAGTCTTTGACCGCAGTCGCGTCAGGGCATGCGGCAACCTGAGCACGGAAAACGTCGATCACGCTTGAGTCGCGCGGATACTCAGGCCTCTCAATCTCAAGCAGGCCTTGACTGCGAAGATCTGCCAGCCCATCAGTGAGTGGGAGAACCGCGAGCGGGGTCTGTGGCGTTTCAAGGCCTCTCCGGAGAATCTCTTTGAAGATTGCAACCATTCCTTGGATAGTCTCTAGCTCGAACAGATCCTCTGCGAAAAGAACCCTTCCAGAAAGGCGTTCTGCCTGCTGGAACATATGGAACTCAATGTCAAAGCGAGTGGATGCAGCCGTGGGGATAGGCTTCGTGTCCAGGCCTTCAAGCTGGAATTTACTGATATCCCTCTGAGAATGGACGGCAAACATGAGTTGAGCAAGAGGATTCCGGGAGGCGTCTCGCGAGCCTGGTAGAATCGCGGACACAATTCGCTCGAACGGAACATCCTGATTGGCAAAGGCAGTCGTCGACGTAGAATGGACTTGTTGTACCAATGCTTCAAATGTATCCTCCACGTCTACCGTGATCCTGATACATTGAGTATTGACGAAGAAGCCCACCAATCTTTCAAGTTCCGGCCTGTTACGGTTGGCAATCGGGGTGCCGATAGTGGCGTCAGTAGCGCCTGTCAAGCGGTAATGAGTTGTTCGGAAGACCGCCAGCAGGACCGTGAACATTGTTGTCTGATGTGCTCGGCAAAACGCCTGGAGCTGATCGAACACCGGACCATCGATAGTGAGTTGTACGGCTCCAGCCTTGCCAGATAGGACCTCCGGCCGGGGTAGATCGGTCAGGAGCTCGGCTGGAGTGTTATCTGCCAGCTGCTCGGTCCAGTACTCGAGCTGTCGATGGTGCTCAGCAACTTGATCTGGCAACTTCTGCCACAATGAGAAGTCGCGGTATTGGATTGGCAGAGCGTCAATCTGCGCCAGAGGATCTTGGCCCTTGAGCGCAGCAGTATAGAATTGCTTCAGCTCTTGGCGCAGAACATCCACGGACCATCCATCTGAGATAATGTGGTGCATGACGATGGAGAGGATATGATCGTCTTCGCCCAAGCGAATGAGCGATACCCTCCAACCTGGATCTGAAGTCAGATCAATGGGGAGCGTGCGCTCCTTGTGGAGGGCTTTAGCATAGTCGCCGTTTTGCTCTTTAGATACGTCCAGGATTCTAAGGTCCTTCTTGTTGGTAGGGTGTACAATTTGGATGCCCACACCATCTTGTTCCTCAAATGTTGTTCTCAGGGTCTCATGACGCTGTTCTAGTGCAAACAGCGCAGTAGTGAGGGACTTGACGTGAAGGGATCCTTGCAAGCGTAGCGCGAGAGGCATGAGATACCACGAGGCACCGAAGTTGAGCTGGTCTAAGAACCAGAGACGGCCTTGGGCAAAGGACTGTTCCACAGGCCCGGTGTAGGCGGTCTGTGGGATAGGTTTGTGCATGATTGAGTCTTGCTTAATAGTGGATGCAAGGTCAACGAGGACGGGGTGGTCGAAAACGCTCTTGACGGATACTCGGGCATTCACGCGGCGACTAATACGCGCTGCGAGCTTGGTTGCCATGAGTGAGTGTCCTCCAAGGTCGAAGAAGTTGTCGGTAATGCCGACCTCCACGCCGAGAACGTCGGCAAACTCTTCGCACAATGTCCTCTCCATGTCGTTGGTGGGAGGAACTCTTACGGAAGGAAGGGAAACTGCCTCGCTCTTCTGTAGGGTTTGTGCTCTTTGCGCGAGCTCTTTCCTGTCAACCTTACCGTTAGCATTGACAGGCATTCGATCCAGTACAACAATCTGTGTAGGAACCATGTAGAGCGGAAGTAAGGTCTTGATCCAGCGACGGACTTCATTCTCGATCCGTGCTGTGAATTCCTCGACTGACTGCTTCTCAATGGAAGTATTTTCATGGGTAGTGACGAAAGCAACCATTTCTGGTTCTTGACCCTCAGGTCGCCGGATTGCGACAGCCGCATCGCGGATAATGTTGTGGGTGAGAATAGCGTGCTCTACCTCAGCCGGCTCGATACGATGGCCTCGAATCTTGACTTGCTGATCCATGCGACCAAAAAATTCAATCTGACCATCCTTTGGACGGAAGCGTACGCGATCACCGGTCCGGTATACTCTAACCTGTTGGCCATCAACAGTCACCTCAACGAAGCGATTTACATTCAGTGTGGGATCGGTATATCCTCGCGCAAGGCCGTCGCCAGAAACGACGAGCTCGCCTAGCACGCCAACGGGGACGAGCTGTTGCCGGGAGTCCATGATGAAGGCTCCGGAGTTGCTAATGCTCTGACCGATGGGAACACCGTTCACGAACGAATCGTCCTTGGCAATTTCGTAGATAGTACTGATGACCGTGTTTTCCGTGGGGCCATAGGCGTTGTAGACGGCGGTCTTGACGATCGAGCGCGCTTTCATGGCATCCTGTTTGTCGAATCGATCTCCAAGCGCGTAGAGCACCTCTACGTCATCGAACATAGTAGGCATGTTGGCTAAGCACTCTTTGAGTAGTGCAGGAGGCATCAGAGATGTCTGAATGCGTTGCTCCTTGAACACGGTCTCGAGGGCTTTGCTATCCAGAACGGTGGCATAGTCGATGCAGACTAGCGTTCCTCCGTTGAGAAGGGTGGAGTAAATTTCCCATGCAGAGTTGTCGAAGACGAGGTTCGTCAGATGTGCGGTGCGAGGCGCGCTTGGGAGCTTAGAGACAAGATTCGTCTCTTTGACAAGGCGCACAATACTGCGGTGCTCGATCATGACACCCTTGGGCTTGCCTGTGGATCCAGATGTGAACAGAACATACGCAAGATTTCTTGCCAATGGTCCTACACTCTTATCTGTAGCATGAGAAGGGACAGAGCGGCCTAAGATTTCACTGATTGGTACGACATCGACGTCTGGGAGCTGGATTTCTGGGATAGGTACGTCCTGCCCAAGCAGAATCAGTTTCTGCCCTGGAATGGACGACAAAATGGCCTCTATGCGGGCAACCGGCACTTTGACGTCTAGCGGTAGGTAGGCTAAGCTTGCCTTTAAAATACCAAGAAAGGCAACGATCGTTTGGCAAGACCGTGGTGCTAGCACGCCCACCAAAGTCTCGGGCGCCATCTTTTTCTGACGCAGCCAGCTGGCTAGCTCGTCAGAGCGGAGATCCAGCTGTGCGTAGGTGAGCTGGGAGGCAGAATCTGTGACGGCCGTGGCATCCGGGCGGGCACCAACCTGCTGGCGGAAGATATCGATGACGCTGGAGTCTTGAGGGTAGGCGGTCTTCTCAATATCTAGCACACACATGCTGCGAAGCTGCGCAATACCATTGGTAAGAGGCAAGACCGCAATTGGCGTCTTGGGTGTCTCGAGACTCTGGCGGAGGATCTCTTGGAAGACGGAGACGAGGCTGTCGATCGTCTCCGGCTCGAACAGATCTGCCGCGAACAATACAATGCCGCCTAGGCCCTTCTCTTCCTGGAAAAGATGGAACTCTAGATCGAAACGAGTTGATGTGGCTCGTGAAATGGCCTCGCTCTCTAGGCCGTCTAGTTCGATCTTGCTGATGTCTTTCTGAGAATGTACGGCAAACATGATCTGAGAGAGCGGGTTGCGGGACGTGTCTCGGGAGCCTGGGAGTAGGGCTGACACGATTCGCTCAAAAGGTACGTCTTGGTTGGCGAAAGCGGCTGTAGATGTAGTCCGAACCTGGTGGATGAGTGTCTCGAACGTGTCCTCCTCTTCTACGGTAATCCGCATGCACTGAGTGTTAACAAAGAACCCGACCAAGTTCTCAAGCTCTGGTCTGTTACGATTAGCGATAGGCGTACCAATCGTAGCATCCTCTGCTCCAGTGAGGCGATAGTGGGTGGCTCGAAATACAGTGAGGAGCACCGCGAATAAGGTGGTCTGGTGGACTCGGCAGAACGCGCGGAGACGATCATAGACTGGGCCTGTAATAGAGAGCTGGATGACTCCAGCCTTACCGGACAGAACGGCTGGCCGAGGCAGATCGGTCGGGAGCTCGGCTGGAGTATTGTCGGCTAGGTTCTTCGTCCAGTAATCAAGCTGCCGTTTATGCTCGGTGATCTGATCCAGCTGCTTTTGCCAAACGGAAAAGTCGCGATATTGGATATGCAGGGGGCTCAATTGCGCCAAGGGGTCCTTGCCCTTGAGCGCGGCGTTGTAAAACTCCCTGATCTCCTTACGCAGGATATCGAACGACCAACCATCAGAGATGATGTGGTGCATCACGATAGAGAGGATGTTGTCATCTTCGTTCAGGCGGAACACCGATACCCTCCATCCTGGCTCCGTTTCTAAATTGAACGGAGTTGTTTGCTCTGTGTGCAGAGCCTGAGTATAATCGCCATCATGCTCTGCTTGTACATCAATCACTCTGAGTTCTTTGGGGCGATGTGGCTGAACAACCTGCATACCAATGCCGTCGTGCTCTTCAAACGTCGTTCGCAGGGTTTCGTGACGCTCCTCCAGAGCGTGTAACGCCGCCGCGAGCGCCTCAATCTTAAGCGGTCCGCGCATACGTACTGCGATTGGTTGCAGATACCATGTTGAACTGACGTTCAGCTGTTCAAGGAACCACAGCCGACCCTGAGCGAAAGACTGCTCCACAGGCCCGCTATATTGTGTTGCGAGGATGGGGTTGTGTGGAGTTGAGCCTCGCTGAATTGCAGCTGCTAGGTCCGCTAGGATAGGATGATCAAACACGTCTTTGACAGAGACCTTCGCATCGAAGCGACGGCTACTGCGAGCCGCAAGCTTCGTGGCCATGAGAGAGTGTCCGCCAAGATCGAAGAAGTTGTCATTAACGCCAACCTCGACACCAAGCACTTCGGCAAACTCCTCACAAAGGAGAGCCTCTATCTCGTTGCGAGGCCCAACGCGTTCAGCGGTTGTCTCGACCCTCGAGACCATCTTAGCTCTGCGGGTAAGCTCTTTTCTGTCAACCTTGCCGTTCGCGTTCATAGGCATCTCGTCCAAGACCACAATGCGGACTGGCATCATATAGGACGGCAGTATAGCTTGTAGCCGCTCGCGCATTTGCACCTCGATTCGTCGGCTCTGGAGTCGTTGCAGCGGCCTGTTTGCAAGCGAATCGAGCGCTCGGCCTTGATCATCTGTCGGGAACTTGACCATGACGCGAGCTCCATCGTGCACCGACTCGTAGTGGTGGAAGACCGCGTCGATTCCACCCTTCTGAGACCTCTGTCGCGCCCAGCTGAGCTCCACGCGGAAGCCGGCCTCCTTGGCGATTTGAACGAAGTCGACTCCGGAGAGTGACGCGCACTGTTCGGCGGTAGAGCGAACAGCCGATAGCCATGCTGACCCATCTAACGAGTCCTCGACTTCATCGTCGTCCAAAGATGCGAGGACATGGCGCTCATAAATCGTCTTGCTGTAGGGGATATTGCTGATGGCTACAGTTTCGGCCTTTGGTGAGCTTTGTAGGTGGCGAAGAAGAGCGTGTCGATCCATCTTGGATCCTCGGAAGTCAACCCAGGCGTCTTGATTGACTGTTACGACTGGTTGTGCCTCCTGGCCTGGAAGCCGTATGTGTATGACGGCTGCATAACGGTATGAGCTCAGCTCGTTGGTAGCTGTCATCTGCTTGGGCAGAATCTCGACATGCTCGACTTCTGACAGCCAGCTGGCGAGGCCTGTGAAGAAGGCTGGATCCACGAGTAGTTCCTCTTCGAATTCCTCTAGCTCCACCATCTTCCTGCGAACATCGTCCTTGTTTGCCCTGGCTCCTAGCGTATGTAGAGCCCTAGCAGCCAGGAACTGCTTGTTCATGGCGTAGGATCGCATGTCGCCGAAGAACAAGCGTTTCACACCTGGGATGCGGGCTAGAGCAGTTACTGCTTCGACTAGGTACTCGGGGGAAGGGAAGTATTGAGCTACCGAATTAATGACGACCAAATCGGAGCGGAGGTTTTCGAGCTGGCCTACGTCGGTCGCTGTGCCAATCTCAACTTTAGCCTTACCCGCCAAGGATGAGATAGTCTCAATCTTGCGATTGACGAATGCGGCTGCCGAAGTCGACGGCTCGAGGCCGACGTAGCTCTGCAGGCCCTTGCCGAGATTGAATAGGATCATGCCCGTGCCTGTGCCAACTTCGAGGACGTGGCCAGGCTCTCGGCCGTCATGGAGGGTTCTCATAGTATCGTCGAGCCACTCCTGCATCTCTGCTTTATCGATCGCAGTACCGTCGTACATGGACGTCCAGCCCATGAAGTCATTGCCAACGGCAGAGGAGTCGATCTCCTCGATCTCAGCGTAAACGTTGCTCTCGAATTGAGCCCCCCAGTCCTTAACTTGATTCCTAGCTTCGTCGCGTTCTACGGTTTGATCGTTGGGAGCAGAGACGAAAGCGACCATTTCCAGATCTTGGCCTTCCTGCTGTCGAGTAACCACAACTGCGTTTCGGATATCGTCGTGGCCAAGTATGGCGTGCTCGACTTCAGCCGGCTCGATACGATGGCCTCGAATTTTCAGCTGTCTGTCTATACGCCCGCAGAACTCAATCTGGCCATCTTTGGGTCGATAGCGGGCTTGATCGCCTGTGCGATATGCCCTCAGGACCCGACCGTGGATATTGACCTCCACGAAGCGATCACGATTCAGAGCGGGGTCGGTGTATCCACGGGCGAGACCGTCTCCTGTGACGACAAGCTCGCCTATCACCCCTAACGGCACGAGGCGCTGATTAACATCCATGATCACTGCGCCTGAATGGCTGACTGCGCGGCCGATAGGTAGTCCGTTGACGCAGCGTTCTTCTACCCCCATAGGATAGACAGTGCTGAATGTTGTATTCTCTGTCGGCCCATAGACGTGGCAGAAGCTACCAAGAACTAGTTCTCGCGTCTTAAGAGCGTCTTGAGGCCTCATTCTCTCTCCGCCTGCATATAAAAGCTCGAGTCCAGTGATGGTAGATGGCTCTTCGTAGAGCCGCTGCTTGAGCAAAGCAGTTGAGAAGAACGCAGCTTTGATCTTCTCGCTTGAGAAGACGAGAGCTAATTTAGCAGGATCCAACACAGTGATGTGATCAATGCAAACGGTAGTTCCGCCATTTAGGAGCGCAGCGTATATCTCCCAAGTTGCAGCATCGAAAGCAAGATTGGAGATGTGAGCTACTGAGGAAACTGCCTTTGCTGCTGGGACTAGGTTGGTTTCCTTTACCAAGCGTATAATGCTTCGATGCTCAACCATGACACCCTTGGGCTTGCCTGTAGATCCAGATGTAAACATGACGTAGGCAAGACTGGTTGCTGAGGGGTATTTTGCTGGAGGCCCTGCATTCGAAGCGTGAATGCTTTGGCGTAAGATGTCGTTGATCCGCACCAGCTCCACGTTGACAAGTGGAGCCTCTGGATCGGGGACGTCAGCACCAAGGAGGACCAACTTATGGCCGGGGACTGCCGAGAGGATCGCCTCGATACGAGCAGATGGGACGTTGACGTCTAGCGGGAGATATGCCAGGTTGGCCTTGAGGATACCGAAGAATGTAACGATTGTTGGACACGATCTAGGCGCAAGGACGCCTACCAGCGTTTCGGGAGCCAGCTGCCTTTGACGCAACCATGTAGCCACTTTGTTGGATTCTTCATCAAGCTGAGCGTAGGTGAGCTGCGAAGTTGAATCTTTAGCGGCGATCGCATCCGGGCTGGCAGCAACTTGGGTGCGGAACACATCAACCACGCTTGAATCGCGAGGATACTCTGGAGTGTCGACATCGAGCATACCGACGAGAAGCTCCGGAATCTTGTTATCAAGAGGCAGGACGCTGATTGGCATCCGAGGTGTCTCGAGTCCTCGGCGAAGGATTTCCTGGAAGACGGAGACTAAGCCTTGAATAGTCTCAGGTTCGAACAAGTCGGCAGCAAAGTGGACAATACCGTGCAAGCTCTCTTCCTTCTGGTAAAGATGGAACTCAATGTCGAAGCGCGTCGATACATCTCTTGCGATTGGCTCCGTCTCAACACCTTCGAGTTCAATCAGGCCGATACCCTGCTGTGAATGAAGTGCAAACATGAGCTGCACCAAAGGGTTTCGGGAGGCATCTCTTGAGGTTGACTGGACGGATGAAACGATTCGTTCGAAGGGAACGTCCTGGTTAGCAAATGCAGCTGTTGTCGTTGATCGGACCTGCTGTACCAATCGTTCGAATGTGTCGTCCCCTCCGACTATAATGCGCATACACTGGGTATTGACGAAGAAGCCAATCAGGCTCTCCAGTTCGGGCCGATTCCGGTTGGCGATGGGAGAACCGATTGTCGCGTCCTCGGTGCCTGTTAGACGGTAATGGGCAGCCCTAAAGGCTGCGAGAAGTACCGCGAAGGACGTTGTTTGATGAATTCTGCAGAAAGCCCGGAGACGCTCGTAGACTTGGCCGTCCACGGCAAGCTGTACGATGCCAGCAGTGCCAGACAGCACCTCTGGCCGCGGGAAATCGGTGATAAGCTCGGCAGGCGTGCTGTCCTTCAATTGCTCAATCCAGTAGTCGAGTTGTCGCTGGTGCTCGGCTACCTGCTCCGGCTGTTTCTGCCAGAAAGCAAAGTCACGATACTGGATTGGGAGCGCGTCTACTTGCGGCTCCTGGCCCTTGAGAGCGGCGGCGTAGAATAGTTTTAGATCTTGACGCAAGATGTCAACAGACCAACCGTCTGAAATAATGTGGTGCATGACGATGGAGAGAATGTTGTCGTCCTCCCCAATGCGTAGCAGAGACACTCTCCAGCCTGGCTCGGTCGCGAGATTGAATAGAGTCTGCTGCTCCTTCCGTAGAGCCCTGATGAAGTCACCCTGATAGTCAGCCACCGTATCGACAATTCTAAGCTTCTTCGGCTGGTGCGGTTGAATGACTTGCACACCAACGCCGTCGTGCTCTTCGAAAGTCGTGCGCAACGGTTCGTGGCGCTGCTCAAGCGCATTGAGTGCTGTGGTCAGCGCACCAATATTGAGCGAACCGCGTACGCGTACGGCGATTGGCTGGATGTACCACAGCGAACCGGCGTTAAGCTGGTCCAAGAACCACAGGCGGCCCTGAGCAAAGGACTGGTCGACGGGCCCTGAGTAGGGCGTTGCGACGATTGGGTTGTGTGGAGTTGAGCCTCGCTGAACGGCGCCCGCAAGGTCGGCGAGAACAGGGTAGTCAAAGACATCCTTGACAGAGATGCGTGCGTCAAGGCGTCTGCTAATTCGAGCAGCCAATTTTGTGGCCATGAGCGAATGACCGCCAAGGTTAAAGAAGTTGTCAGTAATGCTGACCTCAGTGCCGAGTAGATCTACGAATACTTCGCACAGCGCGGCTTCGATCTCGTTACGTGCACCGAGTCGCTCAAAAGCTGGCTTTTCAACTTTCTGAACCATGCCAGCCCTTCGCTCTAGGGCTTTCCTGTCTACCTTGCCATTGGCATTCAAGGGCATCTCATCGACCATCACGATAAGCGACGGGATCATGTAAGATGCAAGTACAGCGCTGAGCTGGTCTCGAATCTGGGTCTCCAATCGTCGACTCTGTAGCCGCTGCAGCGGTTGGTTTGTGAGTTGTCCTGATAGACGAGGTCGATTATCAGTCGGGAACTGCACCAGGACACGACCACCATCCTGGTTAGGCTTGTAGTGATGGAAAACAGCGTCTAAAGCTCCGTGATGGGTTCGTTGCCTTGCCCAACTAAGCTCCACACGGAAGCCTGTCTCCTGGGCAAGCTGCGCAAGGTCGAAGGCGGACAGCGATGCACAGGTTTTGATATTGGACCGGATAGCAGACATCCAAGCAGCTCCTTCAAGCTTATCTTGTGGATCATCGCTGTCTGTGAGATCGTCATCAAGCGACTGAACAATGTGGCGCGCCAAGATCGTCTTGCTGTACGCGATGTTGCTAACAGCAATACCTGCAGCATCTGCTGAGTTTTGCAAGAGGTTGGCAAGAGCAGTGCGATTCATTTGAGATGCGCTAAAATCGATCCAAGCGGTGGGATCAATGGTGTGCACCGTCTGCGCCTGCCTTGCTGGGTCTCGAATGTGAACAACTGCCGCGTATCGGTATGCGCTAAGTTCGTTGGTGGCCATCATTCGCTTTGGCAAGATCTCGACGTGCTCAACCTCTGGAAGCTCGGTCGCTAGGTTGGTGAAGAAGGTCGGGTCAACGAGCAGTTCTTCCTCGTAGTTTTCGAGTTCCGTCATCTTGCTTCGAATGGCGCTCTTAGTAGCCTTGCTACCTAGATTGTGCAAGGCGCGAGCTGCAAGGAACTGCCTGTTGGTAGCGAAAGATCGCATATCGCCGAAAAAGAGACGCCTGACTCCTGGAATACGGGCCAGTGCGTACAAAACCTTAGACAAGTACTCAGGCGACGGGAAGTACTGAGCCACCGAGTTGATAACCACTACTTCCGGGCGGAGATCTTGAAGTTGGCTTATATCTGTCGCTGTACCCACGTGAACCTCAGCTTTACCAGCAAAAGCTGGAAGTGTCTGAATCCTGCGATTAACGAAAGCAGCGGCTGAGCTAGAAGGTTCAAGACCAACGTAGTCATGGAGTCCGTCACCTAGATTGAACAACACCATGCCTGTGCCAGTGCCGATTTCGAGAACGCGGCCGGCTTGTCGGCCATCAAGTATTGTCCGCATAGTATCGTCGAGCCACTCCTGCATCTCTGCTTTATCGATCGCAGTACCGTCGTACATGGACGTCCAGCCCATGAAGTCATTGCCAACGGCAGAGGAGTCGATCTCCTCGATCTCAGCGTAAACGTTGCTCTCGAATTGAGCCCCCCAGTCCTTAACTTGATTCCTAGCTTCGTCGCGTTCTACGGTTTGATCGTTGGGAGCAGAGACGAAAGCGACCATTTCCAGATCTTGGCCTTCCTGCTGTCGAGTAACCACAACTGCGTTTCGGATATCGTCGTGGCCAAGTATGGCGTGCTCGACTTCAGCCGGCTCGATACGATGGCCTCGAATTTTCAGCTGTCTGTCTATACGCCCGCAGAACTCAATCTGGCCATCTTTGGGTCGATAGCGGGCTTGATCGCCTGTGCGATATGCCCTCAGGACCCGACCGTGGATATTGACCTCCACGAAGCGATCACGATTCAGAGCGGGGTCGGTGTATCCACGGGCGAGACCGTCTCCTGTGACGACAAGCTCGCCTATCACCCCTAACGGCACGAGGCGCTGATTAACATCCATGATCACTGCGCCTGAATGGCTGACTGCGCGGCCGATAGGTAGTCCGTTGACGCAGCGTTCTTCTACCCCCATAGGATAGACAGTGCTGAATGTTGTATTCTCTGTCGGCCCATAGACGTGGCAGAAGCTACCAAGAACTAGTTCTCGCGTCTTAAGAGCGTCTTGAGGCCTCATTCTCTCTCCGCCTGCATATAAAAGCTCGAGTCCAGTGATGGTAGATGGCTCTTCGTAGAGCCGCTGCTTGAGCAAAGCAGTTGAGAAGAACGCAGCTTTGATCTTCTCGCTTGAGAAGACGAGAGCTAATTTAGCAGGATCCAACACAGTGATGTGATCAATGCAAACGGTAGTTCCGCCATTTAGGAGCGCAGCGTATATCTCCCAAGTTGCAGCATCGAAAGCAAGATTGGAGATGTGAGCTACTGAGGAAACTGCCTTTGCTGCTGGGACTAGGTTGGTTTCCTTTACCAAGCGTATAATGCTTCGATGCTCAACCATGACACCCTTGGGCTTGCCTGTAGATCCAGATGTAAACATGACGTAGGCAAGACTGGTTGCTGAGGGGTATTTTGCTGGAGGCCCTGCATTCGAAGCGTGAATGCTTTGGCGTAAGATGTCGTTGATCCGCACCAGCTCCACGTTGACAAGTGGAGCCTCTGGATCGGGGACGTCAGCACCAAGGAGGACCAACTTATGGCCGGGGACTGCCGAGAGGATCGCCTCGATACGAGCAGATGGGACGTTGACGTCTAGCGGGAGATATGCCAGGTTGGCCTTGAGGATACCGAAGAATGTAACGATTGTTGGACACGATCTAGGCGCAAGGACGCCTACCAGCGTTTCGGGAGCCAGCTGCCTTTGACGCAACCATGTAGCCACTTTGTTGGATTCTTCATCAAGCTGAGCGTAGGTGAGCTGCGAAGTTGAATCTTTAGCGGCGATCGCATCCGGGCTGGCAGCAACTTGGGTGCGGAACACATCAACCACGCTTGAATCGCGAGGATACTCTGGAGTGTCGACATCGAGCATACCGACGAGAAGCTCCGGAATCTTGTTATCAAGAGGCAGGACGCTGATTGGCATCCGAGGTGTCTCGAGTCCTCGGCGAAGGATTTCCTGGAAGACGGAGACTAAGCCTTGAATAGTCTCAGGTTCGAACAAGTCGGCAGCAAAGTACACAATGCCGCCTAGGCTCCCTTGCTCTTGATAGAGATGGAACTCGAGATCGAAGCGAGTGCGTACAGCTCGGGGAATAGGCTCCGTTTCGCAGCCTTCTAGTTGGATTTTTCCGAGGTCCTGTTGAGAGTGGAGGGCGAACATGAGCTGTACAAGCGGATTCCTTGACGTGTCTCGTGAGGTAGATTGCATAGTAGACACGATGCGTTCAAAGGGGACATCTTGATTCGCGAAGGCAGCCGTCGCAGTGGCTCGGACCTGACGTATAAGACTCTCGAAAGTGTCGTCTCCCTCGATAGTAATGCGCATACACTGAGCATTCACGAAGAAGCCAATCAGGTTCTCTAATTCGGGCCTGTTGCGATTGGCGATAGGTGTGCCGATAGTGGCGTCTTCGGCTCCTGTAAGGCGATAATGTGCTGCACGGAAGGCTGCTAGGAGTATGGCGAAGGCAGTTGTCTGATGAGTCTTGCAGAAAGCCTGCAGACGCTCATATAGCGGGCCCTTGATAGAAAGGGCCATTTCGCCAGCTTTGCCTGACAGTACGGCCGGGCGAGGTAAGTCAGTTGGGAGCTCAGCTGGGGAGCTGTCTGCCAGCTGCTTGGTCCAGTACTCAAGTTGTTTTGCATGTTCGATGATCTGGTCTGGCTGCTTCTGCCAGAGCGAGAAGTCGCGGTATTGGATTGGGAGCGGGCTGATATGCGCGAGGGGATCCTGACCCCGGAGGGCAGCAGCATAGAACTGCCTCAGCTCGTGGCGCAGAACATCGACTGACCAGCCGTCCGAAATGATGTGGTGCATGACGATGGAAAGATTATGCGTGTTTTGGTCTACTCTGTGTAAAGTCACCCTCCAACCAGGCTGAGTTGCTAGATTGAACATGGTAGTCTGCTCGTCACGTAGCACTTTAAGGTAGTCGCCCTGGTGGTCGGCCGCTATGTCGACGATTTCGAGTTCCTTCTGCTGGAATGGCTGAACGGCTTGCTTGCCCATACCATCCTGCTCAATGAATGTTGTTCTTAAAGTCTCATGTCGCTGCTCTAGCGCATGTAACGCCGTGGTAAGGGCCTTGATATTGAGTGGCCCACGAATCCGCACCGCAAGCGGTAGGAGATACCACGTTGCCTTGAGATTGAGTTGTTCAAGGAACCAAAGGCGGCCCTGGGCGAATGACTGCTCTACAGGTCCAGAGTACTCAGTGGTAACGATCGCCGAGTGGGGAGTCGAGCCTCGCTGAATAGCAGCGGCAAGATCCGCTAGAACTGGGTGGTCGAAAACGTCTTTGACAGACACCTTTGCGTCAAGTCGGCGCCCAGTACGTGCAGCCAGCTTCGTAGCCATGAGGGAGTGTCCACCAAGGTCGAAGAAGTTGTCCGTGACACCAACTTCGGCGCCGAGGACTTCACTGAATTCTTCGCACAGAACCGCTTCGACTTCATTTCGGGGTTGAATACGCTCCGCAGCTGTTTCAATTCTTGGGACCACCTTCGCTCTGCGCGTCAGCTCCTTGCGGTCGACTTTGCCGTTGGCATTGACTGGCATCTTATCTAGCACCATGATCCGAGCTGGAATCATGTATGATGGTAGCATAGCCTGTAGTCGCTCACGAATCTGTGTTTCGATCCGGCGGCCCTGAACTCGCTGTAACGGTCGATTCGTAAGAGACTCCATCGATCGACCCTGGTCGTCAGTCGGGAACTGTATTAGAACACGGCTACCTTCTTTGGGAGATTGGTATTGGTGGAAGATAGCGTCAAGTGCACCGTTCTGAGACTTTTGCCGAGCCCAGCTGAGCTCGACACGGAAGCCCACCTCTTTAGCAACTTCGACGAGATCGGTTGCGGACAGCGATGGACACTGTTCGGCGCTGGAATGAATATTTTTGTTCCAGGCGGATCCGTCGAGCGAGTGTTCTTCGTCCTCATCCAGAGATGCGACAAGATGACAATCGAAATTAGTTTTGCTGAATGGAATGTTGCTGATAGCTACAGTCTCAGCCTTTGACGAGCTCTGCAGATGATGAACAAGAGCGCTTCGATCCATCTTGGTGGCTGTGAAGTCGACCCAGGCGCCCTTTTCAATTTTCGCTATGTGCTGCTCTTCGGGAAGAGCTAGATGAACAACGGCTGCATAACGATACGCGCTGAGCTCGTTTGTGGCGATCATTTGTTTTGGAAGAATCTCCACATGCTTGACCTGGCCTGGCAGTCGGCTGACCAGACCAGTGAAGAAAGAGGGATCGACAATCAACTCTTCTTCGAATTCATCCAACTCAGCCATTTTCCGGCGGATGTCATGTTTCTTCGCGTTGGACCCTAGCGTATGAAGGGCTCGGGCTGCAAGGAATTGCCTGTTAGTAGCATAGGATCGTATGTCTCCAAAGAACAAGCGTTTGACACCTGGTATCTGAGTGAGGACACCGACGACCTCGAGGAGATACTCTGGCGTAGGGAAGTATTGAGCCACAGAATTGATGACGACAACTTCCGGATGGAGTCCCTTGAGTTGAGCCGCCTCCGTTGCAGTGCCGACATATACCTTGGCTTTGCCAGCTACCGTTGAAACGGTCTTGATCTTCCTGTTGACGTACGCAGTGGCCGAGGTTGAGGGCTCAAGGCCGACGTAGCTTTGCAGTCCCTCTTTCCCGAGACCAAACATGATCATACCGGTACCAGTACCGATCTCAAAGACATGACCAGCAGGCTGACCATCAACAATCGTCTGTATGGTATCGTCAAGCCATTCCTGCATCTCGGCCTGATCGATCGCGCCGCCATCATACATGTTCGTCCAGCCGACAAAGTCCTTGCCAACATCAGACTGGACAAGGGTGTCGAGCTCTGCATATGTACTCGTTTCGAAGTGGTCCCCCCATCCAGCCACTTGATTGGTGGCTTCATTGCGTTCGATAGACTTGTTATTGTGGGCTGCAACAAAGGCAACCATTTCTAAGCCTGCACTATCTTGATGGCGAGTGACAATGGCCACATCAACGATGTCATTGTGGCCGAGCATGGCATGCTCGATCTCGGCGGGCTCAATACGATGACCACGAATCTTGAGCTGTCGGTCCATACGCCCAAAGAATTCGATTTCGCCATCTTTAGGTCGATAACGCGCGCGGTCACCAGTTCGATAGGCGCGCACGCGTTTACCATCGATAGTGATGTGCACAAAGCGGTTGCAGTCCAGGGCGGGATCTGTATATCCTCGGGCAAGGCCGTCTCCAATAACGACAGCTTCTCCCATGACACCAACTGGGACGAGTTGTTGATTGAGATCCATGACGTAGGCCCAAGAATTGCTCACGGCCTTTCCGATAGGCACACCATTGGTGAACTGATCGTCATCGGCAAGCTCATAGATTGTGCTGACGATTGTCGTTTCTGTAGGGCCCCATGCATTGTAAACTGGGCCCTTGACAAGCGCTTTTGTCGCGATAGCATCGCGCCTATCAAAGCGATCGCCACCGGTGTACAGAGCGGACAGCTTGCGGAGAGCTTCTGGTACAATAGTGATGCACTGCTTGAGTAACGTAGGCGTAATCATAGCCGCAGTAATCTGCTCCCGCTCGAACAGCACACCGAGGGCTTTAGCATCGAATGAAGTGAAATAATCGACGCAGACCAGAGTCCCTCCGTTGAGAAGCGTAGCATATACCTCCCATGCTGAGACGTCGAAGGCGATGTTGGTCAAGTGCGCAACGCGAGCTCCGGAAGGCATCTTGGACATGGAATTGCTCTCTTTTCTCACGAGGCGAATGACGCTTCGATGCTCGACCATCACACCCTTTGGCTTACCCGTCGATCCAGATGTGAATATGACGTACGCTAGGCTGGTTGGAGAGGGTTCTGTTGTCGCCGTACCGGCAGAGGCAGCGTGGCCGAGAGTGTCTTCGATGCGCACCAACTCAACATTCTGCAGCTGGATCTCCAGGGCAGGCACATCAGAACCTAGGAGAAGCAGCTTGTTCCCTGGCACAGAAGACATGATTGTCTCAACGCGGGCCATCGGGGCATTGACATCGAGAGGTAGATAGGCTAGGTTCGCCTTGAGGACACCAAGGAAGGCTACGATAGTCTGGCACGATCGCGGAGCGAGGACACCCACCAGAGTTTCTGGCGCCATTTTTCGGTTTCGCAACCAGGTGGCTATCTCATCGGATTGTTGATCAAGTTGCGCGTAGGTCAGCTGTAAAGTCGAGTCCTTGACAGCAATTACGTCCGGATATGTAGCGACTTGCTCGCGGAAAATGTCGACCATGCTAGAGTCGCGGGGATAGTCAGTCCGCTTGAAGTCAACCAGATCCATCTTGCGAAGATTATTCAGCCCGTCAGTAAGCGACAGAGCTGCAATCGGCGTTCGTGGCTGGTTGAGGCCGCGACGTAAGATTTCTTGGAAGACAGACACCACCCCTTGGATAGTCTCGGCATCGAACAGATCGGTTGCGTAATACACAACACCGTTCAACCTCTCTTCTTCCTGGAATAGATGAAATTCCGCGTCAAATCGAGTAGAGATAGCTCCAGCAACTGGCTCAGATGTCAAGTCTTGCAACTCAAACTTGCCAAGGTTCTTCTGGGAGTGAACGGCAAATACTAGCTGGACGAGCGGATTACGAGATGTGTCTCTTGAGCCAGAAAGAAGGGACGATACGATTCGCTCGAACGGCACGTCTTGATTAGCATACGCTGCAGTGGCTGTTGAGTGAACCTGGTGGATCAGAGATTCGAACGTATCATCTTCCTCAACCGTGATCCGCATACACTGCCTGTTAACGAAAAAGCCGATCAGGTGCTCTAGCTCAGGTCGGTTACGATTGGCGATCGGTATGCCAATCGTCGCGTCGTCAACACCCGTCAGGCGGAAGTGAGCAGCTCGGAAGGCAGCGAGCAAAACGGAAAAGGAGGTCGTTTGATGAGCTCGGCAGAAGGCCTGAAGCTTCTCATAGACCTGACCTTCGATAACGAGCGGGACCGAGCCGGCCTGCCCGGACAGCACAGATGGACGTGGCCGGTCCGCAAGAAGCGTAGCAGGGGAATTGTCAGCCAACTGCTCAACCCAGTACTTGAGCTGTCGTTCGTGCTCAGCAACTTGCTCTGGCTGCTTTTGCCAGAGAGAGAAGTCGCGGTACTGGATGGGGAGTGGATCAGCCCCTGATAGGGGATCCAGGCCTTGGAGTGCAGCGGCATAGAATTGCTTCAACTCCTGGCGTAGAACGTCGACAGACCATCCATCGGAGATGATGTGATGTAGAACTAGAGACAAGATATGATCGTTGTCGTTCATACGGAGCAGCGATACCCTCCATCCTGGCTCCGACTGTAGATCGAAGGGGGTCGTCTGCTCTCCCTTCAACGCTTCTGTATAATCGCCGTCGTAATCGGCGGCAATATCCATTATCCTGAGCTCCATTGGGTCATGTTCTTGGACGACCTGCATACCAACGCCGTCCTCTTCCTCAAAAGTGGTGCGCAACGTCTCGTGACGTTGCTCTAGGGCATGCAGCGCGGTAGTGAGCGCGTCAATATTGAGTGATCCGCGTATGCGTATGGCAATTGGCTGAAGGTACCAATTCGAGCCAACATTAAGCTGGTCCAAGAACCATAGGCGCCCCTGGGCGAATGATTGTTCAACTGGTCCGGAGTATGTGGTTGTGAGGATCGCATTATGTGGAGTCGAGCCTCGTTGAACCGCTGCTGCAAGGTTGGCTAAAATTGGGTAATCAAAAATGTCCTTAACAGACAACTTTGCATCAAGTCGACGAGCGGCGCGGGCTGCAAGCTTCGTCGCCATGAGAGAGTGCCCTCCAAGATCGAAAAAGTTGTCCATGACACTAATTTCGACGCCAAGGACCTCGGCGTATTCTTCGCAAAGAATTGTTTCAATTTCATTGCGAGGCGGAACCCTCTCTGGAGCGAGGTATGCCGTCTCGCTTCGCGGCACAGTCCCCGCCCTCTTAGCAAGCTCTTTGCGATCGACCTTGCCGTTGGCGTTGAGAGGCATGCTGTTAAGCAGCACCATTTGAGCTGGTACCATGTATGATGGAAGCAAGACCTTCACTCGATCCAGGATATCCTTCTCTGGGTGCTTGCTGTCGTTATCGCCTCGGACTACAGCAAATGCGATCATTTCGATCTCCTGGTCAGCTTGCTTGTGGACAATGACTGCAGCGTCCTGGACTAAGCTGTTATCGAGGATGACGTGCTCTACCTCAGCCAATTCGATACGATGTCCTCGGATCTTGACTTGGTGATCCATTCGGCCAAAGAACTCAATCTGACCGTCCTTGGGTCGGTGTCGAACACGGTCACCAGTGCGGTAGGCTCGTACCATCTGGCCATCGATTTCAACCTTGATGAAACGATCAACATCAAGAGCTGGATCAGTGTAACCTCGGGCTACACCATCGCCAACCACAACAAGCTCTCCCATGACGCCCAACGGGACAAGCTGCTGGTTGAGATCCATGATATACACGCCAGAGTTGCTGACAGGAAGTCCGATTGGAATACCGTTGACGTTAGTATCGCTATCCACAACGTTGTATATTGTGCTAAGCGTGGTATTTTCCGTAGGACCGTAGGCATTGTATACACCACCTCCAACAAGCGCCTGCGCCGCAATAGCGTCGCGCCTATCAAATCGGTCACCAGCAGCGAGGATAACATCTAGCGCGCTGATGGTCGTGGGGATATTGAGTAGGCATTGTTTCAGAAGCGCCGGTGGGAACATGGCTGCACGGATCTGTTCTCGCTCGAAAACGGCCTCGAGGACCTTGCTGTCTAGCGTGGTGAAGTAGTCGATACAGATGAGCGAGCCACCGTTCAAGAGCGCAGCGTAGATTTCCCATGTCGCGGCGTCAAACGCGAGATTTGAAAGGTGTGCAACACATGCCGCCTCTGGCATCTTTGCTACCACGTTGCTGTTCTTGACGAGGCGAACAATACCGCGGTGTTCCACCTTGACGCCCTTCGGCTGGCCAGTGGATCCGGAAGTGAAGATAACATAAGCAAGGCTTGTAGCTGAGGGTTCAGAGTGGGTAGTATTATCCTTCGCCATGTTGTGGTCCATCGTTTCATTGATTCGTACGAATTCGACGTCATCAAGCCGAATTTCCGGCTGAGACTGATCAGAACCAAGTAGGAGGATTTTCTTCCCTGCAACGGACGATAAGATTGCCTGAATACGGGCTGCCGGGACGTTAATATCGAGTGGAAGATAGGCTAGATTAGCCTTCAAAATACCGAAGAAGGTAATGATAGTCTGGCATGATCTGGGTGCTAGCACGGCAACCAGGGATTCTGCTGGCAAATTTCGTTGATGTAGCCATACAGCCACCTCATCGGACTGCTTATCAAGTTGGGCGTAGGTGAGCTGCGACGTCGAATCTTTCACAGCGATTGCATCTGGGCAAGCAACGACCTGAGCGCGGAACACGTCAATGACGCTCGAGTCGCGGGGATATTGAGGCTGCTCAATTTCAAGCAGGCCTCTGTTGCGAAGCTCCGTGAGGCCGTCTGTGAGCGGCAGGACGGCAATGGGGATCTGAGGCTGGTCAAGAACTCTGCGCAAGATCTCCATGAACACAGAGACCATGCCCTGGATAGTCTCCGGCTCGAATAGATCAGTCGAGAAGAGCACATTTCCGCTGAGACGACCGACTTCCTGGAACAAATGGAACTCGACGTCGAATCGAGTGAAAGAAGCCGTGGGAATCGTCTCGCCCACGAGGCCCTCGAACTGAATTTTGCCAAGGTCCTTGAGAGAATGGACAGCGAACATGAGCTGTGCCAGTGGGTTGCGGGCGGTATCGCGAGAGCCCGGCAGGAGTGTTGACACGATGCGTTCAAAAGGAACGTCTTGGTTTGTAAAGGCAGCCGTTGCTGTAGATCGAACCTGGCGCACTAGCTGCTCAAACGTGTCATCAGCTCCAACACTAATTCTCATACACTGAGTATTAACGAAGAATCCGACCAAGTTTTCAAGCTCTGGCCGGTTACGGTTGGCGATTGGTGTGCCAACAGTAGCATCTTCGGCACCTGTAAGACGATAGTGCGTTGCGCGGAAGGCTGCTAGTAGCACTGCAAAAGTTGTCGTCTGGTGCACTCGACAGAAGGCTCTCAGGCGGTCATAGATGGGGCCTTCGATAGTGAGGTGGACCAGTCCGGCATCACCAGACAAGACGGGTGGGCGTGGGAGATCGGCAAGGAACTCAGCGGGAGCACTATCGGCCAACTGATCGACCCAGTACGCAAGCTGCCGCTCATGCTCGGCGACCTGCTCAGGTTGCTTCTGCCAGACAGAGAAGTCACGGTATTGAATTGGGAGCGGGCTCACTTGTCCCAATGGATCTTGGCCCTGGATTGCAGCAGCGTAGAACTGGCCCAGTTCTTGACACAAAATGTCGATAGACCAGCCGTCGTAGATGATATGGTGCATGACGATAGACAGCACATGATCAGAAGGCTCAAGCTGAAGAAGGGCGACTCTGAAGCCCGGCTCTGATGCGAGATCAAATGGGGCAGTGCGTTCGTGATGTAGCGCCTCAGAAAAGTCGCCCGCAGGTACATCAATGACTCTGAGTTTCTTCTTGTGGCTAGGTTGAATGATTTGGATGCCTACGCCATCTTGCTCCTTGAAGACGGTTCGGAGAGTCTCGTGTCGCTGTTCCAATGCGAAGAGCGCAGCTGTGAGAGCATCGATGCGGAGAGGTCCACGCAAACGCAACGCAAGAGGCATGAGATATAAAGATGCACCGAGATTCAACTGGTCTAAGAACCAGAGACGGCCCTGAGCAAACGATTGCTCTACTGGACCAGAGTACTCGGTTGGGGTGATAGGATTGTGAGGGGTCGAACCACGGCGAATGGAGGCGGCGAGGTCGGCAATGACAGGCTGATCAAAGACATCTTTAACAGAGACTCGGGCGTCAAGGCGTCGACTGATACGGGCCGCGAGTTTGGTCGCCATAAGCGAGTGTCCACCGAGGTCGAAGAAGTTATCCGTAATACCAACCTCAAGTCCGAGAACGTCGGTAAACTCCTCACAAAGCACAGCCTCGGTCTCATTACGGGCACCAACACGTTCGGAAGCTGGTTTTTCGACCCGTAGCACTGCCCGGGCTCGTCGTTCCAATGCCTTCCTATCCACTTTGCCGTTGGGGTTCAGGGGCATTTGGTCGACCAGCACGATGAGCGATGGAATCATGTATGAAGGCAAAACGGCCCGTAGCTTTTCTCTAACCTGTGTTTCAATTCGCCGGCTCTGAAGTCGCTGCAAGGGTCGGTTTGTAAGCGGGCCGGATTGGCGTCGATACGTATCGGTCGGGAACTGAAACAGAACACGGCTTCCTTCTCGAGCGGGCTGGTAATGATGAAAGACTGCGTCGATTGCTCCGTGATGAGATCGCTGTCGAGCCCAGCTGAGCTCCACACAGAAGCCTGCCTCCTCACCAAGCTGTACAAGGTCGAGAGCCGATAGTGATGGGCAGTGTTCGGCCTTGGAGCGAACTGCCGAGATCCAGGTAGGCTTATCAAGTTTATCTTGCGCAACGTCCTCGTCTGCATTGTCTTCGTCAAGCGATTGGACGACATGTCGCGCCATGATAGTCTTGCTGTAGGGGATATTGCCGATAGCAACAGCTTCGGTGTTTACCGAGCTTTGAAGAAGACTGATGAGGGCCTTGCGGTCCATCTGAGATTTGCTGAAGTCGACCCATGCGCTCGATTTGATGGCATGCACGGTCTGAGCTCGTCCCGATGAATCGCGGATGTGCACCACAGCTGCATAACGATAGGCGCTGAGTTCGTTGGTAGCCTGCATGCGTTTTGGCAGAATCTCAACATGCTCGATTTGGTCCGGAAGCTCGGTTATTAGGTTTGTGAAGAAGGTAGGGTCGACGAGCAATTCTTCTTCAGAGTTTTCCAGCTCGACCATCTTGCTTCGCATAGCAGCCTTCGTAGCTCGTCCGCCCAGCTTGTGCAAAGCCCTAGCTGCGAGAAACTGGTCGTTGATGGCGTAAGATCGCATGTCTCCAAAGAACAAACGCTTGACGCCAGGAATTTGGGCCAGAGCGCGCACGGCTTCAGCCAAATACTCAGGCGAAGGGAAGTATTGAGCTACCGAATTAATGACGACTAAATCGGAGCAGACGTTTTCGAGCTGGCCTACGTCGATCGCTGTGCCAACCTTAACTTTAGCCTTGCCTGTAAAAGCTGAAAGAGCTTCAATCTTGCTGTTCACGAACGCAGCCGCCGAGGTAGATGGTTCGAGACCGACATAGCTCTGTAACCCTTCACCAAGATTGAAGAGGATCATACCCGTGCCAGTGCCGACTTCGAGGACGTGGCCGGCTTGTCGGCCATCAAGTATTGTCTGCATAGTATCATCGAGCCATTCCTGCATCTCAGCCTTGTCGATCGCGCTGCCGTCGTACATGGAAGTCCAACCCATGAAGTCGTTACCGACAGCAGAGGCATCGATTGCCTCGATCTCGGCGTAGACGTTGCTCTCGAATTGAGCGCCCCAGTCTTCTACCTGGTTGCTCGCCTCTTGTTCGATCGACTTATTGCTGTTTGCTTCCACAAAAGCAACCATCTCCAGCTCATCATTTTGTTGCTTTCGGATAACGACTGCAGCGTCCTGAAGCAAGTCATTGTTGAGCAACGCATGCTCGACCTCAGCTGGCTCAATACGATGGCCTCGAATCTTGACCTGTTGATCCATTCGGCCAAAGAATTCAATCTGTGCATCTTTGGGCCTGTAGCGGGCACGATCGCCAGTCCTGTAAGCCCTCAAGGTTTGGCCTTCAATGGTGACGTTGACGAAGCGGTTGACGTCCAAGGCTGGGTCGGTGTATCCTCGGGCGACACCGTCTCCTACTACGACCAGCTCGCCCATGACGCCGATAGGAACGAGCTCCTGATTCATATTCATGATGTAGGCGCCAGAGTAGCTGACAGGGCGTCCAATTGGGACGCCATTCACATTGGCATCGCCCTGAACGACATTGTAGATAGTGCTGAGTGTTGTATTCTCCGTCGGTCCATAGGCGTTATACACGCCTGCTCCAACAAGAGCCTGCGTGGCTGCAGCATCGCGTCGATCGAAACGGTCACCAGCGGCAAGGACCACTTCCAGTGCGCCGATAGCTGCGGGAATGTTAACCAAGCACTGTTTGAGCAGTGCCGGTGGAAGCATAGTCGCTTGGATCTTTTCCTGCTCAAACACGGCTTCGAGTGCTTTACTATCCAGCGTGGTTAAATAGTTGATACAGACGAGGGTGCCGCCGTTGAGCAACGCAGCATATAATTCCCACGTAGCCGCGTCAAAGGCAATGTTTGACAAGTGAGCAATGCGCGCAGCTTGTGGCATTTTTGCTACTACATTGCTCTCTTTAACGAGGCGGACAATACCGCGGTGCTCTACCTTAACACCTTTGGGCTTGCCAGTCGATCCAGATGTGAAAATAACATAGGCGAGGCTCGTGGCAGATGGACCAGATCCAATGCGACCCGGCAAATTGTGCTCGACTGTGTTGTCAATTTTGACGAATTCGACATCAGCGAGCTCAATCTTGGGAGCAGAAACATGAGATCCGAGTAAGACAAGTATGTGGCCAGAGACTTCCGAGAGAATTGCCTCGATGCGAGCTGCCGGAACATTGACGTCTAGGGGAAGATATGCTAGGTTGGCCTTCAGAATACCGAAGAAGGCCACAACTGTTTGGCAAGATCGAGGCGCTAGCACAGCGACCAAAGTTTCAGTAGGAAGGTTACGCTGGTGTAGCCAAGCAGCGACCTTGTCAGATTGCTCATTTAGCTGAGCGTAAGTGAGCTGCGAAATCGAGTCCTTCACAGCGGTTGCGTTGGGAGAAGCCGCTACCTGGCTACGGAAGACGTCGACAACGCTCGACTCGCGGGGATAGCTGGGCCTTTCAATCTCAAGCAGCCCCCTCCTGCGAAGCTCAGCCAGCCCATCGGTGAGCGGTAGAAGCGCCAGTGGCGTTTGGGGTTGGTCAAGTGCTCGAGCGAGGACTTCCTTGAAAATGGAAACCATCCCCTCAATGCTCTCAGGCTCGAACAAGTCTGTTGCATACAGTACGTAGCCGCTGAGGTGACTCGTCTCCTGGAACAAGTGGAATTCGAGATCGAAGCGGGTTGACAGAGTTGTATGCACAGGCTCTCCAACATAACCTTCAAGCTCAATCTTGCCGAGATCTTTGTACGCGTGGAGTGCGAACATGAGCTGCACTAGCGGATTCCGCGATGTATCGCGTGAGTCAGGCATAAGGGCTGAGACGATATGCTCAAAGGGTACATCTTGGTTGGCAAAGGCGGCAGTTGCCGTAGATCGGACCTGGCGGACGAGTGTCTCAAAAGTATCGTCTTGCTCGACAGTAATACGCATACACTGGGCATTTACGAAAAAGCCTATCATATTCTCCAGTTCAGGTCGATTACGGTTGGCAATTGGCGTGCCGATGGTGGCGTCTGCGACTCCAGAGAGCCGGTAATGAGTTGCTCGAAAGGCGGCCAACAGTACCGCAAAAGCGGTCGTTTGATGAGCTCGAGAGAAGGCCCGTAGACGCTCGTATACAGGGCCGTCGACGGTTATCGGGATGACGCCTGCCTTGCCGGACTGTATGGTTGGTCGAGGAAGATCGGTTAGAAGCTCTGCAGGTACGCTGTCCTCGAGCTGGGTGGTCCAGTACTCGAGTTGCCGGTGGTGCTCAGCAACTTGCTCAGGCTGCTTCTGCCACAGAGAGAAATCGCGATACTGGATAGGCAGAGGGCTTATTTGGGCTAAGGGGTCCTGGCCACGGAGCACAGCGGCGTAGAACTGACCAAGTTCCTCGCACAAGATATCGAGAGACCAACCGTCGGAGATGATGTGGTGAATGACAATCGACAGAATATGGTCATCCTCCCCTTGCCTCAGCAGAGCAATCCTCCACCCTAACTCTGTGGCTAGATCGAAGGGTGTTGTTTGCTCCTGCTTGAGCAACTCGGCATAACCTTGCTCTTTAGTGGACACGTCGATTATTCGCAGCGGCGTCTTGCTGCTTGGCCGGACGATCTGCATGCCCACACCATCCTGTTCCTCAAATACTGTCCGTAACGTCTCGTGGCGCTCCTCAAGGGCATGCAGCGCTGCAGTGAGTGCCTCAAGATGGAGAGGCCCGCGCAAACGCACTGCAAGAGGCATATGATACCAAGCAGCCCCAAGGTTCAGTTGGTCCAGAAACCAGAGGCGACCTTGTGCGAAGGACTGTTCAACCGGCCCAAAGTATTTAGTTGGAGGGATTGCATTGTGAGGAGTCGAGCCTCGCTTGATTGTGGCGGCGAAATCAGCGACAATGGGCTGATCGAAGACATCCTTGACGGAAATGCTAGCATTAAGACGGCGAGCGAGGCGAGCAGCGAGAGTAGTAGCCATGAGTGAATGTCCGCCGAGGTCGAAGAAGTTATCAGTGACGCCAATTTCAACACCAAGGATGTTAGCAAACTCCTCGCACAGTACGGCCTCGATCTCGTTCCGTGCTGCCACGACAACACGCGAGCTTGTTTCCATGGCTGGGCTCAGCGTCAGTCCTGTCAACCCTCGTCGGTCAACCTTTCCATTCTTGTCGAGCGGCATGTGGCCTAGCACGATGATTCTCGAGGGAATCATGTAGGAGGGCAGCGTAGCCTGCATCATGGCACGCAGGCTTGCTTCTAGCTTTTGGTCCAATTGCTCAATCTCCATTCCGCCATGGTCGGTGGCGTTTCGATGGGGCTTCACAGGCTTCTGCTCTCCTAGCACAATAAAACTGACAAGCTCTGTGTCTTGTGCTGAGGAGCCGTGCTGCCTCAGCAGTGTGATGGCGTCTTTGATGGCAGGGTGCCTGTTCAAAACTCGTTCCACCTCAGCCAACTCGACACGATGACCTCGAATCTTGATTTGGAAGTCCATGCGGCCAAAAAATTCCAGTTGACCGTCTGTAGGCCGGTATCGAACACGATCTCCGGTGCGAAACGCTCTTACAGGCTTTCCGTCCATTGTAAGCGTCAGAAAGCGGCCTTCGTTGAGTTCTGGCTTGGTGTATCCAATTGCAAGTCCTTCGCCAGCGACGACGAGCTCACCCATGACGCCGTAGGAAACAAGCGACTGCTTTGGATCCATAACATATACGCCCGAGTTGTTGATTACTCGGCCAACAGGCACACCATTGGTGCACATGGCGCCAGTGGCAGCATGGAAGAGAGTTGTGCAGATAGAGTTCTCACTCGGTCCGTAGGCATTGTACACGGCCGTTTTGACAAACTCACTTGCTCTGGCAGCATCTTTCGGAGGGAATCGATCTCCCAGAACATAGAGTGCCTCTAGTTCATGCAGTGCGTCGGTAGCCTGGGCTAGGAGTCTGGTGAGCAAGGCCGGCGTCATCATTGCGACGCGAATCGCTTCCTGCTTGAAGATGGTAGGAAGCTGAGTGGCATCGAGTGCTACCAATGTGTCGATGCAAATCAGCGTATTGCCATTGAACAAGGCAGTGCACATTTCGAACAGGGAGGGATCAAAGGCGAGATTTGTGATGTGAGCGACATTTCCATAGGCAGGTCGCTGCTTGATCACGTTGACCAAGCTGCGATGAGGAACCATGATACCCTTTGGCTGGCCAGTAGATCCAGAGGTGAAGATAACGTAGGCCAGGCTTGTTGCTGTAGGTCGAATAGCCTTGTCGGCGGCGACACTCCCTGAACTCGAGCCACGCAGCGCCTCGCCGATACGGACAAGCTCGAGGTCGGCCAGCTGCGTATCTAGCAGAGGCACATCTCGTCCGAGCAAGACCAGTTTGTGGCCTGCTACGGTTGACAGGATTGCCTCGATACGAGCAGCGGGGACATTAACGTCCAGAGGGAGATAGGCCAGATTGGCCTTGAGAATACCGAGGAAGGCAGCCACGGAGTCACAGGATCGAGGTGCTAGCAGCGCAATCAATGTCTCGGCTGGGATGTTGCGTTTGCGCAGCCAAACGGCTACCTTGTCAGACTCCTGATCCAGCTGAGCATACGTGAGCTGCGAGGTCGAGTCTTTGACGGCAGGCGCGTTAGAACAAGCGGCTACCTGCTTTTGGAACATGTCCACAACGCTCGCCTCGCGCGGGTAGTCGGTCCTCTTAATGTCCAGCAGGCCGGCATTACGAAGCTCTCCAAGCCCATCAGTCAGCTGGAGATGCGCAATAGGCGTCTGTGGTTGGTCGAGGCCGCGGCGCAGGATCTCCTGAAAGACAGAGACCAGGCTGTGGATGGTCTGGGGCTCGAAGAGGTCCGTGGAGAAGTTGACGACGCCGTTCAGTCTGTCGTCTTCCTGGAAGAGATGGAACTCGACATCGAAGCGAGTCGCCATTGGCGTGGGTACAGTCTCGCAGGCCAAGCCCTCGAGATTGATCTTGTCGAGGTCCTGCTGCAGATGGAGCGCAAACAGGAGCTGGGCCAGCGGGTTGCGAGATGTGTCTCTGGCGCCGGGCAGGAGCGCCGACACGATACGCTCGAAGGGGACATCCTGATGCTCGAATGCGGCAGTCGCGACGGACCAGACTTGACTGACGAGCGATTCGAAGGTGTCATCGTCGGCGACAGCAATGCGCATACACTGCGTGTTGACAAAGAAACCGATGAGCTTCTCGACCTCAGCACGAGTACGATTAGCGATGGGCGTGCCGATTGTGGCGTCCTCTGCGCCGGTGAGACGGTAGTGGGCAGCACGGAAGACGGCTAGTAGCACCGCGAATGATGTCGTCTGGTGGACACGACGAAAAACGCGCAGGCTGTCGAAGACACTGCCTTCGATAGTGAAACGAACCTCACCGGCACGGCCAGACAACTCGGCAGGGCGGGGGAAGTCGGTAAGCAGCTCTGCAGGCGCGCTGTCTTCAAGCTGCTTTCTCCAGTACGCGAGCTGTTGTTGGTGCTGCGCCACTTGCTGTGGCTGCTTCTGCCAAACAGAGAAGTCGCGGTACTGGATCGGGAGCGGGGTCACGTGTGCGAGTGGATCGGGACCTCGCAGCGCCGCCGCATATAGGTCGCCGAGTTCCTCACGCAGTACGCCCAGCGACCAACCGTCGTATATGATGTGGTGGATGACAATCGAGAGGATGTGCTCATCGTCGCTCACTCGTAGCAGCGCGGCTCTCCATCCGGGCTCTTTGGCCAAGTCGATGGGTGTTGTCTGCTCTCGCTTCAACACCTGCTCGTAGCCGCCGTTCTGCTTACCCGACACGTCGATGACGTGCAGCTCCTTCTTGCTGCTTGGGTGGATGATCTGCACGCCTATACCGTCTTGCTGCTCGAACGTCGTTCGTAGCGTCTCGTGGCGCTGCTCCAGAGCATGCAGGGCGCTGGAAAGGGCTTGTACGCGGAGCGGCCCGTGGATGCGGACCGCGAGTGGCATTAGGTACCACGATGCGCCGGTCTTGAGCTGATCCAAGAACCACAAACGACCCTGTGCAAACGACTGCTCGACCGGCCCGCTGTACTCGGTGGTGGGAATAGCACCTTGTGCAGTCGAGCTCTGCTGCATCACATTGATGAGCCCCGCCAGTGAGGGGTTCTGAAAGATGTCGGAGATGCTCAGTAACAAGCCTGCCGCCCGTGCCATGTTCACCATCCGGATTGCCGCAATGGAGTCGCCGCCCAGATTGAAGAAGTTAGATTTGTGTCTCGTGGAGTTGGGCTTGAGACCCAGGCTCTGGAACCAAATGCGTTCCAGTGCAATCCCTTCGGTCGTTGACGAAGCACCCTCCTGTTCCTCCTGTGACGCCATGCCCTCCACGGCTTCCCTAAGCAATTTGGTACCGATGGCTCGAAGTGCTTTCCGATCAGACTTTCCAGTAGCGGTGGTGGGAAGATGGTTGATGCGAATATAGTGAGACGGAATGCAGTACCCGGGTACAATCTGTCGCAGTTTCGAACTGATGCGCTGCGTGGCACTGCCCTCCAAAACGTAAACGTCCTCTTCCAGAATGGTGTTTTCGCCAACCAGAAAGGCAACCAGCGTCATGCTCTTGGACATGCCCGACAGACTGACAGCTTCGACAACTGGTACCAGTTGACTGGGAAGCTGTTGTCGCAAGCATGTTTCTACTTCGCCGATTTCGACGCGCTGTCCTCGGATCTTGATCTGCGAGTCTCGTCGCCCCAGATACACCACGGTGCCGTCGGATCGGTAGCAGACAAGATCGCCAGTTCTGTAGAACTTGAAGTTGTCGAGCGGCTGCGTCCTTGGGTACCAATCAGGAAGCGTGTCAATGAAAGGCGTTGCGTCCGCTGGCAGAGGAATCAGATATCCACGCGCGATGCCAGGACTTTCAACAAGCAGCTCGCCTACGCAGCCGATTGGCGCAAGTTTGTTGGGGTTATTGGGGTCGGTAATCCAGAATCGGGCGCCCACAGCGTGACCGATATTGTGCGCCTCCACCGTCGCGGGAGTGACTTCCGTTACGCTACAGATCGTTGCACTCTCGCTCTGGCCATAGGCATTTTTAAGCTGAACGTGCGAGGCCCAGACATCGCGTATGTCTGACGGCATGGCTTCTCCCACCAATACCAGCGTCTTGAGGTTAGGTACGGTGGTGGGCTGGATGGCGCCAATGAAAGAAGGAGTGAGAATTGCCCAGTTAACGTTTGCGCGGCTGATAAACCCGGGTGCATCATTTATGCGTTCATCATCGGATGGGATGCAGACCGTGCCGCCGTGCATTAGGGTGGTCAAAATCTCTAGCAGGCAGGCACCGAAAGCATAAGAGGCAAATTGAAGAGCGCGTGTGTTGCTGTTGATGCCCAGCGCCGCACCAAATTTGAGACAGCAAGACACAAATCCGTGATGCTCCATCATACTGCCTTTTGGCTCTCCGGTACTGCCAGAAGTGAAGAGGATGTAGGCCAATGTCTGCGGCGTTGCCGTAAACTGGAATTGACCTGCATCAAACGCCAATGACTTAAAAAAGTCGTCGTCGACCACGATGCAGTCGGGCACCAGAGCGCGCATCATATCGCGCTGGTATGGAGACGCGATGGAAATGGTGGCGGCTGTTTGTCGACAGATCTGACGAGCCCTAGCGGGCGGGTTAGATGGGTCAATCAGTGTGAATGCTCGGCCAGCCTTGAGCACACCGAGCATCCCGACGATAGCCCATTTTGACTTCTCGAAGCAAAGCGGTATCGCTTTTGCATCGCCCAAGTCAAGTGATTGGATGTGCTGGGCGAGGCATGAGGAGAAGCTGTCAAGTTCAGCAAACGTTAGCTCGCCGTTCCAAGCGGATACGGCGATTTTCTGCGGCGTATCAGCCACCCTGTTGGCGAACACGTCGTGTATGCATTCCTGGCTGAATTGGAGTTGCTGCGAGTTCCATTTTTGAATCTCTGCGCTATCCTCTTGCGTGACGATATCAAGTTCCCAGAGAGGCAGATCGACTGCCTGGACACACAATTGCTCAATCACGTGCCCGAGCTGTTTTAGGAAACGGGCGACCTGGAGGTCATCAATCACACTGGGATCATAGCGTGCGAGAAGCGTGGCCGAATCGTCGTCCATTCGGCAGTCGAGCAAAAGGGCGCGATCAGTGCAAGACGCGAGTCTATGCGTTCGTGGCGCCTTTCCAGTAGTGACAGCAAGTACTGTCTGGAACTCGCATCCGGCAGACCCGTACTCTCCCGTGCCACGAATGGCGTCAAGACCGATATGCTTCCACTCGCGCAGAGCTGCATCGAGGGTATTGATAGCTTGCAAAAGGCCCAACCCAGCTTCCTCAAGGTCACGTCGGATGCGGATGGGGAGGATGCTTTGTGGTGATTCCTCTGTCGATGCCTGTTCACCGTTGGACGGGCGAGACTGTTCTACCAAGACGCCGAAGAGTGCTTCAGATGCATTCGAATAGCGGGCAAGCAGTATTGCGAGCGCAGCTCGGCAAAGGCTGGTGTTGTCCCATTTTTGCTTCGCCGAGGCTGAATAGGAAATGCGATGTGCTGTCTGCGCGTTGGGACGCGGGACAGTCAAATGGGAGGACAGAGCAGGAAACACAGAGGCGTTCAAGCCGTCAAAGTGTTGCTGCCAAAATTCGGTCGCTCCCTCCGGATGAGTATTGATGTCGCTGGCCATAGTTACAGTATTCGTGGAGTATCCCAGGATGGCTGCTGTCTTCGTAGTTAGTCACCTACCTTCTATTCGATATGTATCGCTCTTTGTCGTTATGGATCGAAACGCGAGGTGTGGCAAGGTGTCAAGAGGGTAAAACAAGTTTTACTGAGGAAGTCAAGAATGTTGCCACATCAAAAGATGTTTAATCAAGCTGACAATACGAGTGATCTTTCTCAGACAGATTCCCTAAGGATCAGCCCTTTCCCGCAGAATGAACAGTGGTTTGGTTAGCTTTGTTGCACAAAATCCTGTGGGCGAGCATAGCATATCTGTGGAGAATAATTCACCACATCTTTGGTTAGACTTGCAATGAAACTTCACGTATTATGCAACCGATGGTGAATTGTTAGAATTAGGCCATCCGTATATCAGGTACATTCGGATACCCGACACGTCATGACCGCAGAAGAGAATATTTTGTGAACAGATGGTCTACGACAATACACGTCTCTCTCCTCGTTTCCATGCTGCGAAATGGGAAAGCGGATAAATTCGTACCATTTGCCCGTGGACATGCTACGCTGTCCGCTGGCACTAAGAGCGATGACAGCAGCGCTAGCCAGATTGAATTCGAGCGGCGGGGGCCAGGCGTCTGTGTGGAAGTTCGGAGAGGCGAGTGGCGAGCATCTCTTAGCTCACAGACCAGCACGCCGGAGTCGATGGTCAAAGCTCTCGGCAGTGATGAGCTCAATGGCTTTTCTCTTACCTTCGAGGCCTCGCGGAATGACTGTCGGAAGATTAGAGCAACAATGTCTATTGCAATGCACAAGTCATAGCTAGATCATGTTGCGTTGTCTCCTTATTTCTTGGTGGACGGCCGGTAGTGTCGGGGGCGCGCCCTCCGGTACGTTGTTCCCCACAATCCCTGGCCGTTCGCGCCGTTGCAGCCTCAGCACAAACTAGCCCTAAATCAGCAGACCTGGACCACACTAGATGCCTGATGCAAAACCCTTTCCCGATTTGACCGCCTTGCCCTGGTCGACTGCATCCCGGCCTACTCCAATCTGATGGATCTACACGCCCTCGGCGAAGCCGTCCGCAACCCTGTCCATGAAACCTTAAAAGAAGCCAACTAAGATGCCGCCTTGTTTCATGCAACCGGGAACTCAATCTCAGTTCTGCCGAGTCGGCTGCTAAACAGGTCTTGCTCAACATAACTTGCACACCCGCATTCAGGCTCCAAAATAGTTGTCGGATGCTGGGAATTACTGACTATCATCTGGGCGATGTCATCGGCAGCTGAGTGGAATCATTTCGACGATATGGCCCCGGTTGAAGCTGCACGTGGGATAGTGGTATCGTTGATAGGACGGCGCGCATACGAGTTTGGCAGGATCAGTTCGCGCATTCTATAGGGACAAGCAACCATATGGTTACATCGACAAAAGGGGGCTTACCTTAGTCTGCAATCGCTGGCGATTGCAGATTCACCACACCACACCGGCTGTGAAGCGAGATATAGGATTCCTGTGTTGTTAAGGCACAGCTGCATGGCTCTGTTCCTGCACCGCACTCTCCTCTCCTCTTGCCAGTGCACGTCAATTTCTGCAGGCATTGCGTCTTCGCCCCATCACAACAGCTGCTTAGCCTCACCTTCTGTAAATGTTTTAGCGCTAGCTGTTGAGCCACGGGGGTGTCAGAATTGTTCGCACCGGGGGTGACAATATCATTCAAACACTTTAGGTGACATAATCACCTTAAGTCCTCATAAAGTGTCCGAACAGGACGCTAAACACACAGTTTAACTAGGTAGTCAGCTATCAACAAAGAGTAGGCTACACCCTTGCTGGCACATCAGCCTAAGTTGGTGTTACTGCCTGCAAGGGTGAAGCCGCATTGCTAGTGACTGTAACGTGTCCCAATTTTTCTTTGAGTGGAAGTGCCGCGCTCGGTACGATTAGGTAAATTGCCCAAACAGCTAAGCATTATAAGTGCCTGGGTATCAAGCCAAACTGACAGAGGTAAGTCATTGGTATCCAGCCATCGTCTGAACACGACCACAACAAAGATCAGGCGCCATGACTGAACCCACATGGAAGACAGTTGCATCGGAGAAACAGCAGCAGCGTGAATCCAAAATCCCTGCAGAATGGCAAATTCCGAAGTCGCTGCATCCAGCTCCCGAAGTAACCTTTGTTCAGGACTTCCCAGCCAAATCGGGAATGTTCACCAATCGAGAGCTGCAACTAACAGCGGCGACTGCATCGGATGTGACGGCGAAGATCTCCACTGGCGAATGGACGGCCGTGGAGGTCACGACTGCTGTGTGCAAGCGAGCTGCCGTGGCTCAACAATTGTTGAATTGTGTAACGGAGATCTGCTTTGATCAGGCTATAGCAAGAGCGAAGGAGCTTGACGCGTATTTTCAAAAAGGAGGGAAGACCGTGGGCCCACTCCACGGATTACCAATCAGGTATCCTGGCCTTCAATAACACGTGAAGCCAATAGCTAACCATCAGAACAGCTTAAAAGACCAGTTCAATGTCAAAGGTAACGATCAGCTCAGCAAAAAGCTACACGGCAAGAACGTCATGTCAGCTGACTCACAAGCCAGGCTTCGACTCCACCATCGGCTACTGCAGTTATGCTAGCAAGCCAGCAACGGCAGACTCAACTCTCGTCAAACTCCTGGTCAAGGCTGGGGCAATCATCTATGTCAAGTCCAATGTTCCTGTCACGCTGATGATGGGCGAGTCATTCAACAACATCTTTGGACGCACACTCAACCCCCGCAATCGGGAGTTGACCACAGGAGGCTCATCAGGAGGAGAAGCAGCACTGGTCACGTTCTGTGCCAGCTTCCTCGGTGTGGGCACCGACATCGGTGGCAGCCTTCGCATACCATGCTCATTCACCGGGCTGTATGGGCTAAGACCATCCCACGGCAGAGTGTCATATCAACATGTGCAGAACACCTTGCTCGGACAGGAAGCGGTCAGATCATGTGCTGGACCCATGTGCCGTGCGCCGGAAGATATCCGCTTGTTCATGTCGAGTCTAGCTGCCCAGCAGCCCTGGCTTTGGGATCCCCAGAGTCTGCCACTCCCATGGCGGGCGGAGGAAGAGGTCTTACCGAAGAAGTTGTGTTTCGGTTTTGCTCTAGGTGATGGCCATGTAGGCCCATCGTAAGATCTCCTCATACCTCTCGTTGCGCAGGCTAGACTAACTTGTTGACGGCCACCATTGCGTCGTGCAATGGACATAACCAGGAAAAAGTTAAAACAAGCAGGGCATGCTGTCATTAACTTCAATCTCACAGAAGGAAAAGAAGTAAATGAGATCATGAACAAAATGTTCACTGCGGATGGGGGTGCCGAGTTTCAGCGCGACACCGATGCCACGGGCGAGCCCCTGCCACCTACAATAGAATACTGGCTCGGCCACAGCTCGCAAATCAAAGCCTCAACCGTAAGCGAGACATGGAAGAATCAGCACAAGAAGGCGTTGCTTGCGCAAAAGTTCCTGGAGAAGTGGCAAGCAACCAAAGGGCGAACGCGCACGAGTCGCCCTATCGATGGGCTGATCATGCCATCGACGCCATTTCCGGCCAGCCGTCACGGCAGCGGCTGGCCATGGCACTTTGGCGATCTCTCTGCCCTGCTGGATCTGACCACGGGCGTTTTCCCAGTCACCCGGGTCAATCTGGAGAAAGACGCCGTGCCGCCAAGCTGGACGCCCATGTCTGTGAAAGACAAGGAGGCGATGGATTACTGTAAGCTGACACGGGCTTGTGACGTTGTATAATCGAGACTGACTGCATGCTAGATGAGAAGCCAGAGAATCACGAGAATGCCCTAGTCGGCCTCCAATTGATTGGTAGAAGGTTGGAGGAGGAAAAGGTAACGGCTATGCTTACGCTTATTAGGAATGTGCTTGAAGTAGATTATTAATCGCAGTTTGGCACTTGAGCATCTGCGCCTTATCGAGCGTCACGATTTCTAAATCACAGAGTATTGATGCATTTAGTTTCGTCAGTTGAGCGGCTGTGTTCTACGTCTTGTGCTCGCTTCCTTACCATACTTTCCTTCCTCCTCGTTGCCATCTTCCCGGTACTTTTGGCTACGTTTGATGCTTTCAATGGAGATTCTGCTCACCAATCTTAGCCTACATTCTACTCTAGAAGGCAAAGTAAGAGAAATTCTGCTTCTCCTCACTTTCTACACTTCTTAGGCCTACAATTTAGCTCTGTTGTGGCCAAAATCTACATTGGGCCCTGTGTTATTACCGTGAATCTAAATTCCGATCATACTTCATGAGAAATTGATTAATAGAAAGTAAAGGAAATAACTTAGAAATAGTTTGTAAGTTAATAGGACTCCGGGAAAAGCGGCTAGTTTTAAAATTTGAAGGGTACCATCAATTTACTTTTAAATTCATTACACTTATAGCAAGCCCTTTACCAAGCAAATTTTTTTCTTAGGAGTACAATTTCTGTCCGAACTATAAGTTATATTATTTGTTACTGCCTTATTGGTAATGTTGCTGGTTGCCGCTCTCGCCGCCCGTGTGCCTGTACTGCAGCATCCTTCGCCAATAACGTCCTTACACAAAACCATTTTTGTAAAACCAAGGCTGACGCGTTGGACACGGGCCGAAGTGGGACTCTCGCGCTAATAAGCCTCCTTCCGTCCTCTTGCTCGTATACCATTTGTAACCACCACGATTGCGCCTATCGCTCTCGCTCTCGGTTCTTCCGCCACGGATAGTCAACATGGCGTTGCAAGAGCGCCGTGCCGCGGTCACGAGTTCCGATATCCTCTCAGCGCATGCCATCTCGTCTCCCGCCTTGGCCGCAGCGGCCATCAACTTCGCCGCCAGCTTCCATCGAGATGCCCGCACCTGTTGCAGCGCGCATGAGCGTAGCCAGCTCCAGAAAGTCTACCGCGACAAGATCCTCGCCAACGACAAGTTTACGGTCAACATTGCTGCTGCCTTCCTCTCCGTCCTGGGCCCCAACGCCGGCCGTAACGATGCAGGTGCCGAGCGCGAGCGCTGGGGCGACTTTGACCGCCTGGCGCAGCGAGGCAAGAACATGCGCGACCGCGAGAGCCAGCATTTGCAACATCAGTCGGGCATCATTGCCGCCTGGGGGCCTCGATGCTTCGAGTACTACGGCTGGCATGTCCTGCCGCTGCCGCTGCTGCGTCAGGTGCACGACCTTGCCGTGCTGATACCTAGCTGGGACGACGCCGTTGACCTGCTGAATTCCAGGATGCTGGTGCGCCACGAACTGCGTGTGCTGCACGGCAACAACAAGGCCCTCCGAATCGGTGAGCACTCTGCCGCTTCCAAAGTTCAGGACTCGCGCTCACCTGTTGAGCGTACCGACATCGTGGCTGCTCTCGACTGGGCTCGTGCCAACGCCACTTCGGCTGCGGCACGTCAGGCGGTCAAGGAAGCGGCGCAGGGCATGAATGGGACTCCGATCAACACATTCGGTTTGAAGCGAGATCGCTATGGTATGGTCGTACCCTCGGTCGGCCCCTACGATCCTGATGGAAATGATGACAATGATGAAGACGTTGTCGATGTGTCCCCTCGGCCAGCGAAGCACGTCAAATTGTCAGCAGCAGAGCCGCTTCGTCTGATGTTTCCAGGTTCATTGAGTCATGTCCAGGCTTGTCAAAGACGTGACGCTGACGGCGAGAAGGCCAGTACTGCACCCATTCGTAGTAACAAACTGTCCCAGTCCAAACAGCCAGAGCTAGACACAGCAGCCGAGAGTCTTCATACGAGGCATATTCACAATGAACACAGCAACGAGCCCCTCGACGAAGTCTCGGACTGCGATCTATCTCTCCAAACAATAGCTGTGGGAGGAGGGAGCGCTCGGGAGGAAACGCCAGACCAAGATGTGGAACATGCGCATCCTGAAGTTGAGATAACATCCGCCATAAGCAGTGAGCTTAGGAAGGCACACGAGCGTACCGATGGTATAGGGATAGGGCGTGTGGTTATGAGGCGCAGTCACTGTATGGAAAGAGAACAGGACAAGCAGACCAACGAAGAGGGGGCAGGAGAAGTACAGTCACAGCGGGACAGGAGAGCGAGGGACTTGGGAAAGGATATGGAGACGGATATGGAGACGGATATGGAGACGGATATGGATGTTGACAGCCAGCTGGAGGAGATGCTGGACGTACATGCCCTGGAGGCGCAAAGAAATCACGAAGAAATGTCGGATGGTGAAGATGTTGTTGCAGGAGTGGCGGGCCCGGGAACGCCAAAGCACAGGGCGGCGGAAGAAGGAGGATGCAGAGAAAAAGAAGCAGAGAATGCCAAAACGGATGAGGAGCAAGTGCAGGACAAAGCAGCTCTGGATCAGGCGGGAAATACGAATACGAATCGAGAGGTAGAGAACGCGGGACCAAAAGCGCACAGCCAAGAAGGTGCCCTGCGTGCATCGCGAACGGGTACGAGCGTGGAAAGGACAGTGGAGTTACACTCAGCGCACTCAATTCATCAAAGAGCGAGTGTGAATACAACGGCTCCTACCGTGTCGCGATCAAGCGATAGCGAGGACAGCGATTCACTCCAGTCACCCACGCCGCTTCAAAATCTGCAAGCCCATCTCGATACCAGAACTCACCAACTCACTCAAGTGCTGAGCCAGCTCAACTCAACACCTGACGTCAGACACCACGCTCAACTGCAGCTTGACTGGTTAAGTCCGCAACGATGGGCCAGTGTCTACGTGGAGCCAGAACATCACATGGGCGCCACTTCCTCAGCATCATCAGACAGCGCTGACATTTGGTGTCTGGACTGGGACACGTTCCACCAGTATGCTGACAGCAACCATGTCTTCCGGCGGCCTGTTGTGATCAAGCAAAAGTTCCAGGACAGCGGTATGTATGAGGTTGACAGATACGTGGATATGCTGTGGCAGCGCTTTCCGGAGCAGCATATTGAGGTCCAAAACAGCATTACAGGCATTAGTCGATCGATGAGCATGGCCGAGTATTGCTCTACGGCTTTGACTGTTACGGAGGCTGGCACGAGTCTGTCTGACAATACCACCTCCGTGAGCAACGCTGTTAACCTTCGCTGTCTGGCTCGCGCAGACGAGCCGCTCTTGACCCGACTCGAGCGCTTCCAACTGCTCTCGACGCTCGCATCTCGCGTCGCAGGCACAATTGGCAGGACCGAACATTCTCCACCTAGCAATCTCGAGAGCCTCCTCGGATTCGACGTGCTCAGCTTTGCCGACGCGTTTTCAAGCTCACATGCCAATCTCTTTGGCGGGAGTTGGGTGCGGTGCCTCGATGGCCTCAAGATTTGTGCCATCGCTGCAGACCTGGATGCAGAGGACTGGCGGCGCTTCGCAGATGAAGGATGCAAATGGTCGCCTCGAGGCAAAGGGCGCTTGATCGCCCTAGAGGAAGACGATGTTCTGTTCATTCCGCCTGGCCTGCGGGCCATACATGCCAGCTTCACGCCAGAGCCCTGCTTGATGGAAGGCGGTATGCTGTGGGACGAATGCGCCATCCCTGAGATCTTAGACGAGCTGCTCTGGATTGCACGACATCAGGCAGGCACTAACCAGCCTCTCGCATTTCAGCTGTCAAGTCTCATCGATGCGTTGGAGCAGTGGTTGAATGAGAATAACCACATTAACCAGTCGTCGCCATCACACACTGCAGCTGAAGAGCGCCAGGCGCTCAAGGCTAGCATTCAGTCGCTTCGCGCCTGTTTGAGCGGCAGATCAGCGGCTTTCCCATCTTGACTTGCATCTACCTAGATATTTCACGATAGTTTGTTACTGGAGGCAATGTGCGAAGTGTTGGCAGCACTAGTGGACTGCACGGATGGGTACGTAGATAAATGGGAAACGTTCAAACGTCCATGGAATTAGACCAATCTTTTGATCGCACTCGCTGGCGATAGGGTCAACCTACCTATTTCAGCCTGTTTCTATACGCGCACCTATTTCCTGTCGGTTTTGGTGGTGCAGCTGTCGAGCTGGTTCATGGTGGTTACAGAGGAACATTCACAGGTCTTACCCGACTAGGGCTAGCCGCATCTACGCGAGACGCTGGAAACCATCAATTGATAGGTAGGTAAGGTAAAGCTAACAGAAAGTTGCTCGATTATATGTCTGGTGCGCACGCCAGAGCTCTTCAGCGGTCCCATCGCGCCTCAGCTTCATGCTCGACGCAATCTCCTCCGCCACCGCCGCATCGAGCAGCGGCTCGTCTGCCCTTCCTCCCGCTTCTCCCACCTCTAAGGATTCGTTGCGAGCCGAAGCAGCATCTCCAGCTTCACCGGGAGCTGGCTCAAGGTCCTCGAAGTCGTGATCGCCGTCAACGTCCTCCGCAACGGCGACGAAGTTGTGCACCGCGGCGAGCGCGTACACCAGCTTTACCTGCGTTCGAAGGTCGAATGCAGGCGCGCGATCATAGATTCCTCCAGCGTCGCTTGAAGACACCGAATGTACGCTCCACCACCATCCTCCGCGAGCTGTGCCTGGAGTTGAAGAGCTCAAACTTATCCCTAGGCCTCCTGCCTGCTTGCCTCACCGCCCGAAGACGGTACCGGACGCCGTGATAGGGCGTGAGCCGCATGGAAGGTGTGTCCCTGTAGCCAGCGTCAGCAAGGTAATAGCATCTTGGTGGTGGCTTGAAGCCGCGATACTGCGCGTCGGTCGTTCATCACCCTGCCGTCATGAGCAGAGCCCTCCCAGCCTGCTAGAACGTAGGTGAATCGCATCCTGAAACCTACCACCGCTTACACGTTCATGCTGATGCTGCAATGCCTATCGCGATACGGTATTTGCGCATCTATCGGCAAGTGAGTTGGCAGATGAGTGCCGTCAAGAGCGCCTACGCAGTTCGCGAATGGACTGCGGGTAGGGTCCCGGGTGATCGCTGGCGGCGTCTCTGCTGATTCTCTGATAACCTCGACACCAAAATCAGGTAGCAGGTCCAGCACCTAGTGGAAAATCTTTCGTTTTGTAAGCAAACCCCTACCAACTGCGAGGATGGACAGCAAGCTTACTGACTGATAGTCGCCAGTGAATGCCCTGAGCGATATTTTGCATTTCGGTAACCGCTACCCTACGCGCAGATATACAAAAAGACCAACACCTTCTCCTCCGCGCTCACGAGCCTGCCACCCGCAAATCCATGATCCTTGAGCCACCTCACCAGCGCTTCAAAGGTAGGTGTGCGAAGCCGACTATCGCAGTACAGCTGGTCTGGGTCGTTGAGGCAGCTCACCACTGCCTACCGCGCACCCAGTCATCAGCGTTCGCGCGCAAGCCTGTGTTATCAGCTCGCTGCTGCTCGCGGATCTCAGCCATCACAGCCGCGGCCGTGACCACCCCGGCGTCAAGGATCAGAGAAATTAGGCGCTCGCCATTCTCCTCTTCTTCAGTCATGGCGATGGTTACAACAACGTCAACTCAGGGCGGGGTATCAAGATAGGCGCAGCGCCGCGATAGCTCGGTACGGGGTCGAGATGCTGGAAATCCTGCTCTCCACCAGAATTCCCAGCATATCGACGAACTGAGGAAGCCGCGCCGCTCCCGGCCCCGTCGCTGCACTATGAAGCATGTTACTTATTTTGTTAGCAGTATCTCGGAGCTCGGCATCCATCAAAATTTTGCTAGCTACCGAACGCGACAATCATTCTCGTATCGGTCAAATACGCCTGCTGATCACCTGCCTAAGTGGGCGATATGCCACCAGCATATTGCTGAACCGAACAGGCCCTTAGGCATACATTGGTGTGTTACAGGCTACTTTAGCCTAAAAGTACAGCTTTTGGTTATTCCGGCGGGTGCGCTGCGGGATAGTGTGACGTTATGGACTGGCGACCGATGAGAGCACCGATCGTGCCGACTATGTGCACCAGAATGCAGTACGTGGATGTGAATATGGGCCAGGATTATTCGAGCGCTGGTCGTAATTTGGCAGCACTCCGATGCGACAGGTGGGCATCTTGTTATACGTAAATTTTTATGTGCTTGCGATCTCTTCTCCACCGGGGTTTTCAATGCGATATACAATTACTCGCAGGGCATGCTGTCCATGTCCAAATGCCTCTTGACTGCGTCCAATTTGTTGCTGCTGGCTTGCGTGTTGTTGATATTGTCAACAACTTAACGTAAGCCGAGAGCGAATTGCTCGTCTGTCACCATAGCGCGGGGCAATCTTGGTTCACAACTTGGATGCATCCTTCTGGCTCTGAGAGCTGGCGCTCATGGGCGGTTGAGAGATGGGGAGGGCCTGCTTGGACTGTTCCTTTTGCCTCATTTTGCCATAGCCGTAAATGAGGCCACTAAAGGATCCCAGCAGAATAGCCGACACGCTACCGAACGTGACGGGTGTGTCAAAAAACACAATGCCGCTGATGGCGAGGGGAAGCTTGTTCAAATATCCAACAAACGAGTATGTAGTAGACGACGTTTTGCGAATGCACCAGGCCGATGAGTAGGAGATGAAGATGGCACCGAGGCCAGAGTAGAACATGCCCACCATCAGGTGGTTTCGCGACTCGGCGGGAAAGTTTCGCGCCAGATTGGCCATAGACCAGTCCTCGGCGAGCAGGGAGCAGATGATCAGAATGGGCAGGGAGAGCAGGTTGTTGTAGAACATGGCTGGTCATTCGAATTAGTTTCCACTGCTGCCCTGCGACGTTGATCGCAAACTTACTATCCCACTCCTTTAATTTCATTGACATGATAAACTTGCGCGTACCCAGGACGTACGTGGCCGAGCAGAAGACATTGAGCGCCATCCACACATAGCCGGCATTCAAGGTGGAGATGGCAGCAGCCGTCTCACCTGAGTGCCCCACGCCGCTCAGGGCAGCCTGAATATCAGCCCACGCGGCCACAACCGAGCTGAGCACCATGAAGCCAAAGGACAGCAGAAGTAGCGAGGTGAGATTGCCGCCAAACCACAGAACCTCGCCGTATGCAATGACCACGATTGTCAAATTCTTGAAGATGGTGTACACCGGAACCGACAAGTATTGCAGAGCCTTGGTGCTTGTATAGATCATGCCGACAAAAACGGCGGACACGGGGAGCCCTGACGATAATTTAGCATGCATGGACTCACAGGTTATGGCAAACATACATCTCCTCGCTCGGTGGCCTTCAAAAGCGGCGAGATTGACGATGAACCCCGCATGCTGCAAGGCCAAGATAGCAACTGTACAGATGACGGCCTGCCAAATGACGTTAGTTGAGCGCAGCGAGGTGGTGTGGGTATGGAGCGGCACGTACCTGAGTAGCCAGATAGAGAAAGTTCAAGTTCCAAGACGAGCCCGACACGACGTACTTGTTCACGACGGTCATGCTGATCGAGGAGAAGCAATAAGCCAAAACAGCAGCGCCGGGACTATTGTCGAGCCGCGCAAGAAGGCCGCTCGTGCCGCCATCGACGCGAGCGCGGTAGTGAGGCGCCGACTTGGGCAGAAAGCTCTCGTGCTCAGCCGACCCATTGCCTCCCTTCTCAAGGTCCTCGCTCTTCTTGTTCGACATTGTGCTTTCGGTAGAGGTACGGGGGTGGTGGTGTGATGGTGCGGAAGGCTCGTGGACGTCTGGCTGAGAGAAGCGGTGGACAGCGAGGGAGGCGGCAGGGGTGCAATGTGAGGGCGGATGCTGCAGCGAGCAACAACACTGACTGCGATATTACCGTGGTACACGCCGTGACGCACGACCCCGCGTGCCGCACGCGATCATCAAAACAACGAATTATCCTCAACACCATAACTCAACAACGCAATGACTTTAGAAGATGCGCTTGGAGATGCACGCGCAGCTGATGCGCGTGGTGAACTTTGCTACCAAAAGATTGCAGATACGCATGGTGTTGATCGTTCAACTTTGTCGCGGCGTCACCGAGGCGTTCAGTGTTCTATGCAACAGAAGGTAGAACAACAACAAAACCTCACTAACCACGAAGAGCTGGAGCTCGTTGATTACATAGATCAACTCTGTAGAGAGCACCTTCCTCCTACGCGCGATATGATTCAAAACTTTGCCTCTGTTATCTGCGGATTCGACGTTGGAAAGATGTGGGTTACCCGATTCGTCACCAAGCATCACGACGCGCTCACTCCACGATGGACCTCCGCCATGGCCTCTGAACGTCACGCCGCTGATTCTTATAGCAAGTACAGCTTGTACTTCGACATGCTAGAGCTCAAAATAGCCGAGAAGAACATACAGCCAGAGCAAACGTACAATATGGATAAGAAGGGCTTCATGATTAGCAGGATAGGCAGGCAGAAACGAGTGTTCAGCAGGACAAGCTGGGGCAACAAGCGCTTCCGCCAGGCTCTGGAGGACGGCAACAGAGAATGGGTGACGCTTATAGCGTGCGTGAGCGCTTCTAGAGTCGCTCTTCCTCCAGGCCTAATCATGGCGAGTGATAGCGGCAACGTCCAGGACGCATGGGTGCGAGATATCAAGCAATCCAAGCATCGAGTCTTTGTCACGGTCACGCAGAGCGGCTGGAGCAACGACGACGCTGGCCTTGGATGGCTGCAACAGGTCTTTGACGAAGAAACAAAGGCCTCCGCACGTCGAAGGTGGAGGTTACTTATCATTGACGGCCACGGCAGCCATATAAGCCGCTCGTTTCTAACCTACTGTTATCAAAACAAGATACTTGTAGCTATCTTTCCTCCCCACAGTACTCACACGCTCCAGCCAGCCAACGTCGTCCTCTTCAAGCCGCTATCGACAGCATACTCACAGCAATTGACAGAGCGGACTCAGCGCTCTAAGGGCTTGTTGCCAGTAAAGAAAGGCAGCTTCTTCTTATTGTTTTGGCCCGCTTGGCTACAATCATTCACCAAAGACAATACACTCAAAGCCTTTGACACGACAGGCCTTCACCCGCTCAATCGCGACAAAGTACTCAAGCGCTTTCCTGAAGGAGCTGCTGATCAGTCGACTCCTCCGCCGCCTCCATCAGGTATAACAGCACGTAGTTTGATGAGCGAATTAGACTCTGTTGTGGCGGATAAAAGCTCAGAGGAGGCGCGCGCCCTCCGTCAGAAAGTCCACACACTTGCGGTCAATAATGAGCTACTTCGCAACGAGAACGACGGGCTCAGTGAGTCTCTCGCGATTAAGAAGAAGCAGAATAAGAAGAGCAAAGCACTTAATTTAGTCAAGCCAACGTTAGATGACTGGGGAGGAGCTCGCTGGTGGTCGCCTCGATCGTTCAAGGAAGCCCGCCACAGAGAGCGGATTCTGAAGGAGACTGCGCATGCAGAGGAGCTTGAAAAGGCCTCAGTAAAGGAGCTCAAGGCTGCCAATAAGTTATACAAGGATAAGATCAAAGAACAGAAGCGCGAGGCAGCTGCTGCAGCGAAAGTTGTTCGTGACGGAGAGCGCGCAGAAGAGCGCGCAGCAATCAACGCTCGCAAACTGCAAAGGCAGAAAGATAAAGAAGCTCACGACGCTTAAAAAGCCTCCCAATTGCCTAAAAAAGGCAAGCGCAAGGCTTCAATTACTCCTAAGACGCCTGCAGCCAAGAAGCGTCGTGTTGTGGCGCCTCGTCGTGGTGCTGTTGCTCCAAGTCCTCCTCCGCCAGCCCGCACCCACACCACCCGCAGCGGCTGCACCGCTACTCAGAACTATTAATACTTTACTGTACACTGTTTTACATATCAACACGTTACTCCGCCAAAAACTCTCGCAATAATAGCTATTGTACGTGGCTCAATGACCTCATTTCTGAAAAGTGACTGAGGGTGGTTGGGCGGGCGGCACGCGGGGCCGTGCGTCACGGCGTGCACCGTGCACGGACACCGAACGCCCGGAGACACCGAACGCCCGGCGCATCACATCAACACCAGTTTTCAACGCGTAATAACTCAACCAACCATGCCAGGAATTAAAGATGCGCTTGATGAGATTTGTAAATTGAAGCCAGGCGAAAAGCTTGTATATACTCATATTGCAAAAAAACATGGTGTTGCGCGTTCTACGTTGTCGCGCGCGCACCGACGCGTGCAGGTGCCCCGGGAGGTTATGACACCAAACAGCCGCAAACTCAACGACCAGCAGGAAACTGACCTTATCAATTATATTGAGAGGCTTACGGCGCGTCACCTACCACCTACAAGAGCTATGGTTCGAAATTTCGCGTCTGCTGTTGCCTCAACTCCTTGCTCTGATAAGTGGGTTACGCGCTTCCTCCGCCGTCACCGCAACCGGCTCACCTCTCAATGGGCGACGGGTATGGACTCAAATCGTCACAACGCTGAGTCAGGGTATAAGTACGAGTCGTACTTCAAGCTTCTGCAGCAGAAGGTCACTGAGTATGACCTTGAGCCTGAGCACACGTACAATATGGATGAGAAGGGCTTTGCTATCGGGGTACTAGGAAGGTCAAAGCGCATCTTCAGCAGGCGTCTATATGAGAAGAAGCAGGTTAGGCAGGCTCGTCAAGATGGCTCACGTGAGTGGGTGAGCCTATTGGCTGCTATTTGCGCGGATGGTACAGCACTTCCCCCTGGCATCATCTTCGCGTCGAAAAACTCCACGATCCAGAGCCATTGGGTGGCCGATATTGAGGCAGGAACTCGCTCAGTTCACGTGGCTTCTTCGCCTACAGGCTGGACGAACAATGAGATTGGATTGGCCTGGCTTGAACAGGTGTTTGACCGTTATACCAAGCCAAAGGCGCGGTTGAAGTACCGCCTCTTGATCGTGGATGGCCATGGGAGTCACCTGACGCAGCCTTTCATCGAATACTGTCATCAAAAACGGATTATACTTGCAGTGTTACCCCCTCACAGTACCCAAACGCTACAACCGTTGGACGTGGTCTGTTTCAAGCCTCTCTCTTCTCACTACGCCAGCGAACTCGATGACCACCTCCAGCAATCCCAAGGCCTATCCCCGCTGTCGAAAGGTGACTTTTTCAGCCTATTTTGGCCTGCCTGGGTATCGACGTTCACTGCGGAGTTGGTTGTGAAGGCCTTTACAGCTGCTGGTATATCCCCGGTAAACCCCGACGTTATACTCAATAGGTTCCGCCACACAACACCCGATAACTCAGGATCAGTCTCCTCTGCTTCTACGGCCTATTCTGCAGATGAGTGGCTCAAGGCTTGCAGTACCCTGAATGCGGAGGTGAAGGATCCGCGCAGTGTAGGTGCGCGGAAGCTGGGTCAAACGATCCATCACCTCTCAACTCAACTAGAGATCGCCAACGCCGAGCTGGAAGGTTTGCGTAAGAAGCTATACCAAAAGCAGAAGCGTCAAAAGCATCCTACTAGGCAGTTAGACCTGCAACAGCATCAGGAGTATCACGGTGGGGCGATGATGTGGTCTCCTCGAGCCTTCCGCGAGGCGCGTGCCCGCATGGCTGTTGCAGAACGAGAGAAGCAAGCTGATGAGCTACAAAAGGCCGAGATGAAGGAGTTAGCAGCTGCTACTAAGCTCTACAAGGCCAAAGTAGCAGAAGAAAAGCGTGTGGCCCAGGCGAGGGAGAAGGAAGAGCGAGACCGGGTCAAGGCCAAGAAGGCAGAAGAAGCAGCTGAACGCAAGGTGGAAAGAGAGCGTCAAAGGCAGGCTCGCGACGCTAAAAAAGCTATACAACTGTCCCAAAGAGGCAACCGCACAACCTCTGAAGCTTCTGCAGTCAAAAAGAAGCCTGCGCGTCGTGCTGTGGGTGCTCGTAGTCATCCAAAGCCTGCAACGCCTCCTCCGCCAGCTCGCACTCACACTACCCGCAGCGGCCGCACCGCCACCCTATATAATTAATTTGTATGAAGGGACTTTGTTCTATAGGTCTATAGTCTATTACTACAAGATATCTCACAATAATAACTATTGCATGTGGCTCTATAGCCTCATATTTGTGGTGGGCGTGAACGCCCAGAGCGGGCGCTCGGTGTCTCCGGGCGTTCGGTGTCCGTGCACGGTAATGTAAGGAGTTTCGATATGAGATGACTCGATCACAGGGGTTAGAGTGTGCTGATGGTCGATAGCCACTTGCGACGATCATGGAAGTTTGAGAAATGTTGTTGAGACTTGAGCAATGAGATTACTAGGTATGGGAATAGAAGAGAATGTGGTGTTATCAGGAAGGCCGCATAATTCCAAAGGCTGAATGTGCGCCAGCCGTGAGGCTGACGTCGGTTTCATCGAAGCGGAATAAGATGGAAATACATTCATGATCAAGGGCAATGCCACATCAGCGAAGGAAAAGAATGGGATGAATAAGAATACAGTGATAGTCTTTGCAGAGCAGGATTATTTTCTCTTTGTGTTAACAAGGCAGTAGCCATCGATTCGACAACGATGATACCATTTGTGGCACATAGTAACCCTGCGACCACAATACCATACTCCAGCCAGAAACTTCGTCGTCCATGAAGTCACACTGACGTTGTCGACATTGCCCTCGGCGAACTCCTTGTCAAGCTTGACTTTGGTGGCCCATCATGTGTGAGACCTTTTCGATGAGTCTTACGCCTGCGCGATTTAGTCGAACACATAAAGTGAAGGGCAATTGGATTTTTATCTATTCTAGCGAAATACATCCACCTCAACATATGACAGGGTCTGAGTCACGGAGGACCGTCCTACGATGAGAGCTTGACTATAATCATAGTTGTAGCGGACTTGAAAGATCTCTTCACATTATGAATGTAGAGTCTCTGATCAGCCGCCTTGATCAAGTCATGAAATTCGGACAACCTACGCTCCTTACCGCCGAACAGCGTCATCATGTCAACGTCATAGAGAACTGATGACGCTGAAGGGGACTCATCCTTTACAATTTGATCGCAGATCAAAATACGACTGCGCTGCACGTCCATGGCAGGAACTATCTGCCTTAAGATCTTGATGCATGCTACATCAGGCCAATCGTGGAATATGTGTCGAAAGAGGTACGCTGCAGCGCCTTGAGAATTGGCATCCTGTCAGCATCACAAATGCTGTAGGGTTTGGCAAGGATGTGAGCCAAAAATGGACTTTATTGACATACCTGTAACCGGCTGAGGATCGAAGAAGTCATGTTGTTGGAAATCCAGAGCCAGAGCCGGACATTCTTCATCGTGGCCATTTATCTCTTGCAGCCCCTTGAGTCGTGGATCGGCAATTGCGTGTTTATCTTGGACCACGCAACGAAGCTCTGCTCCGGGGTTACAGCTAAGAATCTGTCGACTGACTTGACCCAGACCGCCGCCGACATCAACTATCACGCCTCCGTCCTCGGCAAGGCTCGCGAATGGGAAGAGATTCGGTATGTCGCTCAAATTGTTGATGGTAACGGCCTTCATGGCTTGGTTGAATCGATAACCTCGTTCGATATCAGTGTTGGCGATGAACTCCCAGAAGTTTTCCCTGCACTCAAATGCCAGATTGAAACCACTGGTCTCATTGGGGAACGGATCGCGGTAACCGTTAAGTTGCAGTGCATCTGGCTCTCGACTTGCCGATCGAAATCCCTCATCTAGGCGATGTAGAAGAAGATAGTACATAGCTGGCTTTTGCATCGTCCACGAGATGGAGGTATGACAATAGACGTCTGGTTCGGGCTCTGCGAAGACGTGCTTTGTCATCACAACGCGCATAATACGGGTAAGTAACACCCGATCTGCTCCCACTGCCTTAGCCAACTGCTCCACCGACTTCTTCTTATTCTTCGGAATTTGACGCCCGATTCCCAAGTCGAGAACGACCTTCAAGCATGAACAGAAATGAAACTTTTGAGAGCATTAGTCTTTGACACAATGGATAAAGGCAGCGACGGCATAAAGTCGCAGAGAACGATCCGATTGCAGGAGGTTAACGCACCTGAAGTGAATCTAATAGGAGGCTCGTAGCTGGATCCATGGTTGTGGCCAATATTTTTTGTGCAAACTCAATGACCTTCATCCTTTCTTGAAGGCCCCCCTCGCTAAGAGCCTCAGTTGACTCAATGTTGCTAGGCGATAGTCCGGGCATTGGGAGGCTCTCTTTGCGCAAACACTGGCTATAGGCCATGACGGCCTGTAACAGTTTCGTTCCTAGTTCTTCGTACTCATTTATTTGATTTCCGTTCGAAGAAATATCTAGAGCTGTTGCAGAAGTCATTGCCGTAAACCAAGTGGGCTACAGGGAGCAAATTCCAGTCGAGGAGTATACAAATAATGATGATGGTTATGTTCGCAAGAATCGAGCAAGCTCACAATCATCCTGTTGGCAATACAAAGCAAGAGCTTTTGTTCCCGCTCTTATGAGTCATTGAAGATAGGCTCGTCCTAGCAAAGTGTGTAAGCAAGTTTTCACGATGATCCGTGCGCCCTGGTGATGCTAGCGACTGTAACCCTACCCTTGCTATGCTGCATGTCAGATGTGGGTACATTATATATTGCTTGATCCTTCTATCCACTTCCCATCTTTTAAATGCGCAGTGAACGCTTTTAGGCAAAATTCTTCGCCGCTTATTCCCGGTAGTAATGTATGCACTTTTAGCATTAGTGAATTAGCAGCTGCGGTCAGCGTTACCACAACCTCTTCCATGGTTGTTGCAGCGCTCACCAGCCGTTCCATCAGATCTTTTCAGCCGCCACAGCCCACAGTTGGTATTCGTCCAGGAAAGCGTAGACGGTCGTCTCTCCTCTTCTTTTCGTTATGTCCTTTATCGAGACCATTATTGTCCCTGATGACGAGGGAAACCTGTCGGCAGAACATGGCCGTTCCGTAGTTAACAGCACCCAATGTCTAGATGGTAGGGAGAAGAAGAGAATCCAAAATCGTATTGCTCAGAGAACGAATCGTATGTGCATACCATAATCGGAAGTCAAAGATTGTGGAAAAGAAAACAACAGCTAATAGTATCATTGACAGGTCGCCATATGAAAATGAAGCTAGAAGTACTCCAAGAAAAAATAAAGACACATGAGAAGAATATTAAGGAACCAGCCAAAGTCCAGTCATCTAGCTCAACTTCAGTATCACCCACAGCATCTACCACAGTAGACTCGATATGTCCGGTGCCGGCGGTACGGGATGATCATGCAACGATTTTTGAGTTTCTTATGAGTAAGTAGACCACATCGCTACTGGCAGCTTTATGTGTGGCAAATAAATGGTTGCTAACTTCGTCAGCGCCACTACCTGATGTTGGTGACGGCTGTCCTTCACATGAGATCGAGGCCGTGAACCAAGCAACGTTCGTCAACCCCGATAGTTCAACCGCAGCCTTCTCGCTAGATATCCCGCCCTGGACTTGGAACACAACACCCGGTTTGCAAGAACCTCCAGCTCCTATGTCATTATGTTCTACGTCTGGCGCACCGGCGAGATTGGAATTGGACGCATTCTGCTCGCCACAAAGCCTTCATGGCCCGAGGCCCAACAAAGAAGCTCACCTATGCTTGTCCGACTACCTCACCGACATGCCACAAGAGGAAGTCCAGCGAAACGTGGATACAACTGTTCCCCTTCAGGAACGTCTCCGTTATATCAAAGATCAGGCCGTAGCTATGGGCTTTCGCACTTTTGACGAGGTCATTGCAGCATACTACACAGAGTTGTTTGAGCCTACTTCTCCATTGTACAAGGAACAGAGATTAAGCCGCAACCGGCGACTACCTCAGCTTCTGAACACCTTCCACAACGCGGCTAAGGACTGGGCCGAATGGGAGCGTCGAGGGTTCCGCGAACAGATTACCCAAGGCGCCGAAGAGATTCTTGTCGAGGAGTTGAATTCGTACATTGCGCGGCATTCGTTTAGCGCTGCTGGTGAACGACTCGCATCCTATGGCCTAGAATGCAAGCATGCTGGAAGGAGAGACCGTCAGGAGAGACGGGAAGTTCAGGACGACGTAAGCACGCACTGATTTTGTGTCTCTATTCAGTATCTTTGACTGGCGTCAGCAACGTGGAACTGATCAGACAAACAGCTTCCAAACCTTTGGGCTTTAGCAATAGCTCTACTATCAAGAGATAACACACTCGATCAAAATGCCCGCCGAGACACGGTGCTCACTGTCATCGAGACGTTGTGCTTCGACCAAAGTGAAAACCTCGAAGGTCGATTACAACGGGAAGGGGAGGCAGTTGTTCACATTAATAGCACTGGAAGTTCTTGCTCTTAATCTTACAATAACTGCAATAGATTTTAGGAGCAAAGATGCAATAGAATCCCTGGTCGTACCCTCCTAGTCATACACACAGCTATATGTATACAGTAGCCATGCACAAATACACACACATACACCACAAACTATATGGATCTTTCCTATATTGGCATGCACTGAAAAGGGCGAGATTGGCTGCGTTGATGGCCTAGATTGATGCACCCTTACTTTGAGAACATAGATGGTCGCTGAGATTGCCTAGCTCCAGTGCGCGTGGATATTATGGCGGCAGAATGGCTGGCAGGCGCCGCATTGCACTCCCGTCCAGGGATTGCATGGGTGGCTCCGAAGCCCGACGCTTAAGCTGCATGTAGGATGCAGCTTTCATATAAACTTCGGTTGTGAGTGGTCGCGGATAAATCCCACTGTCTTGCCTGCTCACTGCATGGACACGGTATTGGAACGTCACAGGCCGCCCCGTATCCAGCAATCCCTAACTTCATGTGCTATCTCAACAGCTTTTCCGGCGATTTTCCTGCCTTTCTTATGCAATCTTTGTGCACATCTGTCATTACTTTTCGGACTGTTCTTGCCTTGTGGTTTCCAGTTCTATGGTACGCTTCCCATGACTCTTCCGTGATACACAGGCTAACGTCCCTCTCCGTGTAGCGAAAAACCCGGTGTGCCGAGAAAGTCGTTGAATTTCGACCCCACAGATTGCCATGTAAACAAGCAGAGTGTGATGGATCTATTGCTAATTTTGGATTTCTTAAGATATCGTTCTGAGGCAGTGGAAGAGAACATAACGTGTTCTATCAGTAAGCTGCGCACCCCATCAAAATTGAACCAACTCTTTATACGATAGCTTCACAACAACATAAAATAATAGCATTAAATCTTGTAGATAGCTAATCTATTACTGTCTACATTAAGTCCTTGTGTGTTCTTGGACGTAGCACTTTATACACGTTGGTGGTGCGCGCTGACGTCCTTGAGTAGCCGGAGCTTGTTCACTCTCCGCGATTACTCTTTTAGCCTCTGCAGCGAGCTGCTGGCCTTGCTGAGCCTGTAGCGCTCCTCCACGAGCTACATAATGCCGCCGCTGATCTCTCTTACGCCGCTGGCGCTCATTAGCTCTACGTAGCTTCTTAACCTCCTCTGTAAGTATTGTCACTGAGTTAATCATAAGCTGATCACTTTTGACGAGCTGGCTGATAGCCTGCATTATTGGGCTCTGTGATCGGCGACGAAGCAGGTCCCGTATGTGTTGAGCTTGCTGCTCAAGCTGCGCTATCGTGCGCGGCGTCTCTGCTGTCCATTCGACGTTGTTGTCTGCTGTTGTCGCTGGTGGAGACGGCGTTCTGACGACTATGAGCGACGATAGAACGCGATCTGGACAGTATGGGATAAGGCCAGTCGCCTGGAAGCCAGCCTGGATATTCTCCTGTGTGAATACCGCCGGCCGGATCCGTGTATAGGTTGTGAGGAAGTCTATCTTGTCAATGTGGTAGACGCCTTGGCGAGCGAGCTCCTGGATCTCGTGACCGTACGCTCGCTTAAGCGGTGAGAAGCAGCTTACGTCAAGTGGCTAGAGGAGGTAAGAAGTATGAGCTGGCATACAGAGAGTGATAATCTTGTTCTCTGTGCAGTAGTTATCAAACTCAGGCGTGGCGTGGCTGCTATGGCCATCTAGGATAAGAAGCCGGTAGACTCTATGGGTACGAGGCGCTGTATGTCTGTTGAAGTGCTTTACCCACTCAACACCAAGCTAATTAGTTGTCCAGCCGTTGTCTGATACTGCGACTATCCAGTCTAGCGGCAGGTGTTGATACCAGCTAGCCTGGTGGAGCTTCCCGGACAGAATCACGAACGGTGGAAGACACCAGCCAGACGCGTTAATACACTCAATTGTCGTGACCCAGTCGCGATTACCTGGCTGCACATTGACTGCTCGGCCTGTAGTGTCTGAGCTTGTGACAACCTTAGACGTAGCAGTGACGCCCATCATAAAGCCAGTCTCATCAAAGTTGTATACGTCGTCGTCGAGTATGCCGTACTTGGCCTTTGTCTGCTCTACAAGCTCAAACCAGCTCCTGATTAACACAGGATCTTCGCATAGAGCTCTCTGCCTATCGTACGCTCGATTGAAACGCGTCGCAAGACTGTCTGTACGCTTAACAAAGTTGCGTGGCCATTGGACGCCGACACGACCTGCGCCGCGCGCAGCGAGCAGCTTATTCGCCATATCACGTACAGCCGCGTACGTAGGCGCAAATCCACGTTGATCTAGGTCAAGTATATATCTGACAATCACCTCCTCTTCTAGCTGGGTAAGTTTCTTTGAGTTAGGCTGGCAATCGCGTCGGGCAGGCTTGCCAGCGCGTCGGCGGTGGAGTGTATCTCGAGAGACATTGAACGTCTGTGCAGCGACTGCCTCACTCTGAAATTGGTTTTGCTGAAGAGCTGAGATAGCAAGGTGTATATTAGCCTCAGAAGAAGCTGGCTGGGCTTGAGTTGGGGGTGCCATGACAGCTAGGAGTTCACGCGTCGCAGAAAGTTGGTGGGGTGCGCACTCGCTTGTAATGCGCACTCGCTTGCAAAACACGTTACAAAGGGGCTCGTTTTCGGTGATGCACCAACCTTCGCCCTAATATACTAAGGCAGTCAGTGCTTCACCAAACACGAGCCCCTTCGTATAGCAGTAGCGCACCAGTTGGCCGTGCGTGACGAATTGCTGGTGTTGAGACTACTGTTATGATGGTGAATAGTAGCAGTGTAGCACGCTCGAACTCGCGAGCTAAAGTGAAGGCAGAGCTAGGTACCTCCCCTGCTGGGGTAGGCTAGCTGGTGCGTGCGCGCGCAGAGCAAGCGAGAAGGAGGCTCCTCGGCACGGGAATGCAATCTTCCGCCGGATCTGCCCGGTCGTGTCAGACGCCACTGATATCTTGGCACGTGGGCACAGTCACTACCTATTAGATATTGCGGCTTCACTCTTACAGTCAGCAACACCAACTTCGGCTGATGTGCCAGCAAGGGTCTAGCCTAATTTTTGTTGATAGCTGGCTAGTTAAACTATGTGTTTGGCGTCCCACAGTTAGCGCCAGCGCATTCACAGAAGGTGATGGGGCGAAGGAGTAATGCCTGCAGCAATTTACGTACTATACACCAGCAAGAGGCGAGAAGAGTGCAATGCAGGAACAAAGCCATGCAACTGTGCCTCAACCACACAGGAATCCTGTTTCTCGCTTCACCCGTACAGGCAGCAACGCCGATTTGCCAGCAAGGGTCCAGCTGCGTTCATCCCGACCTTGAACATACGCATCTCGGGATGCAACCCCATTTGATCACGTAGTGCGCTGGCCCACTGCTCAGGTTGATAGGGCCGAAAGCGCCTCATGGCTTCCAGATACAGACCCTGGTTCGCCACTCGTTTCTTTTAGCCCCGTGTTCCGTATACCGCCTGCTATGTCTAACCAACCTCTTCAGGCCCCCAGTGAGCTGGATGTTCTGAGGGAATGGCGTTCCCTCCCGGCATATCTTAGGCTCAATCGCTCCATCAAATATCTTTGACTGTCGCTACATAGTTCGTATTCTTATCCGAAAAGTGTGCGTAGATAGCTCTGTTTCTTTCTCCATGACCTTTGTCGAGACTCTAGCCGTCCCGGACAGTGAGGAGCGTCCTTCGGCTGGACACAATCGTCCTGTAGCCGACAGCACCAAGTGTCCCAACGCGAGGGAGAAGAAGGTTCAGAATCGTGTCGCCCAGAGAACACATCGTATGTACATCCCATAGCTGAAGCCTCATCAGCACAGCGCTAGGTGGGACTGGACACAGCAACTGATCGGGTTTTCAACAGATCGCCGTTTAAAAACAAAGCTGGAAGTGCTACGGGAAAGATTGAAAGAGCCTGAGAAGCAAGTTGGGGAACCTGCCAGGGTCCAGACATCCACCTCCACGCTGGTGTCGGGTGCGGCAACCAGCTTGGCAGATTCGATGTGCTTGGTGCCAGCAGTGCAAAATGACCAGGCCATGGCGTTTGATTTTCTGATGAGTAAGTACAAAATGCTGTTGCTACGTTCCTTGCTTAGTTTATCAGTGCCATCACCTTCTGTTGGTAATGGTTGTCCTTCACATGACCTGGAAACCATGCGCCAAGCTGCGTCTGTTCATTCCAACACCTTAGGCGCGGCCTTCCCGCTAAACAGGTCGCCCTGTACTGAGAACATGACGCCCGAATCGCAAGTTAGTCTAGCTACCGCACCATTGTGTTTTACTTCTGTCGTCCCGGCGGAGTTGGACATGGACGCTTTCTGCACGCCTGACAGCAGTGATTGGTCGCGGCCGAATGAAGAATCTCTCCTACGTTTGTCCAATTATTCTACCTCCATGTCACATGCAAACGTTCAATGGGGCGTAGATGCAAATGCTCCGCTCCAAGATCGTGTGCGCTACATGAGGGACCAAGCCGTCGCCATGGGCTTCGGCTCTCTCGATGACGTCGTCGAGGCGCACTACACACAGAAGCTTGAGTGCACCAGCCCATCGTTCCAAGAGCAGCGACTGAGCCGCAATCGGCGACTGTCGCGGCTGTTGAGCACGCTGCACAATGCGGCCAAAGACTGGTCGGAGTGGGAGCGACGCGGGTTGCAAGAGCAGGTTACCCAAGGTGCCGAAGACATCTTTGTCTCCGAGCTAAATTCGTACATTACACAGCGCTCGATGAACTCAACGGACGACAAAATCATCATGGGCGGCCTCCTGGACGAGCAGTCTGGACTGAGGCAAGGCGTGGAAGAGAGGCGGAGACTCCAGGACAGTGTACGTTTACCTCGCCTGTCGTAACTTGCATTTCAAAACAATGACCAGGCAAACAGCTCCCCAACCTAAGTGCCCTCCTCACCACTCTGCTGTCAAGGTCCAACGCACTCAACCAAGACGCCCGTCGAGACGCTGTACTCGCCATGATCAAGACAATGTGCTTTGACTAAGACGAGAACAGGAGTACATCATAGGTTTCCATCGCGTGAACAAAGAAGCTTTGCTATTCAAAGAAAACGTGTATACATACAACCATAGACGCGGCACTCGAACGCACAGATATACGACTGATACATGAGACGGCAACGTGCGTTTTTGCCGTGCTGTTGTAACACCCCTTGTACATGAACCCGGTTCCTACTTCCGTGACGCTCCGGCGATGGGTAGATCAATATAGTGATGAAAGACTAAGACTTGCCAGATTCATGGCTTATATTAGAAAAGCTTTGAGAAGAGATGTAAAAAGGAGAAAAGTTGTAGCTCATGGAATTTCTGTTTGGAAGTACGGCATCTGTCCACCACCCTACGACATTCGGGACGAGCACTGGCGCTGTCTGACGAGCGTGCGCGTCCATGTTTGCCTCAGATTTTAGAAGTTTCTTTTTCACATCAGTCACTTGACTTGGACTTTGCTGTCTTGGGACGTGTCCTTATGTTTGTATTATCATTCAGGTGCTGGTAGAGTGATTTGACACGTTAGTAGTGTGGTTGGATATTGGTGGAGCGAATGATGTGCCAGACGTTGCCTTGACTCTTCCGTATCTCCAGGGTCGGCGTAATCAGATCCCGCCATCCCAAAACATTTGCCTGGTCTCATTTCTCCTCGAGCAGTTGGACAAGGTAGCTCCTGAGCTGAGTTGTCTCGCTTGCAAGTTCGCTCAGAGCGTTGATGAATCACCGCACCGGGTCGTCACGAAGCGGTGATGATTCAATCTGATACGACAAGGAGAGGTATTAAGTTTTCTCCTTCTCCCACTCCTTCCAGCGTCGTCGGCTCGTTCCAAGTTGTCAAAGTGGGCCCCCTTGTTGGTTCCGGGTAGGCTGCAGTACATCGCCAGGGTCAACAGTGAGTTATTGCTGTTTAATTAGGTGTTGCGGATCAGCATCGAAGATTATGCGATCATATTCTTAATTAATATAAAAAGGTTTCAGCTTACACTACCAAGCTTGAGTGTCCTCTGCGTAAGTCGTATTATGAGAACAGCAACTTCTCAAAGTCGACACACGACATTGATGCTTTGCAGCAGCGGCGGAAGAACAAGCACGACCTGAGCTTGCTTCAGCTTCTGCCTGCGTCTGCGCACCCGCGGCCGGTCATCGGAGGCCGTCGCTGTAGCGTATGTTATGAAAGACACCCCCATGGGCTTAGCAGGTCTCCGGCGGAAAAGGAAGCGCATTTCTCTCTCACACTTCCCAGCAGTAAGCAAAGATGGTATGCAGCTGAACCGTTCCTAAGACGTTCAAGTTGCCTGTATGTCGGGGAGAGGTAGTTTAAGAAAGAAGACACAGCACCTCCCTGTAGGCGAGCTAGCCAAGGGCTGAAACTTGAGAGGCGCGCAGGGAAAGGGAAAGGGAAAGGGAAAGGGAAAGGGAAAAAGGCAGTGGAGGGATGGAGCAAGATAAACAATGGCGAGGCGCCTCAGTCCACAGGCAAGCTTACTATGTATGTACTATCAGTACTGGAGAGTCAACCACAATGGTGAGGCCGACTTATCATCTTTTCTCATTGGATATTAGACCCATTCTCAGGCCCATTAAACAGGCTACGATAACTGATCGCCTCGCTCTCATTCTTCTTGTCTCCATGCGTGCATGCATGCCTGCCTCTATGGTAGGGCGGCGGCGGTGGTGGGCGGAGAATTCATCGTGAGCACAGACCAACGCTCCGCGATCGATGCCCTAAGCTTTGTCTCTTGCTTTACACTTTGGCTGCGAAGGTGGCGGATGTCTCGAGTTGGTAAGCAGTAGCCCCGCCCTGTTGTCTACTGACACTGTATTTTGCGTGCTTCGCTACTCGAGATTGCTGGCGAGCTGCGGTCGGCGTATCTCTAGAGCGCTTTCTAGACCTGTAGGGAGGCGGTCTTGGCTCGTTTGCTTTGAGCTATTGATAGACCTGATGGCTGAGTGCGGCGGTCAAATCAGGGGTCTTTCTAGCTAGAGGGAGCAGAACGTGATCTAGCAAGCGTTCGTAGATGCTCGGTGGATACAGGAGCCAATCCACCATAAGACCCATCCTTCTGAATGTGCTTCCTACACCACTCCTGCATTTGCACGCAAGATTGTCCAGAATGAGGGCAGAGATCGCTAACCACTTGGTTTGGAGGTCTTCGAGCAAAAACTCAGACATGTGGCAGTTTGACAATGCATCCACCTTTTCCCTTCGCTCCCTGCATATTTGCAGAGCTCCTAGGACTTCTAAGTGAATGGCCAATGCTGGTCTCGAAAAGTCGTACCTCGATGAAATGTGGTGTTCCAGGCCCATCGTCGGCTGCCAAGCGGCGATCTCCTTCGGGCAGGGCATACCTAAGCGCGGATCAGCCACTTCCCCTATATGCGGCGTCATCGCCAAAAGCTTTCCACGCTCCCGATCCTGCACACGCAGTCAGTGTCCTGCCTGGCAGTTGCATGTCTTCTCTATGATAGCCTCTCTCACTCTGCCTGCTTTCCTTCGCCTTATCCATCTATTATGAGGGCTATCGAGCTGCCGCCGCTGCGCTCGCCGTCTGAAGAAGCAGCGAGGGCAGAACACAATGCGCAGACACTCGCACACGAAAATGCAAATATCGCGGGCTATGACGAGAGCCCGGCGATCCAACAAGTCGAGAGCGATGCTCCAGAGACTAAAGGAGCCCCGCAGGCTTCTTTCAAGAATTACTTTGTGTGTAGCCACCCCCTGCGTATCGCGAGAACACCAGCTAACGGCAGCCAGCGTGTCTTTTCATATGGGACAAAGCTTGACTACTTTTTAGTTTCGCTATGTTGCTTTACGTCTATCGGAGCAGGTACTGCGATGCCGCTGATGAACATTGTCTTTGGTATGCTCTAGGATATTCCAGCTAGTAATCTTTGCTAAATCACCACAGGCAAGCTCGTAGGAAATTTTACAGACTACTTCATCCCAGGATCAAATGTCACCCGACAAGAATTCGAGGCAGAGATTAACAAACTAGCCCTCTATATCTTCTACCTCTTCATAGGCAAGTTTGCCATGTCGTACATTTCCATGGTACGTGCAACTTTCTCCGTTTCACTATATAATAGATTGACAATCGAGACAGCTCGCAATTCGGATCAGCGGTATGAGAATGTCGGCTGCGCTTCGCCTGGCATACCTGCGCGCACTCTTCGCCCAGCCAGTGAGCGTTATCGACACCGTCAGTCCCGGCAAGGTTGCCAATCGCATCACGACGTCATCGAATATCGTCCAGCTTGCCATCTCGCAGCATTTTGCAACCCTGTTCCAGTCTCTTGCCTTCACCATCGGACTATACGTGGTGGCGTTCGTAAAAGGGTGGAAGTTGACGCTGATCGCCTCGACGGGTCTCCCTTTCATCCTGATCGTATACGGCGCCATGTTCCCGCCCTTTCTCCGGATCCACCAGATCACCGACAAGTTCCACGAGGAAGCATCGGCTATGGCGTATGAAATGTTCTCCTCCATTAGGATGATTGTCGCCTTTGGCACCGAGTCGAGACTTGCTAAGCAGCACGGAGTCATGCTCTCCAAAGCTGCAAGGAATGAGAAAAGAGCTGCGCCGTTAATGGGCTTGACCATGTCTCCGACCATGGTGGCCATGTACGGTATCTTCGGTATCACCTTCTGGTTCGGAATCAAGGAATATACAAAAGGGAGAATCTCAAGCGTCGGCGACATCACCGTCGTGCTCTTCTCAGTCATGATGGCCGTAATGAATATTGGGCGAGTCGCGTCTCCGATTATTTCCATCGCAAAAGCCGCGGCTGCTGCGACCGAGCTCTTTGTCACAATCGATGCTTCGTTCCCCGATACATCTGGTGTCAAGGAGCCCGAGGTTACAGGTAATGCTGATATCACTTTCACCAATGTCGCCTTTTCGTACCCGAGCCGGCCGGGCGTCCCAATTCTTGAGGGACTTGATCTGACAATTACTGCTGGCAAAGTCACTGCCATTGTAGGTCCATCGGTAAGTGAGCCCAGTATGTAATCCCACATGAAACAGACGTTGACCGTGTACTTTCGTACTTAGGGGTCCGGAAAAAGCACGATTGTTGGCCTTATCCAGCGATGGTACGACCTTCTCGGCACAACAGCTACTGCTAAGAAAATCGACGAGACAGAGATTCCTTCATCATCTACTATGGCCTCCAGCCCAATAGAAGCAGTCTATGACAATACAGACAAGAAATCCAAAAAGGGGAAGGCCGGGGAAGAAGAAGAAGGACCAGAACAAGATCTCGGGCCAAATACGTGCACTGGCTCGTTGAGTGTTGGCAGAACAAATCTTCGTAATGTGGATGTGAGATGGTGGCGTTCGCAAATCGGCATGGTCCAGCAGGAGCCTTTCTTGTTCAATGATACAATATACAACAATATTGTGTTTGGACTCTGCGGAACCCGTTATGAAGGACTGTCCAAAGACGAAAAGAAAATTATGGTCGATGAGGCGTGTCGCGAGGCGTGCGCGGAGGAGTTCATCTCGCGGCTCCCACAAGGGTTGGACACGCTTGTGGGCGAGAGCGGCATCAAACTTTCTGGTGGCCAGCGTCAGCGTATCGCCATTGCCAGGAGTATTATCAAACGACCGCCGATTCTCATTCTAGACGAGGCAACGAGTGCCATCGATGTCAGAACGGAGCGAATTGTTCAGGAAGCGCTTGATCGTGTTTCTAAGAACCGTACCACGATTGTCATCGCACATCGCCTATCCACAATCAAACGGGCGGACAGCATAGTCGTCTTACGGCAGGGCCAGCTGGTCGAGCAAGGCACGCACGAAGAGCTGCTGAAAAATGGAGATGGGGTCTATTACGACTTAGTTCATGCCCAAGAGCTGGAAATGGACGCTGAAGACGACGATGCCCACAGCTCAAGCTTAAAGAACATCAAAATGAACGACACTAAGGAGGATATTGCTAGTAGCGGATTCGAGGGACACGCTTCTAAAGAAGATCCAACATATCAAAATGTAGGTCTACTTCGCAGTCTCGGTCGACTTGTTGTAGAGCAACGTCACCATTGGATCCTCTACAGCGTTTGCTGCATAGGCATACTCGGAGCCGGCGCAGTCTACCCACTCCAAGCGTACATTTTCGCAAGGATTATTAACGTCTTCACACTTACAGGTCCCGAGCTCGTCAAACAAGGCAACTTCTGGGCAGGCATGTTCGGCGTACTTGCAGGTGGGGTTGGACTGTCGTACTATCTGCTTGGTGCTGCCTCACATCTAATTTCTGTCGAATTAACACGCACGTATCGATCAGAATACCTCAGCAACATGATCCGGAAACCAATCCTCTTTTTTGACGATAAAGTTCACAGCCCAGGCGCCCTTACGTCAAGACTGAGCTCGGACAGTCAACAGGTCCAGCAGTTGTTGTCGATGGAGATGAGCATGGCGCTCATTGCCTGCACCAACCTTCTCGGATGTACAATTATCGCCTTCGTTTACGGCTGGAAGCTTTCCCTTGTTGGTTTATTTGCTGCCTTGCCTCTCATTCTTGGTGCCGGACTCGTGCGCACGCGTCTCGAGATACAACTCGAGGCCGAGAACGCAAAAGTTTTCGAGGACAGCAGCCAGTTTGCCACAGAAGCGGTGGCGGGTTTCCGCACTGTGCTAAGTCTGCTCATGGAGCCGATGATTAGAAGCCGCTACGACAAGTTGCTCAAGGGCCACGTTGTGGAAGCTTTCGCCAAGGCAAAATATGGTACCATTATTTTCGCTGCAAGTGACAGTCTTGAGCTTGCATGTATGTCTCTGACCTTCTGGTACGGCGGAAAACTCCTTGCGTCTCGTGAATATGATCTCATTCAGTTCTTCATTATCTACATGGCCATCATTCAAGGCGCTACGGCAGCAGGAATCTGGTTCTCTTTTACTCCAAGCATGGCTCAAGCAACAGGCGCTGCAAACCGAATCCTTAGCATGCGGCCAACATCGACGGATCCATCATCTTACTCGCCTCTTCCACGCTCAGATGAGGGAGTGGGCATTGAATTTCAACACGTCTCCTTCAAGTACCAGTCCCGAGACGTGCCCGTTCTTTCCAACCTCAACCTGCAAATCCTACCGGGTCAGATTGCTGCGTTAGTAGGCAGCAGTGGCTGTGGTAAATCAACAACCCTGTCTCTTCTCGAACGCTTCTACGATGCGAGTTCGGGCCATATTCTATACAACGGGCAAGACATCACCACGTTCGACCCGGCAGAGCACCGGAAACAAATGAGCCTGGTGAGCCAAGAGCCCACGCTCTACCAGGGCAGCATTCGAGAAAACATCTCTCTGAGTGTAGAGTCTGCATCCGACGACGACATCAAACAGGCCTGCCGTGATGCGCAAATCCATGACTTCATCACCTCGCTTCCAGAAGGCTACGAGACGCGCTTGGGACCGAAAGGAATGTTCCTCTCAGGTGGTCAGAAACAGCGAATCTCTCTTGCCAGGGCGCTGTTGCGCAAACCAAAAATCCTGCTCCTCGATGAAGCAACCAGCTCGCTAGATTCGGAGAGCGAGAAATACGTCCAGGAAGCTATCGAGCGAGCTGCAAGCGAGGGTGACCGAACCGTCATAATTGTTGCGCATAGGCTGGCTACAATTCAGAAGGCGGATATTATCTTTGTGCTGGGCAGTGGAAAGGTGCTGGAGAAGGGGGATCATCAGACACTGCTCCGGAAAAAGGGCGTGTACTGGCAGATGGTATTTCAACTCTTGGTCACGAAATTTTTTTGAAGATGCTAATTAAATGCAGTGTCAAGCCCAGGCCCTCGATCGCTGAAAACGCCCTTTTTTTCTTGCTGTCCCTAGATCCCTTCTCTGTATCATGTAGAGTTAGATTTCCCTCGGTTCGGGATCAAATACTACTTCCTATCCTGTTGCTCACTTAGGCCAGCAATATTGGGGTACGCAGAAACTCAAGTCATGATCATGTAGTATACTGTATGTAAAACGCACAGCGGGGTTCAACGGCGCCTTGTTGGTTTCAAAACACTTTTACAGCATGTAACTAATGATACTATCAGTAGCGTTTCAAACGGTGTTTCATCTTTTTACTTCGTCTCTGCTTTTGCTTAGAGTTTTGTAAGATGAAGTGAAGTGAAGGCGAGAATTATAAATTCATGAGAGATGTTAGAGTTGTAGATTTTATCGATGCAGATTAGAGTCTCATTAAGCCGACGTATAGTCTATCTTTAGCCTCTATATATACTGTTGCCAAATCACATGATCCTCATACACGGTCCTTACCCCACACAGTTAGATCACTCCTTGATACAGTATATAGTCTCGAGAGCTTTACTCTCCTTAAACAACACAGCTCTCATTCTTCTTGCAGACTTCATGTTCTCACATATACGAATAGCCTAGTTACAGCTAAACCAAAGTGAGCTCAAAAGATGATACAAAAATGTTTGTCTAGAACGCTAAGAGTCAAGAATGTGTTGCTCCGGCGATTTCCCTGTCCGGTATCTATCCTTCCTTCCCTCAGAGCCGCGCCAACCCCCGCTCCCTCCTCCCATTCGAATTCCCGCCCTGCACCAGCGCATTCGCCGTTGGCACACCCTTCGCCCAATTATCCAGATTCCTCAGCGTGCACTCCGCAATTTCCGTGAGTGCCTCTTCAGTGAAGTACGCCTGGTGGCCAGACACAACGACGTTGTGAAACGTGGTGAGGCGCATGAGCAAATCGTCATGGATGATGTCACCCGAATGGTCTTTGTAGAAGAGCGCGTGCTCGCCCTCGTAAACGTCGAGGGCTAGCCCGCCCAGACGCTTGCTCTTCAGCGCCTTCATCACGCTCTGCGTGTCGACCAGCCCGCCACGCGACGTGTTGACGAGCATCGCGCCGCGCTTCATTTTGCTGACTGTTGTGTCGTTGATGATGTGCTGCGTCGAGTCCATCAGCGGGCAGTGTAAGCTTACAATGTCGCATTGTGACAGCAGCGTATCGAGATCCACGTATTCGCCGTACTTCTTGAAGGCTTCTGTAGGCCGAGGATCGTATGCCAGCAGCTTGCATCCGAAGCCCTGCACGATCTGCGCCATGGCGAGTCCGATCCGGCCTGACCCCACAATGCCGACTGTCTTGCCGTGTAGTGTTCGTCCGAGTAGGCCGTCGAGGTTGAAATTGCCGTCCCGCACGCGGTTGTATGCCCGGTGCGTCTTCCGGTTAAGTGTTTGGATGAGCGCGACTGCGAACTCGGCGACTGCCTCCGGCGAGTACGAAGGGACGTTGGCGACGAAAAAGCCTAAGCGCTCGGCCTCCCTTAGGTCAATATTGTTGTACCCTGAGCAGCGGAAGAGAATGGCGCGCACGCCGGCGGCGTATAGTTCGCGGAGGACGTTGGCGTCAAGCACATCGTGAACGAAGACGCAGACGGCATCAGCGCCGTTCGCGAACGCGGCCGTCTCGCTGGAGAGCGGGACGTGCAGGAAGTTGATCTCAATTGCAGGCGAGGAGTTTTGCTTAGTAGCGATGCCACCCAGGTATTCGATATCGTAGGGCTTTGCACTGAAAACGGCGAGCTTCATCGTAGGCGAACGGGCGTTTGTCCGGGCGAACAACTCGCGATGCGCTAGTCCAGCCAATTGGCTAGAGAAAAAGATTGATAGTGGAATCACGGGCGAGGTCACCTGTCCTGATTATCTTATCGTGCTGGGTTTTCTTCAGCGAGCGGTGATGCGATGTGGCTGAGATGTGGTTAGTCCTACGAAGGGGAACGGCATATATGACATGATGTGACCCCCGTACCTGCTACCTACTCCCGAAAGGCGACCCGCCGTCATCTTGAGCCTTGTCACCACAGAATTACTAATTCCGTCTCCCTGGGATTTCATTAGTCAGGTCAGGATGGTTGGGTAGTGAACGTAAGTTCGGACCATGACTGGTGGGACGATGGTCTGTGCTGCCGATGCAGGTACAAAGTGCAACCGAAGAGGCTGAAGCCGCTAAAGCCGTGGCGCATGCTTCTAGAAGCGTCTTTATTTCTTGGAGCGCAGCCGCAACCGGGTTGATGACACCAATGACAGTTTACAAGGCGAATGACAGCGTAGATTTCTAAAGATCTTTGTCCAAGGCGTCACGGAGCGATGGCACCTTGGATAGAGCTTCTACGCGGTGTCAGAGTCAATCGTTTCATTGGTCGGTGCTTCAGAGGCTTGTTGTTAGTTGTTAGTCGTTAGTGGCTGTACAGAAGGCATTTTTCCGCCTGACTACATGAGCGGTCTTGATGTAAAGTTTCACGAGTAGGTATGTGGCTGAAAGAAACAAAAGTTTGGTTCGTAACTGTCGTTACCTGATCAGAGTTCTGGACGGAAATGCAAAAGTCCTGCCAACGGCCAGTGCTTTCTACGAATTCTATGCTCTTCCTACGCGTTTTCTTTCGACCCCAGCTTTTTTGCTTCTTTCGCGGCGACCATCAACGCGTTGGAGATAGTCGATCTCAAATTTCCTTGTTCAAGTGCCAGCAGACCCTGCATGGTCGAGCCTCCAGGTGACGCCACCTGGTGTCGTATCGTCCAAGGATTGCCGCTCTCTAGCACCAAACTGGCAGCTCCCCTCATTGTGTAGGCCGCCATGTCGACTGCGTCCTTGTGACTTAGCCCCATGGCTACCGCACCATCCACCATAGAGTCAATAAATACTGCAAGAAATGCGGGCGATGAACCACAGAGAGCAGTACATATGTCATAGGCAGATGGTTGGATGTAAAAGACGCTGCCCACGGCTTTGAAGACGGTGTCGGTGACGTGAAGCAAGGCCTCTGGGAAAGTTCGCTGAGGCTTCTCGATGACGGTTGCAGAATCTCGTACAAAACATGCGATATTTGGCATAGCTCGGATCACAAAGTAATCCTCACCATTCCCCAGCGCTGCTTCGAGTTGTGCTGTGGTAACGCCAGCCAGCACGCTGATGATCAGTTTCTTCTTCAGTGCCTCTCGCATCCCTGGCTCGTCGAATAGAGCTTTGTATAGGTGCGGTTGGCAGGCTAAGAGAACAGCATCTGCTTGCTTGACGCCCCGTAGATTTTCCTTGTTCAATATCTCGACTTTGTTCGCATTGGCGTGCGAACTGATCTTATCACTAACAGCAGCACCGGTCTCTTTGCGACGCACACAGGCAGCGAAATTCGTAAACAGGCGACCCGAATCATCGGCTCTCTGATCTGCCATAGAAGCAAGTATGCCCGAGAGAATGGCGGTGCCAAGCGCACCTAACAGTCTGTTAGCCAGATCTAATAATGATACAAGAGAAATCATACCGCATCCGAGCACCGCTAGAGTGTTGCTTTCCCCGTTCGTCATCGTGTTGATTTTGGTAATTCGTGGTATTTGGAAGTATGAAGTATTTTCAACAGTGCATTCCCTACGGGGTTATCAGATCAATAAAGCGAAGGTGCATGAATGTTTTGCGATACAAAGCACTTTAAATGTTCAACACGTTAGTGCTTATAGAGCAGAATTGTAAGCGGGGACTATCAAGCACTACCAGGGTCCGTGCTAAGATGGAGCCAAAGTGGCCTGCCTGCTGGTGAGGAGATGCAACACTTAACATCCGACTTGGCATGGAGCCGACCATACATCAGGTTAGTAGCCTACCGTGCGACATGTAGAAGCTGTTGATAACGAGCAGACTCCTAATTAAGGATTCATGACCAGCATCTAGTATTTCACCGCGCTTTTGAGCAAGTGACCAAGAGCTAAGTGATAAGCTCAATTTGAGTGATTATGCTTATTTGGTCGACTGCCTGGAATAGCGGTGACGGAGACGCCACAACCACTGATGACGCGATTGTGGTAAATGAGCCGCGTGATGCGAGGACAAGTCTGCAAATCCTCCATATAAAGCACGCTATGCCTGAAGTTAGGATCCAGCCGACTCTTGTCCTTACCTCGCGGCCCCGCCTAATCTAACCCACGTGACCCGACAACGGAAAGTGGGGGAATCTAGTAAGGAGAAAGAGCCAGACTCTCTTATCTCATAACAAATTGCCCTATTTCTCGTTGAGGGTATCGGAAGTTGCAAAATAAGGAGAATGGAGAGTGAAGACAATCCATTGAGGATACAAACCGGCTCGCTCTGCTCATTCCAACGACCGACTCCGCTGGTACTCATTCACGACTCTAGTGGCACGACCTTTAGTTATTTCCGCCTGGGCAGCTTGAACCGCGATGTCTGGGCTATTCATGACCCACACTTTGATGAAGGCACACCGTGGAAGGGCGGGTTTGGCGAGATTGCCGAGCACTACATAAAATTGATCGAAACGGCAGGGATTCGAGGTTCGATCCTGCTCGGAGGTATGTGAACAAAAAATGGTACCGTACGCCGTAGATTGAAGCACTCACTCATATGTCGCAGGATGGTCGCTCGGGGGTTATCTCGCGCTCACGATTTCTCACAAATTAACGGCTATCACGAATCCTACCTTCTCTGTCGCCGGCATCTTGCTTGTTGACTCTCCGTATCACACCCCAATGAGTAAGCTGCCACCTCACGCCCCAGATCCCAACTTTCAACACCTTCCGGAACTTGTCCGTAAGTCATTCGAGAATTACGATGTCCTTTTAGACAAATGGGAACTACCTCCATGGACCGCGCCTGCTTTGGAAGGCAAAACTATACGTTGTAGCGCGGGTGGCAAGACCTTCATGGTAGCAAACGGCAGGATCCTATACAAGCCCTTAGGTAAGGGCTGGGAAGATGTCAAAATGCAAAGCTTCGAGCATGGCACCTCTACCTTGGAACGCTGCATCGAATTACCCCCAGCAGCTCTGATCAGATGCGCTCAGGCCATACCAACTGATACAGATTCGAAAATGCCGTGTTTCGTAGATCGATTCCGTCACGAGACACTGCTAGGTTGGGATAGTAATTTCCCCAGTTTCATCAAGGCCGCCGTGGACACGAACACTCACCACTTCAACATATTCGAGTCTCAGAATGTACGTCTACTGGCATCTTTTCTCTCTCGCCTGACACAAGAGAGCGTGTTGTTTATCAGCATTTCTCTCTATCAGTTTCGATACTTCATCATACATTCTGCCGGTCATTCCGGTCGATGAGAACTTAAGATACTAGTGCTAACATAAATTTTATTGCACAGTTCAAACCATTAACGATACAATTGAATGAATGTCTAGAAGTTCTAGATAGCTGTTGCCCGATGGGATAATCTTCCTATTCGGTTGCGGTCCGCGCGATGAGATACTGCTGAACTAGCAGCCATACTATACCCTAAAACTATACTGATAGGGTAGGGTTAGGTTGCCCCTAGGGGCGAAAATGGCAGTTGCCCCTAAGGGCAAGGTCTTAGCATCGCTTGCCCCTAGGGGCAAGGGGTCTGTGCTAGGATTTATAAACTCTTAACTTGCTTATAACTAATCTAACTAACTTCTATAACAAACTTTTCTCTATAAAGACACTACCTTCCTAAACACTCTAATTCTAATAAAAGTAAAACTGTAATAAAGCGCACAGGCAAAGACGTCTTAACTAAAATAGGAAAAAGGCAATATATAACTGTTAAGGAAATTAGGGAGGCAGACTCTATCTATAACCAAGCTATGCCATACCTGCTAGTAATAGCTAAGTTCCTAATTAACGCACTTACCTTAGAATAGAGTATTAGTATAAACTAACCTATTAACTAAGCGCACAAGCGTTACCTCCGCTAGATTTTTAACAAGGTAGGCGTTCTTTAGCAAGATATAGGCTATTAGTTGCAAGTTACTTACTCTAAGGCGCAGGTGCAGTAGATACTAGATTACCTAGAAAAGAAAGGCAAGGCTTAGACTACTGTTACTGTAATTAAGGACGCTAAGAAGGGGAACTTAAAGTAGCTGTTGTTTAAAGGTTAGGTAAACGTTATTAGAGCTAAGGCAGAGCTTATTATAGGCTATTATTGCATTAAAGCTTTTAAGGAGTATCTACAGCTTTGTTAGTTACTAGAGGAGAAGTAGTAGTAGGTGTGCAGTATCTATAACAAAGGTTTTAGCTGCTATACATGCCAGCCTAGACAATAAGCTAACCTAAAATATAGACACACTTCTAGCGCACTTGCGCATCTAGCTTTGTGCCAATTAAGAAAACATTGTTCTTCCTAATAGCTATAGCTAGATATAGATAGAGCTAGCAACCCTGTTATCTAACAACAGCTAGCTGTTTTAAGGTTCTAATAGGTTAGTTAAGCAGGAGATGTAAGAGTACTTTAGGCTTAGTAGTTAAGTAAAGTTCCTAGTCTAACAGCTAGCTATGCTATAGAGAAATCTTAGCTAGAGACTAATAATTACTTAATAGTGCCGCACCTTAATTAGGCAGGCAACCTTTAATATCTCTACCTTTAAGTAGATAGTAAGCTATAGAATAGATAATATAAGTATAATCTATAACTGCTCTACACAACTACACTAAATAACACTCTAGTATTGGTTTTCTGCACTAAATAAGGTAATAAAAATTACTAAGGAAATCTAAAGCTAGCATAGACTAGACGTCTAACTAGCTAACTAGAATAAGCTAGCTAGCTTACTATAAGTACAAAGCGTACGCAATGTACAGAGATTGTTCTATCCTAGCCTTAAACCTAATATAGAACTCTATCCTTTAAACCTGTGTTAATAGAACTTCTTTTTAAATATAAGTAATAATGTATACTTTAACTTATATTAATTAGTGCTTATAGAACTAGCACGCTAGTTTATTAACGTCTATACGCTTCTAAAGACTATAAAGTAGAAGGGGAAGCTAATAAGCATTATAATATCTTATATTAGTTATTAGATAAACAAAGAGCCTAAAAAGGTTTTAGACTACAACAACAACAAGCCTGCGCTATAGAAGGACCTAGTTCCTGCTCCATCCCATGCTCAGATCGACTCGAGTCGATTCGTTTAAGCGACCAATCACAATTGCTTGCGCTGATCTGCCGAAGTGAACCCGGAACACCTGCGCGACAAAACGCGCATTTGTCGCGACTAGCACGCGTACTGCGTTATTGCAAGCAATTGTCAGGAAATGGATCTCTTCGAACTCCATCAGCACTATCAAGTATTGATCTGTCGCGAATGTCTGTACTGCGTCCGCCCGACAGTCAGTGCCCTCACCACACACCTTCGCGCCAAGCACAAGTTGCACCCAGACGTGCGTCCCCGAGATAGTAAAGGAGGGGCAGCTTGTGTCGCCCGGCTGCTCTGCAGAGCATTTCCCAGCGCTCTAGACCCAGCACAAAGCTCCATTTTGTACCCAGAGCCGACATCACCTGCGATACCTGGACTATCAGTACACCAAGGCTTGAAATGCTCTCATTGTTCAAAGATCGTTACCGCTTCGCGCTGTGCGGAGAACACCATGTCCAAGCATTTTCAGAAGCACCGTGCAGTACGAACTACAAGAGGTGGTCGTCACGTTCCTTTACAGCACCTGTACGAAAACGGGAATCTTATCTACACACACGTCCATTGCCAGCGTTTCTTCGCAAGCGGCGCGCATTCGTCATACTTTGAGGTCGCTCCTGCGTCGAGCGAGGACGCCGCGGTCGACCACCCAATCTTAAAGGAAAAAGCACGGAGGGCGGCTCTATCCCGAGAGGCGCTGTTGCACGAGTTGATTGAGTCAGAGCTGGGTAGCAGTCAAAGGGCGCTGGAAGCCGAGTCAGACATTTGTCAAGGTACCTTGGTAGCAACGGAAGCCGATCCTTGGCTGGACGCTACGCGATGGCGACAGCTGTTCAAAGGCGTACCACTCCTGAAAGCTGCTTGTCTTGGCCATATGTCTGTGTCCGCTATAGAGCCAGACCTATACATTCTTACCGAAAGTATCGATCGCTTAGTTGAACAGGCTTACGCTGCTATTTGTGATGACAGAATTGGTTTCTTCGATCAATTCCGTATCAACAGCTTCATTGACAACGACTCAACTCGAGCTGGTGAGAAGGCACTGATGGTCAATCTGCGGAAAGAGTCTTACAGAGCGTACAAATACACTTGGAAGCGTCTTTTGTGCTTTGTGTGCAGAACCAGCCGAGACGGGGACCACGGTGAAGTGGCTCACCTTCCTCACCGATTCACTGCCGAGCAGCTGACGTGCCTACACGAAGCAACCGAACATGCGAGGAAGCACTGCAAAAGGCAGAGCAACGACACAAGAGCTCTGGACAGAGCGACACTACTGCTGTGTGTATCACTGCTCGATCATCCACTTCGCGGAAGTGTGTTCGAGAGCCCAGTCGTCGTGTTTCTCGCCGTGCTTGGCATTGATGAGAAGAATGCTGGTGCGTTCTACAATGCTGCTGCTTATTCGCCAGCGCTGTCGAAGTTCATCAAAATATCGCAAATGCTTGTGATACAGCGAGCTGTTGCAGCTGCTGAGGACGGGGATGTGGAGTATCCCGCTGATATGCTCGACGACCTGAGGAAGCGCTTCCTAGTGCAGGGCTCCCGCTCGCCATTTGATTGGGCGTACAAACAGCGACAGATTGCAAGAAGAATCGCCAGCAACACAACAGGGACAGGCGCTATCATCTGGACAGAAGACTGTCAGAGGGTCGCGTACCATGAGATCAGCTTAAGCATGGGAGACCTGAGAGATTTCGTCGCCACGCAGGTTAAACTAGCGCAACGGGATCTCGAGGAGCTACTGATGTTACACCCGGAGGAGCGCAGGAGCGAAGTGATACCACTCCTTCGATTATATAAGCTGGAGGATAACCACGCGAATAACGAAGCAGGATGGTCCTTTCTCAAAGACGTAAGGAATGCTGAAGCTTTGCAGTACAATATAGGTGGCGCCGGACGGTGGCTCATGGACCGAGTCATCAGACACGACTGGCTTAGCGATGAGTTCCTTAGTCTATCTAAGTCTGATCAGATCAAGTGGCGGAGGAAAAGGGTCGAGCAATATTTTCAGGATGTTGATCTCTTCCTAGAGAGACTACTGCTTCTGGTACACGTTACCTCTGGGCAGCCTGCTCGTGGCACAGAACTTCTCACGCTACGACACATGAACACATCAAACGGGCACCACCGCAGCATCTTTATTGAGAATGGGTTGGTGGGTACGGTCACCAGCTATCACAAAGGCTACAATGTCACCGGCACACTAAAGATCATCCACAGATACTTGCCGAAGGAAGTAAGCGAGCTGCTTGTCTACTATCTATGGCTCGTGCTACCGTTCTGGCAGAAGTTAGACGTGCTGGTGCATGATCGGAAAGAGCCGCCGTCTCCATACCTTTGGCCAAAGAAGTCAGGAAGCTGGGACAGCGCTCGACTGAGTCAGGTGCTCAAGAGAGAAGCGACTATCCACCTGAAGATCCCAAGCCTGAACATCGCAATGTACCGTCATATTGCTATTGCTATCTCGCGGCAGCACCTGAAGTGCGGCGGTTTCAAGCGCGACTACGGGCCACTGGAGGGAGGGATCGCTGAACAGCAAGCAGCGCATGAACCTCTTTTTGCTGGAGCTGCATATGCTAGAGGTGTTGAGGAAGCTCCGGGTCACGTGAAGGCGAAAAGACTCCAGTATCGACTTGTAAGTCGCGAGTGGCACACTTTTCTTGGGTTTCAGGTTGGCCTGGGTGCCAGGAAGCGAGCGTTAGCTGAGATAGCTGTCTGAAACGACACTATACAACAAGATTAATCTCCTTGCACGAAGATGAGCAGAAAGGCTTCCAAAAAGCTCTGCCGTAATGATTGATGCGTTCAAGATGATTGAGTAAATCAACCCTAACTCTGCGTATGCTGCACAACGACGTGACCCGTTGCACGGCCTTTATCTGGGAGCCAGAGCCAGAGGAGCAGTGGGGGGATGATGGAGAGAGCGATGGCGATGGCGATGGCGATAGCGGTGACGATAGCGAGGAACTCAGCCAGTCGAGCCAGCAGAGGCCCAAGCCGGCTAACCCAGGCGGATACTGGGGCACTGACCGCATACGCCGCGTCCTGCGCGAGCAGACCTTCCGCTACATGGGCGCTGCTCTCGGAACTCGCGCATGGCGGCACGCTTATCCTGCCATTCATCGAGAGCTGGCAAAGGAAGGACAAGCGCGCGACTTTCTAGAGTCGCTCTACTGGAGCAAGGAGCTTGTGCTAGACGATGCGCGCGCGCTGCAGTCGGGCCACACGCTGCAGACAGAGGAGATGAATTACGGTCGCTCTATGAAGGAGTCGCCCTTCCAGACCATGGCAGAGCGTGAGAACTTCCGGCGGGTAAGCATGGATTGGCACTGCGTGCTAGAGTTTGCCTCTGCCTGGGAGGACGGCCGCATGCATCCTGGCGTCCGGGCAGAAGCAGTCGCGCAGCAAGAGAAACAAGCGCTCCAGCGCTGGTCGGCGCTTGCGGCAGCAGACCTCAAGTCCGAGTTTAGACGGCTTGCTGGACGACCAGACGCCGAGTATCGGGGCAAGCAGGAGGAATGCCTCCAGGCGATCGTGCAGCGACGACTGCGCGTGCTGGCTGTGATGGCTACAGGTACGGGCAAGAGCATGCTGTTCATGCTGCCCGCGTCCGTCTCGTCAGGCGGCGTTACGATTGTCGTTGCACCGCTCAACGCCCTGCGGGACAGTCTGCAGGGCCGCTGCGATCAGCTAGGCATCCCCTGCGCGAAGTGGGACGGGAGGAGGCCACCGTACTGGGCTCGCATCGTGCTGGTGACGCCTGAGAGTGCAGTCACAAAGGCCTTTAGCAGATTTATCGACGAGAAGCGTATGCTGCGACAGCTAGACCGCATCGTGATCGACGAATGCCACGTGCTGCTGGAGTCGAACGCAACCTGGCGACCAGACGTCCTTAAGCTGACGGAGATGACGGAGAATGGCACACAGGTTATCTACCTTACAGCAACCCTGCCACCCACGCTGCAGCCTGCCTTCCTGCAGACCGCAGGGCTTAACCTAAAGACCTTGACCATCTGCCGCGATGAGCGCACCACGCGGACGAACATTGCTTACCAGGTGCTGGGCTACGAGCGTGGCACGCTAGACGGCGTGCTTACTACGCTGGTTGCAGCAAAGAGGAAGAAACACGGACCTGAAGCGCAGATCCTTGTGTTTTGCACAAGCGTAGAGGAGACCAAGCGGCTTGCAAAGCTCCTCCAGTGCTCGGCGTACTACCGCGAGATGGCCACCGACGACGACAAGGCGCGTATGGTCCGCAACTTCACATCAGGGCTGGAGAAGCTATGCACGGCCACCGGCATGCTCAGTCTTGGCTTGGATGCTGCAGGCGTCAGGGTTGTGATCCACGTCTCCATGTGTCGCATGCTGCTCCAGTACGTCCAAGAGAGCGGTCGAGCTGGACGGACGGGTGCAAGCAGCGAGTCCATTGTGCTAAGAGCGTACTGGCAAGCCAGAGGAGGGTACGTAGAGAAGTCGCTCGGCTATAAGTTGGAGCCAGCTGCAAAAGACTTTTTGTCTGCAGAATCGTGCCGGAGAGTCGCTCTAGATACGCACATGGACGGAAGGCAAGACAGGCAGCAATGCGAGGTAGGGGAGGCAAAGTGTGATCTGTGCGAGCAGCTTCCACGCGGGGTGAAGCGAAAAGCTGCAGAGAAAGAGCAAGACGCACAAAGAAGCCAGATGTCAACGACAGCTATTGCGGCCGCAAAAGCGCAGCGCAAAGAGCTCCAGGGGCTTGCAGCACTCGAGGAGCGGAAGAGTGAGATCCAGCTGCGACGGAAGACAGAGCAGGCATGCTACCAGCTGGAGCGACTCAGGCAGCATCTTGATCGCTGGAGCAATGCATGTGTCATCTGCATGGCCGCCCACGCCAAGTCAGCAGACCACAAGTGGGAGTGCTGCCGAAATGCCAGCGAAGCGCAGATCGACGCTGTGCGGGAGAAGGTTAGGTGGATGCACCGGGTGAAGTGGGCAGGTTACGCTCGCTGTAATTACTGCTGGACGCCACAGGCACTTTGCAACAGATGGGAAGAGACAGATACGCCAGGCGCGTTTGCGAGAAGGAGTAATGGACTGTGCCAGTACCTAGACGTACTGCAGCAGGCAGCAGCTGCAATACTTGCTTTGCGAGAGTCAGCATGCAGGCCGTGGCTTGAGCAGCAGATGCAAGAAGCAGCCATTGTGCAGGGAAGCTACGATGAGCAGCTTCGCAAATGGCTTGGCCTGAAAACTAAGATGAGCGAGAAGGACGCAAGCTACATGTGCTGTCTGTTGTATGCTTGGGAGGAGGGGCAAATACAGCGCTCTAGATGATGAGTGTTGATTTACAGAATCAGACGCCTGTGAACTGGCGGTAGTAGTAAAGGGGAATGTTTAGAACAGTCGGACAGCCGATAGGGCAGGCATGCGTAGTGTTCGTATGGTATGTAAGGCCAAGAGGCAAAGGCGGACTTCGTCGGGGTTGCAAGTGGCTGATAGGATTGGCGACGCTCTGTCAGCCAATTATGGCACCTTGTTGACATAGCGGGGTAAGGTGCATACTCAGCCTTGTGCCTTTCCTGCTACCATGGGGCACATGTACCTGTTATACAACAATCTCAAGCCATGCCACTACCCGGGTTTTCACCATTACCAGGTTCGTCTGACTTAGGGCGGCTCGTTCAGAATCGCCTCGACAAGGTACAACAGGGGTTTCCAGCCTTGCGGCCAACTACGCTCGAGGACTTCCAGGTACTAGCAAACAAGGTCTCTACGATCGCCCAGGCGTGTCAAACAGTCACACAGAGACTAGAAGCGCAAGGCAACGGGCACGACGCAGCAACGGCCTTCGAGCAGGTCCGGAACGAACTCGACTGGGCTGAGTGTAAGTTCATGACCAAAGCTCTCGGAAGCTGCTGACGAGGATCTTTCAGTCCTAGAGGTGGTTAAGGTTGATCCAGTCCCTGTCAAGCGCACGCTGCTTTTCCGCGCACACCAGCAGACAGCCAGGGACCAGCCTGGAGAATTTCATGCGCGGACAACAGGAGTGGTGCTCAACGACCACTATCGGCAGGCCACGTCAGTGAACGACTTTGTGCTCTCTCTGGGAAAGCATCTGGGCAAGACCGCAAGAGAGACGAAGGAAGGAAGACGAGTGATAACAAAGTTCATTTCGACAAGCTCAAGGTTGAACTGGACTCTCCACCTGACAGGGAAGAAGTCGCGGGAGCAAGACGGGCTGAGAAAAGCAGATCATGTTAACTTCGTGATCCTTGACTTGCAAGCCCTGAGCGAAACACCAAACGTGACTGTGTTTCGAGTCGCAGACGTACTTGACTTTCTCCAGCTAAGTGGAAAGTCCAGCCTCATCTCATATGGGCACCAGCGATGGGCAAGAAACTGCGACGAGTACGTCATCATGGGGCGAGACGTTGGAAACGCTGTTGTGCAGATTGTGCCATGGATCGAGCTCCGATGGATCCCGATCATCAATCAGCATTTCCGCAACGCATACACACTGAAATGTTACCAGCAATTTAGGGATGAAGCTGTAGACAGACGCATTGAAGCAGGGTTTGAGCAAGTGTGCAAGATGGTGGTGGAGTCTGCTAAGGCAGTAGCGGGTCACAAGGCAAGTGATGCAGCATTGGTGCAGCTGTTAGTGAGGTTGATCTTGAAGCCTGAGATATGGTTTTGGGGCATTAACACGACTATTGGACAAGAAGAGATCAGAGATGGATGCAAGACGATCATAGAGAATGAGCTAGTAGTAAAGATGGGTCAAATTTCAGTAGGTTAGCAGTAGTTCGCTCATATAAAAAGTACTATTAGAGGAAAATATAAGTACACAAAAAGCTTTCAGGCTTTTCAATATCCACGTACTAAGCACCAACCCGCGTAGTCAGCACGAAACCGCTTGGGTCCTCGAGTAGTTCCACAAGAGGGTAGGCGGTAGGCCTACCAAGTTATCCAGGAGGATATCCAAACGTGTTTGGATATCCAAAGGTGTTTTTAGCAAATACCTTTAGATATCTATAGGTATCTCCTAGTTTTGGCCTATTCCTAGTGCCTATAGCGTACTAGTGCCCTAGATCTACCTAAATAGGGTTTAGTTTGTTACTTACGTAATCTTTTATGCTTAGATATCTAAACACCTTTAGATACCCAAGGGTGTTTTTCCTAGACTAACTAGGATAACTATCTCTATTCTATACCTACTATACTATCCTAGTAGTATAGTAGAGGCTAAATAGAGTTTAGTTTATTGCTTATATAATATTTAATAGTTAGATATCTAAACACCTTTAGATATCCAAGGGTGTTTTTTAAAGACTAAGTAGGATATCTATGCTATTATCTAGTATATTCCTCTTCTATACCTACTATACTATCCTAGCAATAGAGTAGAACCTAAGTAGAGTTTAGTTAGTTGCTTATATAATCTTCTACAGTTAGATATCTAAACACCTTTAGATATCTAATAGTCTTTTTCTAGAATAACTAGGATAGCTAACCTATTTTCTAGTTTATTCTTATTTTATAGCTATTATATTATTATTATAGTATATAAGTACCTTATAGAATACTCTTAAGTACTAGCTTATATCTCTTTAGTTTTCTTTACTTATATTTTATTTATACTATATCCCTAAACTATACCGATAGAGTAGAGTTAGGTTGCCTCTAGGGGCGAAAACAGGAGTTGCCCCTAGGGGCAAAGAATAGAAGCTGCCCCTAGAGGCGAAAATAGGAGCTGCCCCTAGGGGCAAGGAATAGCTATGCTAACAAGTCTAGGTATTGCCTAAGGATATTATCCTTCCTAATAGCTATAGCTAGATATAGATAGAGCTAGCAACCCTATTATCTAACAATAGCTAGCTATTTTAAGGTTTAAATAGGTTAGTTAAGCAAGAGATGCTGCAGCAACTAAAGCTTAGCAGTAGAGTAAAGTTTCTAGTCCGATAGCTAGCTACGCTATAGAAGAATCTTAGCTAGAGACTAATAATTACTTAATAGTGCCGCACCTTGATTAGGTAGGCAACCTTTAATATCTCTATGTTTAAGTAGATAGCAAGCTATAGGATAGACAATGTAAGTGCAATTTATATCTAGGCACGCTCTATACATCTACGCTAAGCAACTATCTAGTATTAGTTTTCTATAATAAACGAGGTAAGAAAGATTATATTAAAGTTCTAAGGCTAGTATAGACTAGATGTTTAGCTAGCTAACTAGAACAAGCTAGCTAGCCTACTACACATATAAACTATACACAAGGTGCAGGGATTATTCTTTCCTAGCCTTAAGCCTAACATAGACTCTTATTCCTTAGGCACACGTTAGCAAGACTTGTTCCTAGATATAGACAATAGTGCATACCTTAGTTTATATTAAATAGTTCTTTTAGAACCAGGACGCTAGTTTATTAATATCTAGGCGCTTTTAAGGACTATAAAGCAAGAAGAAAAACTAATAAGCATTATAATATCTTATATTACCTTATAGATAAACGCTAAACCTGCAAAGGTCTTAGACTGCGACAATAATAAGCCTACACTGCAAAAGGACCTAATCCCTACGCTGCAAGCAAAGTATAGCAACAAAGCTAATAAGAAGTCTTAAGTCCTCTAACAGGTAGTCCTTAATTATATACAAAGGAATGCAAAAGACTTTATTAGCACTATACTAGAGCACTATCTCTATAAGTATCTAAGCAGAGACAACAAAGCCTATAGCATATAGTTTAAGCATAAGGTATAGAGAGAAGTACTATCTATTATTATAATCTACGCAGGACTATCTCTATAGCACAAGTACATTACTAGTCCTATTCTAGAGGAGGCTAGCAAGATTAGTTTGCCTACTATTGCACAGACTGCGCATAATCTTATCTGTTAGATTCTAGAAGTTGCAAACAATCTAGCTCTTTAGTTAGCAACTATAGCCTAACAGCTACTTAGGATAATGCAGCTAGTAATTACTTAATAGATAATATAGCAACACATAGATGCGTTAGATTCTTATAGCAAAGATAGGTAACTTACTACTATCGACCTAGCAGATAAGCAGCACGCAGAGAGTAGGCTATTCTCTTAAGCATTAATTAGCTATACAACACATAAAGGGCAGCTATTAGCAGAAGCATAGAACTATAGGCCCCTCCCCTAGGCCTAGAATAGATTAAGTACGCACAAAGCTATCTAGGAGCTAACTACTACCTAATTACCAAGCTCTAGATTAACAGCGAAGTTAGACGCAGGGGTTTTACTACAAATAGAGATGTAGGAACAAGTGCTAATTAACTTTTCCTTAGACAGGCTAAATAATCTCTAAAAGCAACACCGTTATAAAAGCACAATTAACTAGTAGTTAGATTAGCTGTAATAGCATCCCCTCGCTATAGAGTCTTACTAGCCTAGATATCTATCTATACCTCTTTCTTTACGCGCTACAACTAGCTTAGGAGAACGTTAGAGGCAGAGAGCATTAGCAAGGCGTAAGAAATAATAAGGATTTATAAACTTTAAACCTACTACAGAAGGTCTAATATTAGTGCCTAGCACCTACTATAGTAGCTAAAGATTATTAGCGCTAGCAAACATAGAATAGAGATTGCGTTCTATATTTAGTGCTCTTAAGTTTAATCTACCCTATAGCTTGCCCCTAGGGGCAAGCAGACACTATGCGATCCTTCTACTAGATCCTATTAGTAGTTACTTCGCCTATTCCTACTATAGGAAAGTGCTACCTATATATATCTCACGATAGATTTTAATATATTTAACAATAAGCTTTTAAACCTAAGTCCACCCTAAGATATAGATCTATAGCCTAATTTGCCGCTAGCTATTATTACAACGTAGCTAATAGACGTGCAACAAAGTGCAAATAGTAATAATAATAGTTCTAGAGATAATAATAGACTCTATAGCAACACATTGCCTAGCAAACTTAGGGATAACTACAGCAAGGGCAGCTTTAAAGACAAGGAATAGGTAATAGTAGCAGTAGACTAGTACTTATAGAAGATTAATTACTCTAAAGGGGACTATAAGTTTAAATGTGTGTTAGTATATAGTAAACTATATACATATATAAACGCAAACAGCAACTAATAATATAGCAGTATAGAAGTTTATTATAGCTACTAAGAGCACATCTTTTAATAGCAGGCAGGCTATTAATATACTACAAAGGCGATATATAATTAACTATAGAAGCAGAAAGGCTAGCTCCTAAGCTACTGCGTTAGAGAACAAGTACATACTATTATTCTTCCTTAATCTTCTTATTATTATTAGACAACTACTTAGGCTAATTATGCAGCTATCTAGCTACTTTTTTAACAACATAACTATTAGCTTTAAGAACTAGTAGGCTTCCTATAGCAACAAGCACGTTTATAGACTATTATTTAACTTAGAAAATCGCACCTTCTAACTAGCTATAGCTGCAACACAAGAGTCTTAGTTTATTATTATACACCCTGTTGCTAACGCACCTAAAGAGCTTCTGTTAAGGAGCAAACGTTAAAAATACTACAAGAAGTCCTCCTAATATAGCGCCCTATAGCTCTGCTATGCCTAGTTCCTTATATTATATATTAAGGAGGTCTTCCTTATTAGCGAGCTATTAGGGGAGGGCGTAGAGCTATCTTAGAGATTAGATAGCCTACACACGCAAAAGATTACCTTTAACAAATAGATAACATTCTAAGAGGCTTTTATATTAGGGTAGCTAGAGCACATAAGTATTACAATCCTAGGAACACAGAATTATAGATAAATAGAATAACTAGCTAAAAAGCGGCACAGTTAAAGGATTCTAGGTATCCTACAAAGAAGCAAAGGTTAGCAGTTATTAAGTTAGCACTTAGTTCCTATTAGAACAAGATTACGTGCACTAATCAAGGGCTTAGCAATAATTAGTTGCTTAGCAATTAGTATAATTAGTAATTAGTAGTAATTAGTGCGATTAGTATACTAAGCACTCTACACCTCCTATATATCTCTTTAGTATATAGCACAGTAAGAACATAACCTTTAAGGTTCGTGTTTAACCTTAAGTTTTAAGTTACAATCTATTATATCTTACCTAACCTTTAAGCTAGACAGATTATATCTATACTACTTATCGTTACTCTTGCAGTCAAGACAGACAGATCGCATCTATACTCCTTATTGCACATACTACCTACAGTATAGTTTCTAAGCCTATATTTATCTATAAAACCTAACTAAGAAGTATTTACAAGCTTTGCTTAGAGTATAACTTTTAATAGTAAGATAGAGCACGTAGGATATATTTTAGACAGAGAACTAACTAGCCTTCTATATATATAACTATAGAGCAAACATTAAGATAGATATAGCTAACTAGCTATAGGCTATACCTAAAGAAACCTAACTCTAGCCTATTAAAGAAGAGTCTAACTCTAAGGAAGAGGCTGTTAAGCTAGGAGGTAGTGCAGAGTATAATAAGACATCCTATAGTAGTACACTAGGAGCTAGCGCGATTCCCTAAGCTAGCTATAACTACTAGAACCTATTTATAGGTAGGCTATACTAGCTTTAAATAGAGCTTAAGGACAAGTACGTTCTTAATAGTATTAAGACAGTCTCTTATACTCTAGTAGTAGATATTAACTACCTAGATAGACATTCCCTAGACCTAGACAACAAGCTAGCGCGCTATCTCCTTGCTAACTATAACATAGTTCTACATAAGTACCAAGAGCTATAAGACTTTACCTTCTACCTACTTGCCTTCTATCCTATATATAGCAATTTTTTGTTACTATAACCTCTAGCGTTCCTAATAAACAACCTCCTCGCAGTTATATAAGAGAATATAAGCTACTAGCACAATAGAGTAGGCATGCTAAGCTATAGATACTTCTAAGGATACTCTAATATTAAAAGAAGTATCTATTATAGGCCTACTAACTTGCTTGCTACTAAGAGAGTTGCAACAGCTGCTCTAGCGCTACCTAACCACGACAGAAATCTATCTACTTGTGTAGCTGCTAAGCAGGATTATCTTCTGCAGTAACTACAAGGCTAATTAACCCCTAACAACTCTAATTCTTTAAGGCTATTTATTTATAAAGGATAGCAGATTAAAAACGCTATACTTAGAGAGGAATATGCATTTAGGATAGAATAAGTGCTCTTAGTCTAGGTCTTAAGGCTAGCTAACAGCAGTTAGAGCTTCTCTACTATACTTAGGCCTATCTTCTAGCTAATGCGTCTTTTCCTTAAAGAGCTGCAATACTACACGCATATCTTTCGATCCTTCTGCCTATCTATGTTTCTAGGCATTCTAGCCTCTTTCGCAACTATATTTGTGCAGGCAATAGATAGTCTCTATGCTTGCTTTAAGGCTGCTAGCTCTAAAGGACTGTGCGTTGCATTGTTAGAAGGGGTTTCTACCCTTGATTGTCTTAGCAGCTACTACTTTACTAGATTCCTAAGGTCTCTTATAGGCTTGGTGCTCTAGCCGCTAGAAATAATTAAAGGCATTAAATAGGGTAGGTAGCTGTTTATTAACCTCTATATGCTAGACCTATAAGGCGCTAGCAACCTTAACCTAGCACAATAGCCTCGACGTAATAACAGACGGCTAATTATAATACATATAGCATCTATTGCTTTCTACTATAGGCCTAAGGTTGCTACTAGCTATTATAGCAAGGTATAGTTTAATAAGCTTAGGGGGCTTAGGGTATAGGGGCTAACAAGTGCGGCTAAGTTTCTTAAAGAGGTGTTATAGGAACTATAGAAACTATAGATAATTACGTTTATAACGCACTAGTTTTACTATAGTTTAAACAAGGGTATTTAAAGCCATATAGTAAGCGAAGGCCAGGAGACACTGCAGTTATTAGAAGACTAGCAAGAATAGGTAAAGCTATAGGTATAGAGCAAGAACCCTTTCTTATAGAAGTGTATTAAATCTATGTTATGCAATTTATTATTAAGCTACTAATAGAATATAGAGAGTATAAGTTAGTTATCCCTATCTTCTTATTACAAGAGACTATGCCATAGTCTACTATATTGCGCAGAATGCGACGCAACTTTGCACAAGACCTATACACTAGCTGCATAAAACCTAACTAATTAGCAGGTAGATTGTTCTACTTATAGAACGCAACCTAGTTCTCTATACTCTAGGCTGCTATATAGCATACTAGGGTAAAGGCAATAAGCAAGGACTACTAGATTAGCGCAATTACTATAGCTATGCTCGCCTATTAGATTAAGTGTCTGCTAGGCTTATATTAGTTAAGACTAAGCTACTATAGAGTAACACGACTAGTAGGCTTAGCTCTACCTATAGCTACAATAGCGGCAAGACCTAGCAGCCTTAAGCAGGCAGCAATTAAGGTAGAGCATTAAGCTAAATAGCTATCGCTAAGAAAGAGCGTAATTAACTTTAACTACGCAATACTATTTACTATAATACTATAGCTTGTTAAGGATAGATTCTAGCAGCAAGAAAAGGTATTTAAGATAGGCAATTAGGGTATACTAGAGCACTACTAGACAGCACTATAGTGTCTTATAGAATGCTTAGGCGACTTAGTATACGATGTTATACTAATATTAGTATTAATATTAACGTACCTCACGGGCTAATGGATCACACGGGTCAATGGATCACTTTTGCCAAGACCACACCAAAACACCATCACCATCTAAATGCCCCCCCACCAACCTCAATTAGACGCGTCAAAAGAACGTCAGATACAGCTTGCGCTTCAGGCTATCAAACAAGCCGCGAAAATCTCACAGCGACGCGCTGCAGCTATCTACAACGTGCCCCAAAGTACCCTAAGCCGGCGATGCGCTGGACAGTCCTCACGAGCTGATTCTATGGCCAATCGACGGAATCTGAACAAGTATGAGGAGGAGGCGATTGTTGATTACGTTCTTAACCTCATTGACCGAGGAAGTCCTCCCCGCCTCTCAGATGTGGCTGCAATGGCCAATTTGCTGCGAGAAGAGCGTGGAATGCCCCATGTTGGGCAGAACTGGCCCAAAACGTTCGTCAACCGTCAACCAAGGCTCAGAGTGAGGTTTAGTCGCAAGTATGACTATAAGAGAGCCCTCTGTGAGGATTCAGAGGTTATACAGGCCTGGTTCGACCTAGTAGCCAATACCAAAGCCAAGTATGGTATACTAGACGACGACACGTACAACTTTGACGAGACTGGCTTCATGATGGGCCAGATAACCCCTGGAGCAGTTGTCACAGATGCAGAGAAGCCAGGACGAGCTAAGCAAGTCCAGCCGGGCAACCGAGAGTGGGCAACAGTCATCCAGGGCATCAATGCCACAGGGTGGGCTATTCCAGCCTTCATCATCTTCAAGGCACGCAACCACCTGTCAAGCTGGACTAAGGATCAAACTCTGCCGCCAGACTGGGTTATTGGAGTCTCTGAAAACGGCTGGACTACAAATCAGCTTAGTTCCAACTGGCTAAGGCACTTTGATGCGCATACAAAGAAGCGCACTGTAGGGACCTACCGTCTGCTTATAGTAGACGGCCACGAGAGCCACCTATCACTGGATTTCCACCAATACTGCAAGGCCAACCAGATTATATCTCTATGTATGCCTGCTCACTCATCGCACCTCCTCCAGCCTCTTGATGTGGGTTGTTTTGGCCCTTTGAAGCAGGCGTACGGGCGCCAAGCCGAAGGGCTTATGCGCAACCGGATTAACCACATTACAAAGCATGAGTTCCTGCCATGCTTCAAAGAGGCCTACAATAAAGCTATTACCTCTAGCAACATCCAAGGAGGATTCCGAGGGGCTGGACTGGTCCCTTTTGACCCACAACGGGTCATTTCAACCCTTAATGTGAAGCTGCGGACTCCATCACCCCAACTACCCACCAACAACGAGCTGTGGCAATCCCAAACCCCCAAAAACCTAATTGAATTTGAGTCGCAATCGACTCTAATTCGAGACAAGTATAAGAGGCAGCAGGGCAGCTCACCAAATTCTGTTTATAGCGCGCTTGAGCACTATGCAAAGGGGGGAGCAAAGGTAGCGCACGAGCTGGCTTTGCTTAAGAAAGAGCGCACTGAGCTTCAGGCAGCTCTAGCAGCTGCAACAGAACGCAAATCACATAAAAGAAGGCGGATTCAGCAGGAAGGGACCCTTACAATTGAGGAATCCCAGCGTGTAGCTACCCTAAAGGAGTTCGGCGCTCGTGGTGATGGTAAGAAGCCAAAGAAGAGGGTGCGCGCTGAAGGAGGCGAACCATCCCAACGACGGTGTAGAACGTGCGGAGAGACAGGGCACAACGCGCGAACGTGCAAGAATAATGCAGATGTAGTCTCTGAGTAATAACACAGGTTGTTTTACCTTATACTGGCCCATAGTGGGCGGATGCGGGCCAAAGTAGGGTGTGATGGGGGAGGGTCTTGGCAAAAGTGATCCATTGACCCGTGTGATCCATTAGCCCGTGAGGTACGTTAGTAGTATTATAAAGGAGATGTAAGATAAATTAAGGCAGGAGATAAATAAGTTCTATAAAAGATAAAAGTACAACTAAGTATAATAGAAAGAGAGAAGATAGAAGAGGGGAAAAAAAGGCAAGAAAGGTTGCAAAGCTAGAGTAAAGATATTTAATGCGTTCTTTACTAGCTAAAGGCATAAAGAGTAAATAAATCTAGCTTTACCTAAAAACAAGAAAAAAATAAATATATATATATAGATATTAAAATAATAGTAGAAGAAAGCAGACTAGACAACTATATATATATTTAAGTGCTCTAGAAAGTAGAGGATAGAACTTAGTAAGAAGAGTTTATAAAAATATTATAAGCCTAACCCTAAAGACTAGCCCTAGCCGTACTCAGGTATTGCGTTACGGAATGCCCCCCCATTCCAGATCTAAACTTCTTTTGGGGTAGCGTCTAACGCTCAAACCACCCCACCCAACCCCTACCCAATCCAACCACCTCTCGTCCACCTCCCTTAGTTCATTACTTTGGCCCCGTGTATAGTCATCCAGATATCTTTCTTAGGTTGTCGTTACATAAAGCGTTGCCTTTCGAGACAATTTCTCACAGAGCAGTCAAGCACAACACCACAGGCAACAAGGTCCTTGTTGAGTGGTCACGCAAAGGCTTCACATCATAGCAGACTCCTATACTAGACTCTTCTGATCATTGTTCTGTGCAGCAACCTCCCACCAAGTACGTGAGACCGTGCTTATACCCCTCGGTTGACTGATGAACAAGACGAAGTTGATCAGTGACTAGTGTTCCGCAATGAACAGATATGGCCGTGGACGCTCATGGACCTAGTTTGGCGAGCACATCGACACTCAGGTCAACAGCGTGCACATAGTCCATATCGTTGAAGTCGTGGCTCTTCTCGACGCGGGATACGGTACCGTACCGGTAAAGTGCCCTTGCGCAATGTCTGGTCGTACCGGGACAGATTGAGATCTAATGGAGCTCATTCCAGAGCTAGGAATGAACTAATATGGTGAGTACAAACATTTTTACCTCTCGCTTGAGCTCTTGAGCATTCAAGCCACATTCGCACTCTTTTCATAAAGCTTTATCCTCACCCGAGCGCGACTATTAGCTCCCTACCTACTTTCTGCGATGTTTGCTTCGATCTGGTCATATCTCGGCTGGAAAGAAGAAGTGCCATCATCAAGTCCTCCGTCTGTCACCATCACTGGCGTCAGAATACCAGCCGATGGTGCTCCGGCTCATCTCGTTCAACTTACCACAATAAGCGCCTCTGATGCTACGGATGGCTTCCTCTTCCACGTACCTGACTTACGTCAATATTGGAGGACAGAGCTAGCCTGGCACCAGCGCGATCTACTCAGACTAGATCTCCAGCAAGATCGTTACGCGAGTTTTATCCAGCTATCGCAACATCTCCAGCAAAAGCAGCATCTCAAGGAACTTCTCAATCCTTGGGGACGGCCTGATCGCCAACGAAGACTTCATCTCAACCAACGCTATGTTCTTGATCAACGGTATCATTCCGTACAAGAGCCGTTCTATTCATGTGTGGGCATCTATTACGTTATTTACTCCTTCTGCTCAGATGAGTTACCGCTCAATACATCTGTCCCTGACTGGATTAGAAAAGGCGATGAAAGTTTTTCCTGGCAGTATTATGGCGACGTCTTTTTAGTCAAGATGGCACCACACGAGTACAAAGAGTATGAGTGGGCTAGCTACGCTAATATCTCTCCTAAATTCCTGGACTTACTACTGGAAGGGCCACTAGAGCGCGATACGGCCGCTCTTTAGATTATGCACAGATTCTTTGGGTAGCAAAGAAAAGGAAGAGGCGAACAAGTATGTCCCGCACTTGACACCAAAAAGTCTTCCACGCTTCACCATCATCATCTGCGGAAAGCGCCGCAAGACGCGCTTCTACCCAACGACTGAGAAAGACTGCAATCGATCTGGGAACACGAAACCTGGTAACGTTGTTGACTGTGGAGTGACGGAAGCGCGGAGCTGGGATTTCTTCTTACCAGCACATGCCGTACTTCAAGGGACCGCGCGCGCGTGGCCACTACTACGTTGTGCACGATGAGATCTTCCGGCAAACATACGCCAAGTCTGTACCGCCGCCATTCCAGAATGTTGGTGATGTAGTGGAAAACTTGACCCATAACATGGATTACTTGTTTGAAACAGCAATCAAGGCATGCCGGCCTGACTTGTTAGCGCGCGCGATGTTACTTGTTGAATCTGTTCGACACGCCGACAACAAGTGCAGCGCCCTCTGTAGCTGGAGTCTCCACTATTTTGTCTCGCAGGACCGCCTCACTACAGTGCAGGCACAAGGACTGTAACAGTTGTAGCAGCGCTAGCCAAGGATATTCTACGGTCAATCGTTAGGGAAGACACACTGCAAGTTCTAGTTCTACTGCCAACGGCTGGCGTTATTCGCCAGTGCCATGAGAAGAAGTTTGTACTGTATTTATTTATTTATTTCTTTCGTTCCTACTCGGTTGCAGCCGCGTACTGAGTTTGTACTGTACTATGGGTAATTTCCGAAATACCTTGTGCACGTGTGATCTAACAAATCTCAGCGAATCAATTTTTTCCTCTGCGTAGCCTTACTGTATATATCATAAGCTAGCCAAGACCCTAGGGTTTAGCGCCCACACCAAGTGCACGTTTCTTACCTTTGCTAGTAACTATATTTTCTACTCTTAACTAACGTTACCGTGTCCGTGCACCCAATGCACGGATTCAACCAATGCACGGGGAACGCGATTTGCAGCCCAACTTCAACGCGTAATTACTCAACCACCAATGCCAGGAATTAAAGAAGCGCTTGACGAAATCAGTGCTTTAAAGCCTGATGAAAAACTTTGCTATACTACAATTGCGAGAAATCATGGTGTTGATCGCTCCACGTTGTCGCGCACGCATCGACTCAATCAGGGTCCTCGACGCGTCGCAAACGAGAACCAGCAGAAACTCAACCACCAACAAGAAGTAGACTTAGTTAAGTATATAGAAACATTGACAGCGCGTCACTGTACACCTACTAGGCACATGATACGAAATTTTGCATCCTCTGTTGCCTCAGAGCCCTGCTCGGATAGCTGGGTTACGCGCTTCCTCAACCGTCACTACGACAAACTTACCTACCAATGGAGCACGGGGATGGACTCCAATCGCCACAACGCTGATTCAGTACGAAAGTACGAGCTTTACTTTGAGCTTCTGCAAGCCAAAATCACCAAGTACAAGCTGGAGCCTGAGCACACATATAATATGGATGAGAAGGGGTTCGCAATTGGGGTGCTAGGGCGTACCAAACGGGTGTTTAGTAGGCGTCAATATGAGAAGAAGGAGGTTAGGCAGGCTCTTCAAGATGGCTCACGTGAGTGGGTGAGCCTTCTGGCTTGCATCTGCGCCGACGGTACTGCTCTTCCTCCTGGCATCGTCTTGGGGTCAAAAAACTCCACCATACAAAGCAGCTGGGTGGCGGATATTGAGGCAGGAAAGCACTTAGTTCACGTCGCCTCTTCGCCGTCGGGATGGACGAATAATGACATAGGATTGGCCTGGCTTGAGCAGGTTTTTGACCGTTATACAAAGGCAAAGGCACGGTTAAAGTACCGCCTCTTGATTGTAGATGGCCACGGCAGTCACCCGACTCAGGATTTCCTCGAATACTGTCACCAGAAACGGATTATACTTGCAGTTTTACCCCCTCACAGTACCCAGACGCTGCAGCCCCTAGATGTAGTCTGCTTCAAACCTCTCGCTTCCAACTACTCCTACGAACTTGATAACCACCTCCAGGCATCCCAAGGCCTCTCCCCACTATCAAAAGCCGACTTTTTCAGACTTTTCTGGCCTGCCTGGGTGGCTACGTTCCAGGAAGATCTCATACTCAAGGCCTTCACAGCCACCGGCATATCCCCAGTTAACGCCGACGTTATCCTTGATAGATTCCGCCACGCAACCCCTGACGACTTAGGATCAGTCTCCTCTGGTTCTACAGCTTATTCTGCAGAAGACTGGCTCAAAGCTTGCACCACGCTTCAAGCAGAAGTCAAGGATCACCGCAGTGTAGGTGCGCGGAAGCTGGGTCAAACTATCCATCACCTATCAACCCAAGTTGAGTTACTTCAGGTTGAAATTGATGGCCTGCGGAAGGAGCTATACCGAAAGCGGAAGCGTCAGAAGCAACCCAACAGGCAATTGGACCTGCAACAGCATCAGGAGTATCATGGAGGTGCAATGATGTGGTCTCCTCGTGCCTTCCGGGAGGCGCGAGCTCGCATGGAAGTACAAGAACGAGAGAGGCAAGAAGAGGAGCTAAAAAAGGTAGAGATAAAGGAGTTAGCAGCCGCTAATAAGCTATATAAGGAGAAGATTGCAGCAGAAAAGCGTGATCAACGGGAGAAGGAGAAGGCAGCGAGAGACCAGGCGCGGGCGGAGGAGCGAGCAGCTATAGAGGAACGCAAGGCTGAAAGAAAGCGCCAGAAGCAAGCTCGCGACGCTGAAAAAGCTCTACAATTATCCCAAAGAGGCAATCGCAAGACTTCAAAAGCTTCTACAGTCAAACAGAAGCCTGCGCGTCGTGCTGTGGGTGCTCGTAGTCATCCCAAGCCTGCGACGCCTCCTCCACCACGCGCTACTGTCACCACCCGCAGTGGCCGCACCGCCACAAAATATAAGTAGATTTGTATAAGAAAGTTTGTCGCATAGGTCTATAGAACACTCCGTCAAGATATCTCACAATAATAACTATTGTGTGTGGCTGTACAGCCTCATTTTTGTTGTTGCAGTGTAGGCTCGGAGCGTGCATTGGTTGAATCCGTGCATTGGGTGCACGGACACGGTAACTAGCGTGCACGGCCTCGTAGTGCACACCGGCGCGTGATGCACACCCCACCAACATTGACGCCTACCTTGCACCCCCCCATAACTCAACACCACCATGCCGTTAGAAGAAGCCCTTGCAGAGCTAGATACTTTAGGACCTGACGATCACTTCTCATACCAGGCTATTGCCAATGTTGCCGCTCAACTTTGACGCGCCGCCACCGCGGCGTATGCGCGTCGCGTGAAGACAAGGCAAATGACCAGCTAGTTCTCCACCCACGCGATGAGGTAGAGCTTGTACAGTACGTCAGATCACTTACAAAGAGACACCTTATGCCTACAAGGAAGCTTCTTGTGAGAATGATCACGCCTCTGTGCAGGTGGCCGCCAAGCGATCGATGGATTTCTCGCTTCCTTCATCGTTACCCCGATGAGCTCCTCACCGCCTGGTCAGCGCCTATGGAGAAGCAGCGTCACGACGCTGCTTCATACAATTCCTTTCGCCTGTATTTTGATCTCCTGCACAGTACAATAAAGCAGCATGCGATAGAGGTAGAGAATACATACAATATGGATGAGAAGGGCTTCATGATTGGAGTGATAGGAAAGAGCGTTAGAATCTTTGATAAGCAGCTGTATGGACAGCGGAGATTCAAGCTAGCATCTCATGATGGCAACAGGAAGTGGGTGACAGTGGTAGGAGCAATAGGAGCTGATGGTTTTGCATTGCCGCCTGCAGTCATTTATCCTTCATCTTCCCTCACTGTACAACACAGCTGGTTGAAGGAACACGAAGCCAAGAAAGACTGTGTACACTTTGGTACCTCACTAAATGGCTGGACGAACGATGCTCTTGGTCTTGCCTGGCTTGAACAGGTGTTTGATCGCTATACTAGAGTCAGAGCGCGAGGGAAGTACAGATTCTTGATCCTTGATGGTCACGGCAGCCACGTTACCAAGGCTTTTATTGAGTACGCTTATGCCAACAAGATTCTGCTACTTTTATTCCCTCCGCATGCTGCTCACGCGCTTCAGCCGTTTGATGTAGCGTGCTACAGGTCACTGGCGCATCACTACTGTGAAAAGCTCCTTCATCGCGGCCACATCACTGAGGGGTGGACGCCTGTAGGTCAGGGTGACTTCTTCCCACTCTTCTGGGCAGCGTGGAAGAAGACCTTTACTGAAGACCTCATTAAACAGGCCTTTGAGTGCACTGGAATCCACCCACCTGATGCCGACGTTGTGCTCAAGAAGTTCAAAGAACCAACACCAAAGACGCCCAGCACATCCCCAGAGCCTGCAGGGCTTCAGCCTGCACTAAACCCACCTAGTTGGCGCAAGACGCAGCGGCTGCTTAAGCGTGCAAGAGAAGAGGATAAGTCTAGTGCTGAAGAGGCAGTTAGGCAGCAGTTTCGAGACAAAGGCACAAATATATGTATACCCCGCCATTCAGGCAAAAATGCTTAGAAGCCATATTTAGCAGTTCTTAAATAGAGGCACCTAAAAGTGTATTTGGACAGATCTTATAGACACATAGACGTAAAGAACAGTAACTTCTAGGCAGAAACACATATATCTACAATGGGTTTTTCAAATAAGAATACGTGCATTTATGCAGGATTCCTTGACAGAACAAACATGCCGCAACCCTATCATCAATGGGCAAAGGAATCGTTGGGTATAGCCATCAGTCCCCCGAGAAACCCTACTCAGGTATGGCGACACGGAACACCCCTTAGGTAGTACCGTAGCGTCTGACCACGGCGGCTTACGCCGACTTATCCAATCATCTGACCGGCACGGCCCTTACCCTCAATCTGCCCATTTTCTTTTGTATCATGTCTATACCAATCTCTCTTACACAATCATCAAGTGTAGGATCGTCTTGCATTAACTGTTGTGCAAGTCTTAATGAGGACCGCTTTGGTCTTTTTGTTTCCAAACCTGCAAGCGCACAATATACTTGTTCGAGTCTCCCAGCCACCTTGTCGACTGCACCATCGTATTTGCGAAATATACTGCTGCGAATCGCGCTTGGACTCAAGCAGCTGTCGAAGACGTCATGTCTTTCGTCAAGTTCGGGCAGTATGTCATCCAATAGCTTCTTGTCAAACAAATCTTGAAGGCTCACTCGAACCTTGATTTGCTCCTTCGAAATCCTCGAAACGAACAAATGTTCGGAATCATAAAGCCTCAAGTTTCTCGGTTCGGTTAGTCGGTTATAAGCCTCCTTGCTCAAGCGTAAAGACGTAGGTTTCGCGAGCGCTCTCTCCTTGAGAGCTTTTGCAGAGTAGCTGCCTGAACTCTTTATAGTAGAGATGAAGATCGTGGATGCATCTCGTGTGTCAAAGCTTTGGTATTTCCATTCATAATAAGCGACTTTGATGGCTCGAACCGGGTCGTGCGTCACAGATATCAAGGTAGTGTCCTTCTTGCTTGTTTTGTCGGAATGGAACTCCGCAAAATGTAGTGCGATTTCGTCTTCTGTCTCGACTAGCCAATCGGGGTTTCCGGCGACAATGTCACCACTCTCGTCTTCTTTTGCTCTTGAGTTTGAGTGCCAAGTTCGGTATAAGAAACGCAATGGTTGCTGAGATAAATTTGTGGGCTCCGGTACACTGGGAGGGCTAGTAGACAGTTTCTTGACTGTTTCAGTCAGATTGGCGATAATACCTGTCTGAACTTGTAAAAGGTTCATCAGTGTATCATTCTTCGTCTTCTCGGCTAACAGAGCATCTGTTGGCGCATTGTTTTCTGGACGCTCAACAGGATCGCCACCATGGATAGCCATTCGAGCCGGTTACAGAACCGATGTTTCAAATTTGACAATGTACTGAACTCAAAACCATCCGGGCTTTTGCATTATATATTTTCGTAGAAAGCGAGCGCTAGCGGTTTACAGGGCTAACGGTGATGCTTGTCGCAAACGGAACTTCTCCTTTGTTGTGCTTAGCCGCATACAGTTGACCTTATGGCCGGATGAGAACAAAACTGCCGCGTTTGGACTACTTCACACTCTACGTATAAGCAGTTGTGACTTTCGCTCTAATTCTCACCCTGCTCTGTACGTTGATGATGATGAGTGGGGTAGGCTCACCAGATATGCGTAGCCTCCTACAATGGTCGTATTCGACTATGCACCCAATCTCTGACGGCCCCTTTCAAGACAGGATCGAACTTTCATCGGTTGCGCAGGCTCATCTGGAAGCTCAATGTACGCTGTGCATTGCAGGACCTTGTGCCCCGCCACCCCCGGCTGCCAGCTTTGTCCAACGTGCAGCACGACACGCACCCGGCCCGCAGCTCGCTGAAAAGCCCCTCCTCCACATGCTCCCACTCCGCGCTTGCATTGCTCTTCTCGTCCTTCCACCTCTGAGCCTACCTCCAAGCGACACTCACGTTTAGGGCCCGACTCGTGTTTTTCCCGCGGTTCGGCCTGTTATCGTTTCCACTTTGGGCCTTAGTTCGGTTCCTTCCCCTTTTACTGCCCGTTTGGGCTTAGCTTAACCCCTAAGCAGAACTGCTAGACATGCTTAGGAACTCTGCCTGCAGCGGCAATACTGCCTTCTGCCTATCTTCGCATGTATCTGCAAGTCTTTGAGCGGAAGGCTACATCTCTAGAGCTACATGACCATATTCAACCCTCGCTGGATTTTCTCGACAGCTGATTTGCTCGCTTGTTTCACCTCGGCTGTGCTCGCGCTAATACCTTGCCTCACCAAAGTCTACGCTGCGATCGCAGGCCTACGAATCCTGCCTCGCGTATAATACAGCACCAGCTGGCTGGCGTGATTTGTCCCCCGCTCTTGAGATTTGTCCCCCCTTTGAGATTTGTCCCCCGCGCTAGCTATATCGTTACTAGCGTCAGAACATAACCTTGTGCACATCTTAGTGGTGTTCTGAACGCATTGCGGGATGGGAGAGTAGGTACGGAATGGAGAAGAAAGACGAACGATATGTTTTCGGCACAAGTGATAGCAGGATTCGGGCCAACTGTGTATTCCATTGCGGATTGTATAATACCACAATCGCTGGATGCTTCGAGTGGTTGATCCAAGGATATCGCGTAGGTCTATATCTCTGTTTGACACGAGTCTACGTGTCAATGCAGCGGACTTGCGCGCGTAGCGGTGTATGAACGTATCAAAGAACGCTATTACGCACGGTTGGTAACACAGCAGCTGTCGCAATCTCCGTGCATGAGGCTGTGCTAACCAAGGACGCATACCTTCTCCAGGCTTCAGCATAGCTCCTTTCAATGTCGCAAAAAAGTCCAGTGTTAATACTGCCAGAAGCCATTAAAAGTAAAGTGAAGCTATTTTTCACCACGTCAAAGGACCTTGGTGTTGCGATGTTGTTGACGCGTTCGAAGAAGCACTCCGCCCCAGCAGCCACGCACGAGCTGCCTACTACACCTGCAGACAATACCAAGCATATAGAAACTCAATAGTTCAAAGGTGTTGCCAATCCTCTCTCGAAGAGGTAGGGGGAGCTCCTAAAATTACGCGCATATAAATTAGAATTAAAGGCGCGAATGGCGTGTCGTGAGCCTGGCGAGTTACCACAAGCCGGCCAACTTGCGGCTGCTGTACAAGCTGAGAACATGCTTGGTAGAGTAGGTGAACACGGCGGTGAGACGACGATAATAACAATCAAGTACTTATTCAGAGCTTACAGGACAATGACGTTAGCTGCGTACGTGTGTCTATACGCTGGAGCTTATCCTCTTAGTCGCACAAGCATCTGAGTAGATCAACGACAAAATCGCCCCCATTCGAGAGAAGACTACTAAACGTTGGCTCTTTCATCAGGTGCACGGACACGGTATTGAACATCTCCTAGCAACTGGCTCATGGAAACAATTGCAATCTGGTGACTAGATAAGCTGCTCACCGCAGAAATCATATGACCAAACAAGATCTTGCAGATAATACTGTACCCCTTCTCACCGTCAAGAGTGGTCGTATAAGCGTGAACCGCGGCCTGAGCAAACTCAGGATCGTCCCAAATTTGATACACGCCCGCTGAAACTTCTCTTTACTAAGAGCTTTCAGCCTAACGATACCCTACTTGTCTACCATCTCATACAACTGGGCATAAGATCTCAGTTCTCCTATCGACAGAGCATGGAGCCTCCCAAAAACAACTCTCAACCATCCATCGCGAACACAGGGGGAGCACATCCTTACAGACCTTAAGGCGATCTTGCTTCCGCAGAGGACTTCCCCACTATTGACGAGGAGGATTCTGTTAGGGAGTTTCCTCCAGGTGTAAAGATTTTATCAGCGCAAGAGCCCCACTCCGATGGAAAGCGTTCCCGATTGTATCCGTCAGACCTTTAACAAACAGTATGCCTTGTTCCTGCAAGCTCTGCTATGAAATCTTTTGGACTTGAAATAATATGTGCTAATCTTGGAGAGCGCAAATAATCAGCAGTGTTGGCCATCGGTGGAAAAATTCAAGGTGAGGAGCTTGGACCTTGCATTTCCATCGAAAGCTTCGAAAAAGTCAATGGTTTGCTGCTCGAAGGTTTTTTTTGTTGGCCTGGCAGGAAGTGGTGAGCAGTCTAGATGAGCTAAGTGGACGAGAGGGGATCAGTCGTCGCGCGCAAATCGCAGTGTGGAGAGCAAGTGTATCGTAGGGGACACTTACAGCTTCTATGGGGTGACTTTGGAGCAGGAAGGATATGCCAGCTGAATGACGGCGACTTGCTCTCGTCCTTGAACCTGTTTTAGAAATTTAAACCTGTCCAATGAGTCGTTCTCAAACAAGTTCGCCAGCCAACATTGAATCGTTACGCCTCAGTCGACATCACATTTCAACATATAGCATATTGTTCAGACGATCACTTGTCCCACACCATCGTACTTCGACTGTATGCAGCTACCATTCAAGATCCAAGCTCTAAAACATGGCTATGGAATCCATCGCATAGCGTACAAGAAAAGGCTGGGTACAGTTTGACTTTGGCCATATGACTCACTTTTCCGCCAGTTCCTTTCCGGCAATTTGGACAAATCCTCCCGTCACTTTCGTTCATAGAAGCCACGTTCGGGCAGTTTTGCGATCCAGAATGGCTATAACGACAATGATCACAGGTAAAGTGATATTCGCCTACATCCTTCACCATGGTTCCATATCGCCTGCCCAGAAGGAGATCCGTCGCGAGGTCTGCGTTTGAACGAAGAAGATCTACCACAGTTTTATTCTGTAAGGTCGACTTCAACAAATAGCAACGACTCGCAACTGCAGTAACAACAGCATTACGTATCTCTCTATGAGCCGGTGCTTCAGTCGTCGTAAAGTCGTATATGAAAGCAGCAGTCGCACGCCACTCGTCGCTTTCGACCGCTTCTACGGACCTTTCAAATGATTCTTTTGCAAGCCTATACAGAGACGCGCAGTCGTATTTGTCCGCTAGTATGGCGACTTGGGCATGGAGGAGGGCTTCGGATGTGTCGTGTTTCGATGCATTGTAGCCTGCCTCGTAGAAGTACGTTATCATGCAGTCGACTGCGTCAGCGTACTCAGGCTCATCTTGCAGGGTGATCACTCCGCTCTTTGTTTCCTGTAAACCTTATTAGGTCGCTCATTTCAATGCTGTCCTAGGTTCTTACCTCAAGCCCTCCAGTAAGAGCCTTTCGAAACCACTTTGAGTGGCAAATTGTGAGAGCTTTGTGGATCTACCAGGTCTTGCCCCCAAAGTTCAGGGTGAGATCTGATAGCTTGCCAGACAGTAGGTACGAGAGATCGCAGATGTAGTTTTGAAGATTCATGGTTGCATTGAACTAAGTGTGATTATTACTTTTCCAGTTTGCAGCAAGTCGTTAAATTGGTAAGATGGCAGTTGATATGGCTTGTGACCCGCTACATTCCACCGTCCAGAGCACAAGGCTGGTGCGCTGCAGTAATGAATGCATCGAAACGTTCACCGACAACTATTCGGCACAACTCTTGCCTAATCATTTACGTAAGAGAACGAAGAAGCTCGAGTTTGGGGAATGCGCTAACGCTGAAGCCCACGGTTTTGTTAGAGGCAACCTCCAGACCTCCCTATTGCGTCGAGGGGTTGGTGCCACATTGCAGACTCATCGGTGTACGATGTAACGCATGCAGTGCATCTCGCTGATGAGTTTGTTCGGTAGAATTATCAAATCATCATCCATTTTGCAGAGGGAAGAATTCCTTTCTTCACCGATGTGAGCATCCAAAGTGATATCCTGGGTTCAGATCGTTTGCCAGAATGCTGGGAAGGGCTTTGACACTATGAAGGCCGATCCGGAGGTGCATTGCCCCAAGCCCATGATGATCTAGAATCCTACGTTTTCGTCAATGTAGTCTTCCTTGAGTCGCGAGAGGAAAGATACCATACTGCGAAAGCCTGGTTTCCGCTTGCGGAACAAAATCCAAAGTCACTGACTAAAGGAATGACGACAAATCACCCTCAACAAAGGATGTGGGAATGCAAACAGATACCGAAATCCGCAGCTGAGCAACCTGTTGCGTTAATTGAACCACGCTCCTAAAAAATCACTTTCGTGACCTTGTTCTTAGGCAACTTCTGCTATGGCAAAGAAAACCAAACAGAGAAAGCAGGCCCGACAGGATGCAGAGAGGACATCCATGATTAACCAAGATTCAAACTCTGAGGGCCAGCCACAACGGCCGCTTACTTCGTAAGATGCTCTGTCTGGTTGTATCAAAGGTTGCTAGCTGATAACCACCGTTAGTCCTTATGCAGAAGTTCCGGTCGAGCTAATTGTTGGCCCTGAAAAAATAGTGTACTACGTTTCCAGGTACGCAGTGCCTTCTGCTTGGAGCAAGGCCAGCCCTGAAAACCGATACTATCTCCCAGATGTAGACCGAGAAACTGGTCATACCCTCGTCCACTATCTTTACAAGGGAGCCTACGAGACGCTCGAGGTCATAGCGAATGCTTCACTGTCTGGAGCATGCGCTGAATTTGCACAAGCCCTTCTCGTGTACATGATGTCGAGCAAATACAGCGGCCTGAAAGAGCTCCAACGCCTGGCGATACTCAAGATGGAAGACATCGGACAAAGACTGGACATTTGTGAGGTTCTTGGGGCGATCAAGAGTCAATTTACGAAACTTCAGTCGGACAGCTGGGTTCATGATTATGTGTTCAAGAAGGCCAAAACTGCGTTCGCGGAGGATCGCACTGTCTTCAAGAGCAATAATCTTGCTGAAAGCACGGATAATGCATACGAAGGGTTCTTAATGAGGTGCATCATAGATTCGTACGATGAGAGAATTTTTCACATGGCTGAGACGGAGAGAGTGCTGTTAGAAAAGTTGGATAATCACGCACTTGCGTCCCCTGACAAATTGGTCAAGAACACTCTCTCTGAAGAGAAAGCAGAGGGGCTGGAAGATTTCATCCTACCTGATGTGGATGACGTGGACGTGAAAGAGTCGCGTGATCAAGATGAGCATGAGCAGTATAGCATCTCGACCGGGGACTTCAGTACGATTGAATGCTCGTCCTCGGATTCCGCAGCGAGTGCCTCCACAGAGAGTGTCTCTATTGAAGAAGCCATCGTCGAAGAAGCCATCGTCGAAGAACGTCACATTCGGCAGCCTTGCCCGCGCCAAGCCGCCCACATGCTCGAAGAGAAAAGATGGAAGAATTGCAAGTCGTGTCGGGCCGTATTACACAAGGTAGCCATTCGACTGGCTCAGGCCTCTTGATTTCCGAGGATCGAGCAATCATTCATCGCAAAGTGTTCGAGAGATAGACTCATCTTGCTATATGGAACGGATGGGACGGTTGAGCAGAGGGCACCCCTTTAGCTGGTGGGTTTCGGTAACCGGCGCCGTAAACATATTATCACCGCCGTTTCTTCCATTTTATTGCGCTAAATCCACGGTATAAAGTATCGCGTGTTCAATTGCACGGTACGTGCCTCACAAGACATAGCCTCTTCGCGCACAAGCCAGAACCAATCCGGACAAATGACAGGAACTCGTGTCAGGCGTTCTTGATGTAATTGCATCCTATATGCTCCTGATGAGAACATTTTTGCGGCAATAATGGCTCGCTCACGCACCCAAGAAGCCTCGGATATCTTTGCTTTCTAACGCCAAAAATCAAATCACATTGGTAGAGGAGTGCACAAGTGAGTACTTCAAGCTTTTGCAGCGGTAAGCGTAAAGTACTTACGAGCTAGCGACGTCGAGTTTTAATCACCATAGCAAAAGGGCCACCGCTCCTTCCCAACGCGATCCTGGTTCGCGGCTCTGCCTCCCCCTTGCGCTGCTTCAAGATCTTCTGTCGTGTCCCCTAGAACACAATACTGGTGCTGTTTGCTCCCTGTTGGTGACGCATGCATACGGCAATGCGATAGGCGGACAAATGTTCAGATGTGGCTTGAAGTTAATATTGTACACTACATAGAAAAGAGCAGCTCTTAAATAGTAGATTACAAGTTACAATGTTGATCTACGCTGTAGCTACTAGACGACCTAGCCAATTCAGAAGATTAATGAATATTAATCTTTGGGCCCTGGAGGGCCATTGGCTCCCTTGCTAAATGATCCGCCCCTCTTTCCGATAAGCCCTTCCTCCTCAATGAAGGTTTTAGCTTCTGGCGGTAGGTGCTGCAATAGATTCTTACACTGCGAGTCCTGGTCGTTCATTACAAAGAGAAAGTCGTCGCTGGCCTTGCAAATCCCAGCGAAAGCTCTGACCACGCGCTCCTGTTCCTCATTCGTGACCTCCATAGCGCTGGGCCAGATGCTCTGTGGACGCGGCATGAGATACGCAAGCATGTCGCTGTAGCAACCCTCCTCTAGGTACTGGACTCATCGATGACCAGGGGGACTGTGGTCTCGCCAAAATTTCGCTTTTGGAAGCGAAAAGTCCCGATAGGTGCGACGAAGATGCGCCGCTCCTTGAAGGCACCGCCATACGCGGCGGTCAGTTCAATCTTTTTCTCACCATTTGTTGTTCTGTCGGGCCCGATTTGGATGCTGATTGTATAGGGTAGGGTCATGTCAGTCTTGCAGACGGACTCAAAGTCGAGCGTGAAGCCGTGCGAGTTGCCTGAGGGCGAGAACAGCTCGAACAGCGGCTTCCATAACCACCACAACAGTGGGGGCCGTACCTGTGAGGCTGATGGGGTCACCGAAAGCTTGTTCAAGTCGACAAGCGAAATCATCGGTATATTCCAGGCTCGATAAATGGAGCTTCTTGTGGTCCGGGAACAGCGCCGTCATGATATGAGGGGAACAGAGAATCGTGGCCATCTTGGGACCGAATCGCCCAACGACCTGCGCCACGTCTTCGACAGACTTTTGGATCTCGACGAGCAGGACGGAAGGCTCTGGCAAGGGTGTCAGTCCGGGGTGCTGTTGTAAAACTACGTTGCTGACCGAACAGTTCGTGTTCGTGGCGTATAATGTAGCTGTCGATGTGGTCGTAGGAGTAGCTATGCCCTCATTGCTGCTGGTGGTGCTATCATCTCCGTAGCCGTTACTGTCGTCCACGTCGTCCAAATTCGTATTGGTGTTCCCAACGTCTGTACGCTTGTCCAAGTACCAGAAGGGATCGAACATACTAGGTAAGGGACCGTGGAAAACCGGTAAAAGTTACAATCTGTATAGATAACGCTAGATAGAACGGCACTTTATGGGAATGTCACCAACAATTTTCACAAAAGCTGCGAAAGCGCCAGAGTGTAAAGAGCGGAATACCAAGCGAACGTTGTATATGTCGGTATGTTCTGTGGCGGGAGAGAACGGTAGCTGAGTCGTTAATGTCTGATGATTATGCGGAAGCAGCCAGGAACAAATTGCCTGTCGTAGCTCAATTGGTAAGTCTTCCATACTCTGGTCTCCGTTGGAAGTGACAATGGACGCGTGACGGTCATTGTTTTGGTCGCAAATGATTTTCGCGAAACTCTGCAAAAGCCGTATGGATCTAAGTCACGGGGTGCGGCCGGTGTTTTGCAAATGATAATAGTGCTCTTGGATAGGGCGTTAACCTCTCGGCATTCAGCATATCCATACTCCAACTTCACATTCTTCTAACGAACGAGACGTATCTCGTTGACATTCATACGCTCGGGGAAGAGGCCTTAAGCAATCTATCCAGATTGGCCTGGAGAATCGAATAATAGTCAGTAGTTGCATCTCTTCAAATAAGATGCTCCAGATTGGTCCAGGATCGTAATACTGATACGCATCGACAGCAAGCACCGCAAGAAACATGATCGACGGTTCAATCGCACAGTCGATTCATGTAGCCAAGCTTTCCAGTATAAGAAGGATCTTACGCGTCATCGACGAGTTCGCCACCCAGATTCTGTTGCCGGTACTGTTCTGTGGTTCTGCTCTCATCAGGGCTGCAAGTATTGATGTGCACAATGCCAGAGATCAAAAGGAGTAACATTCGGATGCGGTACGGAGGTCGAGGGCAAGCCTATACATTGCCAGATGAATAGATTAAGCACCGGGTAGTGGAACAATCGATCATTGTCCCCCCAACCCGCACTTTTTGACAAACGTACAACTGTGCATGAATGAATGGCTAAGTTGACAGGATCAATGCTGCACAGCAGTATAATTTCTACGGGAATCTCGGGAACGCGCACATTGTTCATACGATAATCCAGAAACCCAACGATTGAAGACGTGCGCCGTATCATACAAGACTTTGGTAGCCAATCGCACCGCATTGTCTTCCAAGATGGAAGCCCCTGCAACTGGTGTTCCAACCAGAGACTTAATTGCAACACAGCTTATTGACGAAACCGCTAAGCCTCCCCCGGGTGGTGCGCATCTCACATGAAGCGCGTTGGTGTCTTCTTGAGTGACGATGAACACGCCTCTGCGGGGTGATACCATCCTCACAATGCATCATTTGGATGTAGCGATTCTGTGAAGTGCTGGCGGAGTCGGAGAGCAGTGCGTTTGTTGAGCAAAAGTTATGGGTACACGGACTTGGGTATGCATTGTGTGCTCAGAAACGTGGTGAGAGTTAATTGGCTCCTGTAAGTGGGGTATTCCCGATACCGTAGAGACGCACGTCGTGTCCTGACACCGGAAACACTAGCGTCAGTCACCGCACCAGTCGTGAGGTCAATACCATTCATTTTCTTGCTTGCTTCGACCAAGCACTCATATAGACATTCAGTTCAAACCTGCGATTCTGGTCAACAAAGCCAGTAGGACGCGAATACTCTACTAAGCATGGACGGCGACCCAATGTACACTCTAGAAGACGTTCCAGGAAAGGGCAAAGGACTTGTTGCAAGAAAGCTCATTCCCAAAGGCACCCGCATTCTCGAGGAACGACCGATTGTCAAGACACCTAAACGCAAGAAGAGCGACGAGTGGCTGAACGCAAATGTAGCCCAGCAAGTTGATTCGCTGGATGAGTACCAACGATAATCTTTTGTCGCCTTACACAACCTTTATCCATACAAGAACACCACTGAGATGTATCTTGGTATTATTCGAACAAACGGCCTTCCGGTTGAGGCCGAAGGGACCGGAGGGGCAATTTTCCTCGAAGCCTGTCGCATCAATCACGCCTGCGATAACAATGCACAGAAACACTGGAACAAGCGCATCGAACGGCACACTGTCCACGCTCTGAGGGATATTTCCAAGGGTGAAGAGATCACGATATACTACCTGGGTCATGACAGCAGTCGCAAGGTTCGTCGCCAGACACTTCAAGAAAAATTTGGATTCCTCTGTTCATGCCATCTATGCTCCCTAGATTCGGCAGAGAGCCAGAAGAGCGATCAACGTTTGGCTAGAATTGATCAACTGGACGACCTCATTGGCGCGAAATGCATTTCAGGAAACTTTTCACAACAAGCTCTTCGCTATGTCGATGAACGGGTTCGGCTTTACGATCAGCAAGGACAAAGTAACTCTAGTCTGCCAAGAGCATACCTAGATGCCGCTCAGATCGCCATTGCCAACGGCGATCTCGCCAGAGGAAGCGTGTTTGCAAGGAGGGCAGTGGAAGGATGGCGAACAGCTCAGGGAAGCGATAGTGATGAGGTGGTTGAGTACGCACCATTGATACAAGATCCCGCCAAGCTGCCGCTATATGGTATATCGATGAGATGGAAGACGTCATTGGAAGAAGTCCCTTCGGAACTTGACTCGAACGACTTCGAAGACTGGCTTTGGAAAAGGGAACAGCCAAAGAAGACACACCAGTCAGGACAGTTGACAAGTCTTCGCTGCCGTGATGTCTTTCCTGGCTTCGCTGCTCTTCCATACAGCTTGGATTCGCCAGGTTTCCATCGAGGTTCTCAGGAGATTTACCAATCTTCACGTCATTGGTGCTTTCTAGGAGAAATCACTGATTCGATCACGCTCCATCATCTCGAGCTGGAACTCACAGATGCCGACGACAAAAAGATACCTTTGCACTTCAACACTGATGGTCGAGGTAGTGAATTCAGTATTGCGCAGCTTCGGAAAGGATATACAGTCGCAATTCTGTATGCAGAACGCCACACATTTATACACGGAGATCCTGGTATCAAACTCATAGATCCAAAGATGCTGAAGGTACGCAAGACCCACCCGCTATTCAATTCACTTTCTGATGCACTGACGCGGTTGAACACTACGAAGATTTTCCCAGTATCGTTGAACAAGTTGCTGGACCTGAGCGACCGGATTCAGCAATTCTCAGGCGACGTGGACAGGATCAGAACATGCCACGGGTGTAGCAAGAAGACCGCGTTGTCGAACCGATGTGGGAGATGCTCTCTCTTCTGGTACTGTGACGATGTAAGGCCACCATTTCCCCACGGTTTTTATGAAAGTCTAACGTTCTCTTGCAAGGCCTGTCAACGGACTGGTTGGGTTGAGAAAGGGCATAAAACCGATTGCAAAATGCTGAAAGATTCTGATTTACGTGGGTTGTTTACCCTGGAATGGGACAAGCTGGACACCCGTACGCACTTTCCTCTTGATGTCACGACAACTGCCTAGCATTGGGTGACCAATGACGTAGGCGCGGAAGACCTTGGACGGTGTTTCAGCGCGAATGCGGCGACTAAGCATCATATTGGAGCATGACATTCGGATTGACGGCCATGCATCAAGAACAACGCGACGAAAGATGTTGCGGTGCAAGTCGGCCCTACAGGCCTCAATCGTCACTCCTGTGACTATCCTGGACTAGCACGTCTCAGAGCATGTATATATTGACGCTCCCTAGCTAGCAAGTAACGCAAGCGCAGTTTCCATCATTTTCAGCGGCTGCTTCTGCCGCCACAAAAGAAAACACAAAAAGGACAAGCAGGTTCTGTAGACTAAACGCTATTAGGTCTAGGATGAATGCGCTGGGAAAGTATGGACACGTAGTGATGAGAAGGTTCTGCTGATTTTGGGAGGTTGGCTTGAGCGGCGATCGCAGTTGGTCTCGTCCCGGTTTTGTAAAAGAGATGCACGTATTTCTTGAGCTCGATTCTAGGTTCAGTAATCTCTGCAAAATCTTCTCACCAAACAGTGTTTGTACTTTATGATTCGCTCAACGCCCTGACTTTCTATGCACCTGGGGTTCTTTCATGCCAGTCGAAACATGTCCGCGTTCCACCCATACGCTCTTCCCAGCCGCCTTCCGTACCTCCTTGCCCACAGGTACGGGATCTTGTTGTTAGGGTGAGGCTCGTGAAATTGTATGCTTCTTTCAATACCAATATCCGGAGTCTGGGGGGTGAAGTTCCATGCTGAGCCGTGCAGCTTCTGAGCAGAGAAGCCTACAGACACCATCGAGTAAAGGAAGTCAGCCCAAGGAATTTCTCCGGGCGTATCTGGGCTGTTGGGCGAGTGAAACAATGTTCGAAAAACCTTATGGGCGCGCTTATCGACGCCAAAAAACGCCGCGATCTCCTCGGATTCATGCTGGATGCCAGGATGCGTTTCGTCATCCGAAGTTGCGCTACCACGGGTTTTTGTCTTTGGCGCCTTATAGAAAAGGGATGCGCGGTCAAATGTTCCAGTGACTTGTTTTGTGGGGTCGTGAAACACGGTTGAGAAAGGCTGATACACGTACTGGTCCTCACCGAGGGGCGATATGGTCTTCTCAGGCTCGATCCACTCGGGAGTTCTCTGAATTGCTCGATCACTACGCAGCAAATGAGCTACCAGGTCTTGCTGTGACTTTCCAATCGCCTTCGACTTATAGTGGTGATCGACCGCTTTCCAGAATGAATCAAGGTTTGCTTCAGCCTTACGCAAGATTTCGACGTTCTGCCTGTTGCGTCGTCGTTGGACTGGGTAGTTGAACTTTCCGTCACTTGGGTCGGCACATCGATAGACCTGGGATCCTTCGAACTTGACTCCCAAGACTGGAACCCAGTCTTTGAAAGACTCCTTATAGATGTTTCGTATTGTGCTGTCATTGACTTCCATGTCGTCTTCGATCTTTCGTGACCAGGGCTTGAAAAGATGCAGCTGATGCAAGCACTCAGAGACGACAGTCAGAGACGAAAGCCGTCTGGCAATCCAAGGCGATATGACAGCATTGACACCGCTATCGCTTTGCATCAGACGTCCTATCTCATCTATCACTGTGTGTAACCCATACAGACGAAGCTGTTCCTCATCGAAGAGAATGTTGAAGAAGGGCATGATGCGCTTGACAGCATGGTTTTGGTGCGGTGGCTGATAAATTGCTCGGATTACGGATGTTCGCGGATCTTGAGGTTCGCGAGAACAGAACTGTCGAAATGGCGGTGATGGAAAGAGGCCAACTCGCAAAGTCTGAATGAGGTTGACTTTTGCAGCGTCCAGGAGGAAACGAAGGTTCTGGAAGGCCATGGACAAATCTGAAGGTAGACTGACTCCGGGCTTGACCCGATCATGGTATCTCGCATGCAGTAACGTCAGGTTATTGACCTGTCGAACGATCTCATCGAACGTAGCAAACCCGAAGTGCGACTCAACTAGGACGTTGCCAACAACACGGTTCCAGAACAATGGACGCCCGGGCGCTTTCAAAGTTGGATGCTCGTGACCTTCGGTATCACGGAGCATTTCCTGGCGATGCACCGATGCCTCTTGCATTCCATCGGCAAAGTAGCCGGGATCCTCGCGAAGAGCCCACAGATGATCTTCTCGTGCGTTACGCTCAGCCGACGCTATAGCCTTTAAGCGGGCGAAATCTAGATGAGCCGGCATACGGTACGGAGCTTCGAGGGCGATGATCTGTAGCGACGTGACATCTCCCAGAGTTGGTGGTGGCCCGGGGTTGAGGAGAACATCGCCTTCGGTTTGAGAAGGTACGTCTTGGAGTACACTCTTGGACCACGTGACGAGGAACGCCCAAATACGTTGTTGTATCTCCAAAGCCTGCAGGCCATGACCGGGGTGCATGCCGATTTCGTTGGTCATATCTTCAAAAGCGTCCTCTTCGTCGTCCCAGGAGATTAGATCGCCATATTCATCGGCGGTTTCGCCCCTATGAAAGTACATGGTGTATCCGTTCAGAAAGGCTGGCACAGTCGTACCGCTGGCTTTACCAAGTGCTGCTTGTTCGAGATCCGAGTGGACAAATGCTCTAGGATGATATCTACCGCGAAAATGGAGCAGAAGCAACACTGTGTTACGTTGGGCGAGGTCTTCGAGGTTCATGTACGGCCACAAGTAAGCTTCCCTCCATTCTAAACGTTGACGCCATGCTTCAACATCTGGTCGGTGGTGGGTTGACATATTCGGCCAGGCCTCCAACAGCAACTTCTTCTTCTGTGAATTGGACTTCTTGCTCCATCTCGTGCGTATTGTTTCCTCGTGGCGTTCAACAATCTTCTTGAGGGTTGCATAGTCCTTGTAGAGCTCTGTCGCAAGTTGCTGTGCGTCCCGGCGTACATCGTCGGAGGATGGAAACGAGCCTGGCATAGGCAGATTCGGAGGCAGATTCTGAAAGAGCTTGGACATGTTCGTGATTGTGGTATTCAGCGCCAATGCCTGACCCGCGTTGTATTGTGCAAACTTGAGTTGGGCAGGATTAGAGGTGCTACAGACGCCGGGGAGCGGGGTTCTGGGTATCACGATCTGCCCCACTTAACATGGCGTTGTATAAATAGAGGGCATTACCACAGTAGATTTGCCCTGTGCTGCTTTGGAAGCGCGCGGCAATACATCGCATCTTTGCTTGCGAACAATCCCGCACGGTGCGCGACAAGTTCCTAGAGCGCTGCGCCTGCAAGATCGTGCATAATCGGTACGCACCGGAGCGTGAGCGCTGGTTGTCAAGGATTGCCAAGATCGCGAACTGCAGAGCATCGCCCAATTTCGTACGGCGGCAGAGCCATGTACAGGTGCACAGAGTCTTTGTGTTGGCTGTAATCAGTCATCATCGGGACATGCTTCTTCCGCATGATTCGTGGGCGGTAAGCGGTAGCCGATGATGATCCTGACGTTCCAATCAACAGCGTCGTTTGCGCGTTCTGGGGTCCGTTTGCCCTGCTTCGGTAGCGGCAACTCGTAAGAATCACACACAATCGCGCGACAGTATTATTGTCATAATTTGAAGAGTGCGCTGTGAGAATACGACATCACAGCAACGAATACACACAGTTCTTAAGCCTCGACAAAAACGTTCTGACGCCGCCTGCAGTTTGTACCTCATCGCTGATTCAAGCGGCCATGAAACTGATTGGCGGACAAATGTATGCAGCCCTCCGTCGATTTGTGCAGTACTCAACTCAATTAACTTAGTGATGCGATCTGATTGGAAGATCATGCTTTGCTTATCTTTACACTGATACGACAACCACGCAGCTGTCTCTGTCGTCAGCAGCTCCTATGCCTTATGAGTTATGATCAAACACTCTCGGCGATAGATAGAAAGCCAAGTTCTATCTGCGGTCATTGTTGCTGACAATGTTTCTGTGGCACGCAATGACGGGTCTTGTAAAACTGATGATCATGACATAGACGGTCGCAAGAGGTGACATTTCTTCCTTCTTTAGCTTGACGATGATGATGATTAAGCTATGCTGACCGTCAGTACCTCCGCGCTGAGCACATCGTGCTGACCCTTGTGCTGTGCTGACGATGGCGCTTACCGTCAGCATCCTTCCAATGGTAAGCGTCGCCCTGATAAAGCTAATCCTAACTGTATCATTGCTCTCGTTGCCACTTTGTCTGCGCGGCTCCTCCGCCAGGCTTTGTAACCACAGGTCCGCACAACGTGGAATAATTCATGTCTGTATACATGCCCTGGTTGCGGCACCCACGAAGCGGTCGTTTATGGCAAAGTCGTCAACAAACGATATTAGCATAACAATATCGGTTTGCTTGGGGTCTATTTGAGTTAATCAACTGTCTATTTTACTTTAACTCTTACTATATTGGGTAAGCGGCACCTCTGAGAGTGAATATGTTTTGTTTGTTGACAGCTCTGGTTTATGGACACCAAGATACACTTGAAATCCCAAGAAGCCATGCCACTCCCGACTAACTATCCTATACTCCGTGCTACGCATCTTGATATGACTTGGCGCATCTTGGAGGCCCCTGGCGTATACTGTACCTGCAACCCAAGTACCATGGGTTGCTTGTTCGTCTACAAGCTTCTTATCGACCCCATAATCCCTCTTGAAGCCGCCACTCGAGAGATGTTGGTGCGCAATCGCGATCGCAATGTGGCGATACACCAAGATACTCAGCGGAGTTTCTAAGTGAGCTCTTCCTTCGCGGCTGAGTACGCCCGTTAGCCTACTTGCTTTCCAGCTCTCAGTTTTGCTTACAACGAAGGTGGCATGTCTGTCAGGGCACTCACGTCGGTGACATGTCAGACTAATTGTTGGGTCTGCATGTCTCTCCCAACCAGCGTTACCTGAGTAAAGGCTTTCCTTTTTTCCCGGATTGGAGTACTGGAAAAGGCACTCATGATCTCTAGGGCTCTGAATCGTTTGTGTAGAGAGCATGCCTGTTGAGATTCCATGGCATGTTGAGGGCGACGATCCAGGTCAGACATTACTCCGGATGAGGCAAGATATGACGCGAAAAAGAGAACATATGGAGATGTTCTCTCCGCGCATTCATTCAAAACACAATTTTTGGATCTGATCAAACATTTTCGGGTTGACATCTGAGCGCAGCCGGTGTCACGGGCTTGCGTAGGTAGCGATAGATAGTCTGAGAAGAGCGAATGGAGCTTGGCCGCGTTGAGGGTTTAGCGTGTGTATGAGCGGTTCTAAGCTTATTGCTCTTGAGATCAGCCTCTGACCTTTTGTTGTGTCATCTCAGTACATGGAACATAATCAAGATTCGGCTTATTGACAACGCGCACGATATCTCAGTAAACGAGACTCGTCGGATACAGTCTGACAAGCTGTAGACCACGCATACACTGCTCATCCGTACCGAATCGAATCAAGGACCTAACAAAGACTGGCTAACATAGCTTCATCCAAGATACTGGGAACTGAAATGGCATAGTACAAAATTGCAGAACCCTGAGGATGCACAGGCCTCTCTCGCCACTAGTCTCCAACAGCATGCTGCCTTGCGAGAGCAATAGACATGTCTTGCAAGTACTCGTCTTTGTGGTATTGCGGTCGAGGCGTGTTGAAAACCTTTACTGTCGTCTCTCGCTTTCCTTGCCAAGCGAGTCGTCTAGCATCTCGCTTATGCTTTTCAAGGGTTTCCTGATCGGTGAACGTACGACCGCACATACAGACAAGACTGGCTTCTAAAGGCCTGGCCCGAGTCGACACTGAATCTAGATTCAGAGAAGCGAGGGAGTAAAGTAAAGAGTCGTCTACTGGTTCGTTTCGAGCTGAGGGTACTATCGAGAGTATTGAGGACGGAATCATCCCGGGTACTGACGTATAAGCTGGAGGAACCGAAGTTGGGGGTAAATGTAGAGCCTTGAAGGGTACCGAACCCGGTGTTGTGATCTTGAACCTAGGCTCAGACCTAGGCTTCCCTGTCAGGTGGGTCTTCGAATATTGCAGATGCTTGTTCAGCAGCTTTTCTTTCGCAAAGCTCTGTCCACAAGGACACCGGATCGTCGTCTTCATAGTTTCCGCAGGAGATATGAGATACTCCCCTGCTGTCGATGCAGAGGCCGCATTTAGTTCTAACTCCATGACCCGGCCTGGATCTGATAAAGCCGAAGGCATGTTCATCTGTCGTTCCCACGTTGCAGGGCAGCATCCGTGTTCGGGAAATGCGAGAGAACGATTCGACACAGTGTCAGACATACTGACTGCAGGCTTTTGCGATGGAGCTGGAATTGGAGCTGTGGCTGGGACGATAGTAGTACTTCGATTGATGCTTGAGGGTTTGTGTGTTACATTTCTCTTCTCCAGATGGGTTGTGCAGTGCTCTTTGTGCTGCAGATACGCCATTGCATCCTCGAAACTCTTTTTGCAAGGGCACCGAACCTCGATTGTGCATATCCTTTCTGCTGCGTCTGTCATTCTGGACATCTGGGCAGAACAAGGTGATGTGAGCTGTAAGTGGCTGACTGGAGTTAGATGGAGTGGGCCAGGGCTTCGCTTATGGTGAATTCGCCAGCAAGGGTGTCCCGCTCCTAGGTAAGCGCTGGTCAAGGCCGGGCCACCTGCAGCGTTCAACATGCGAGCAGTGTAGCGCGCAGAACCTGCTACTGTACGACATTCGTAGCACCGCACTTTGTCTGTGTCCTGTGCGCTCTCTCAGCACTCCGTACCTTGACATTTAGCGCACAATCGCAACTTTGATGTCCCCTGAGCACTCACGCTGATGAACTACAATGCATGGAATGCACACATAGAGTAGATAGGAATGCATACAGCTAGGATAACTTTGAAGCAAGAGGTCACGCTCAAGGACTCCTTCTTAATCCGTAGAGTTCTAGATGTTGTCAGCTGAACATCAAATCGTCGTGCATATCTCCCTTCAACTCTGCGCTAGGCGAGCGCGGCTGAAATCGAGGAGGAGTGGAGCAACCAATCAACGCCCTACGCAAAGATCATACCTATGCGAGTCTAGGTTGTGACACAGGTCGCTGCCGCCATAGTTTAGCCACGCACTACATGACGCCGTGAGCGCCTGCAGTAGCGTCATGACGGATTTTGGTCAAGTTAAACGACTAACGTTACAGTCGACGCTTCCAGACAGGCTTTTTAACAGCTTGAATTATGACACAGCAGCATGTTGAGCGGACCAAAACTCAATCATATGCGATAGTAGCCAGTACACAGCTTCAACACGATACTTTAGAGTCATCTGATGGGTTGGTCATCACGCAGATGTAGTACATGTTCAGCCCATGCTTTGCGTCACATATCATGCAACAACCTGCAAGTCCACGTATCGCACTATACCTATTATGTATCACATACTAGGAAATTCCATTCTCGAAACTTGTCCCGCAAGGACAGCGAACCTCGACTTTGCGGATTGTCCATGGGGAGCCCTTCATCTCGTCCTTCGCGCCGGAAGAAGAGAGCTTTCGAGTAGATGTAGGCGAAAGGCGAGGGCTCGATTTTCTCAGGACAGGGTTTCGATACTCACTTTGTTATCGCCTGCATACTCCCGCTTCTGACGATGGGCAATGCGGGGAAGCTGCCAGCAAGGGTGCCTCGTCCCGCCCGATTGCCTCATTGTTCTGCTGGATTTCATCTGTACGTGCATTCGTCGTGTGTTGCGCAACTATGACACCGTAGGAGCTTCACTCCGCGGCATGCCGTTGGGCGCTCCGCAGCTACATTGAAGTACTATCCGCCAATAATGCGACGCCACGAGTCAGAGCATGTATTGCTGTGCAACACGCATTTGGTCCAGCTAATGTACAGCCAATAATGTAGCAACAGGTCGCGGTAGTGACATCCGATTGCATTCGTTGCACTCCGAGTCTGTATAGATACTGAGTCGTGGTGATCAAAGCATCATCGGAGAATGGCCCCCCATTGAAGATCGACCGAGTTACTCCTTTTTCGCGCTCCACCATATCAAACGTTCGGAAGGACGAAATGAACCCAACACCAGAAGGCTTTGCAACAACAGTAGACCTCCTCCGCAATGCCCTCACCAGAAAGATTGCTATTGATTGCGAGATGATGCAGGCCAACATCGGCCAGGTCCTCGGTCGCGTCTCTATCGTGAACTATGAGGGTCAGACTGTCTTTGACACCTTTGTGTGCTACCCTGAACCAATCAAGATCACAAACACACATCAAGAGTATTCGGGCATCAATTGGAACGACATCGACCCGAAAAACGGCGCGCAACCATTCTCTGAAGTCCAGACCCGACTGGTTGAGCTTCTCCATGACCGCACTGTCATTGGCCATGACATACAAAAAGATCTAAGAGCCATGTCGATGGACCTGCCTGCTTGCGTCTCAAAGCTTCAGGGTGTTCCTCGGTTCGCAACTCCTATCGTCTTCGACGTAACAGTCCGCGACACACAGAAATATAGTGGATACCGAAAGTATGCCAATCGCGGCGCCCATCAGGGGCCGAGTCTTAAGAACCTGTCTCAGCAGGTGCTAGGTCGTCCGATAAAGCAGGGTCGGGTCTCCAGCGTAGAGGACGCTCGCGCAACTATGGAAGTTTATCGCAATGCTGAGGTAGCTATCGACCAGGAGCAAACTACGGAAGGCACTCGCGTCACGAAGTAGCAATATGAAACACTTAACATCACCCACCATTGAACGGATCACACCACTGAACGGATCACCTTTGCCAAGACCCTTCCACCACCCACCATCTATCATAATGCCACAATCACCTGATCTTGAGGCGCTCCCTTGAAAAAACAGGATGGTCTTTGCTATTCAAATCATGAAACTCGACGCTTCAATAAGCCAGCGACGCGCTGCTGCTGTATAAAACGTTTTTCGAAGCACCCAACACGCCCGATCTATTGGTCGAACTTCACGACGCGACATCCACCACGGCCAATCAAAGCTTTCAAAGCATGAAGATGAGACATTCATACAATACATAAGGAAGCTTGACGTGCGAGGATCTGCCCTTACGTTTACCAACGTACGCAGTATGGCCAATCAGCTGCTGGCTGCACGTGGTAGTGGCGAGGTTGGGTATACCGTCTGATCAACCGGAGATCCGATAACGTGTTTTATAAGCGGGTAAGCATTACTAGCGAATACGCACCCCACCAACTTTCTGCAACGCGTGAACTCCTAACTGTCTTGATACCCCCAACTACAACCCAGCCAGCTTCTTATGAGGCTGATATACACCTTGTCATATCAGCTCTTCAGCAAAACCAATTGCAGAGTGGGGCAGTCGCCGCACAATCGGTCGATGTCTCTCAAAATACGCTCCACCGCAGGCGCGCTGGCAAGCCTGCCCGACGCCATTGAGGTGAAAGACCAATTAGACTTTCTCATCGGGGATTTCGACACTAGACGTTCTGGATAGCAAGAGCGGCCTAGTAGTACTGAATGCTCATAACAAGCGCTGAACAATGTTTGTTCGTTCTAATTACTCTAACTTATATCGTTTGACGAGTTTTGATACGAATCAAAGAGCACAAATTCAATAGCGGCTCTGAGTCGCCTCCAGACCTATTCTTCATCATGGAAGAATTCTGTCATTCACAGGAAACGACGCACAAAAGTAGAATGAGCTTTCAAGTAGTGACAGCTTTGGTGCAAGCCACTATCAGGATAAGAGTGACGGTCGGCACAAACGAACTCAGACGACGCTGACAATTGTCGGAAGATCCTAGAACGGCTTATGTTCGAGTAAGTCCTCAGACTCAGCAGGAGTATGAGCACCGTAAGCGCGTCCAAAGTCCGCTGGTAATCGGTATCACCGTTGTGGTTATCATCAAGAACATCGAGTAAAGATGCTCCACCAAGCAGTGTAATACTCAGTGTGTTACTGGGACTCCACGTAGTACCTCATGTGATCAAGCTGAGGTGTCTCGAGTGAATCTATCGTTCGTCCGGAGCTCGGAGCATGTGGTCGCCACAGAAGAGATAAAAGCCATGTGGCAACCCAGAGATATTGCACAATGCTGCGACAGTATAGCTCGGTATAGAACAATTTGCTGGTCATCAGTCGTCTCAATCATGCCGTCGTTTCCGTACCCGTACCCTTTCTCCTCGAGAATAGATAAGGCGCTTCCAAGGGAAGAAGAGCGGCTGGTAAATAACAGACGAATAGAGATTATAAGGCAGACAGAGTATGCCATGCTGAGAGGTATATCTTTCTCGTGCTCTTAATCCATCAGTATTGATCAGAGCAGGTATCACCTACCTCGACCATGGAGGGACGACGCTAGCGAGCAAATCGCTCATGGACTCTTTCTGCACGCAGATGAAGGCTTCGATCCTTTCTAACCCTAGAAAACCTATACACCTAACCTAACCTAACCTAGTATATAATGCTCCGGTGATTTGGCCCCTCAAACATCTTTATTAGGCAATCGCACACCCTGCCCCAAATCTGCATGCATGCAACGCGAACCAGGTGCTAATTCTCTCCTATTATAGTCTAGCGTAGCGGCACCCCTTAATTTACGTGCTTTTAGTCTAGCGTAGGTTCTAAGAAACATTACTACTAGCAAAGCTATCCCTACCTACAGGCAACCGCTTTTAGATTCTGTTAGTAACTGTATCTAAAGTGTAGAAATAGCAGCAGGCTAGATCGTGTCGACGCTAGCATCTATTGCTAACTATCTTGTACACAATGTTAGTTGCTAATCCGCCAAGGTTGCTACCTAACCCCTATAGAAACATGAGTCAACTGCTCTAGACTATGTTACATTTATTGCTAGTAAGAACGTTATCGTCTACACTCCCTGTTGCACTGCTGTACCTATTACTAGTTTAGACACTCACTTACAAACGTGCCACTATGTGCCTTCTAAGCTATGGCAGACGACAATAGCTCGATTTAACGGCGTGCCTGCTGCCTAATCCTTTAACGACCTAGTCCCTCGCTAAGATAGATCTGCACCGCTTTCCTATCTCTCTTTACCTATGCCTAGATTTTGTTGTCTACACTGCACAAAGGGAAAGACTATTAACTAGGATCAAATGCGACGGCATGCAAAGGCAGACCACAACATTAATACTCCTAAGTGCTTTTAAGATCAACCTTAGTACAAGTGTCACCTGCAGAGCTAGACGAAGTACTCGCCCAAGTACTAGGCAGTTAATCTAGACGATAGCTCTAGCTAGCATTATAGCGAGGACCAAGCACACTATATAAGCAAAAGCGAGCAACTAGCACGAGTAGAGGACAAAGAAGAAGAACAACGCTTTAATAATAAGCCTGCTGCTGTGGCTCTAGATGCACAGCTTAAGCACGACAAGAACACAGAATAGCTTCGAGGCTGCAAGTGGCCCGCATAGTTTGCTCACAAGCCTATCTACATTATTGTCGCAGCTGCAGCGCTGCCGTCCGCAAGGACGTCGGAAGATCTCGTACTAGGCCTCTAGAATAGATTCGAATGTGTAAGCCCAGCACAGACAGAGAGAATCATCTAGAAGATACTAGAGGCAAGCAAGACTATTTTCTAACGATGCGAAGCAACGCTTAAGTAGACTCCGCGTGTTTTACGTTGCTAGCTGCGCAGCTAGACACCTTCTTTCCTTCCTTACCCTTTTAAGCTACCTTAATGCAAATAGACCTAGCGAAGGTACTACTCTATCTATAAGCAGTTTCTTTGCTACATCTTCCGAGTCCTAGCACTATCGCGTAATCTAAAGAAGTCTACAAAAGATATCTCTAGGCTACAGCTAACTATAGCTTAGCTAGCTATAATAAATTATATCTAGAACTATGTCACTATTGTTAGCTAGCAGGCAGACCTTAGAATCCTGCTTTAGTTATTACTAACTAGCGTCTATAAAAATCTCTTCTAACTTCTTATTATGTTCTAGACAGATCTGTTATATAATAGGAATATAAGTTATAGTGCTATTATAAACTTCTCTAGCGTTTTAGAAATCTATCTAGCAGAATTATATTTTTATAAACCCTACAATTATACTCTGTTTATATTAGCACTCCTATAGGTTAGATAGCTAATTATACTTAAGTATGCCCTCCTACTTACACTATATAACTATCTTAAGACTTCCTAGCCTACGCATATAGCCTACCCTAACTAAGCATAGCGACTACGTAAGCATATACAACCTAAGTATCTCTAATAAGGAAGTCTCGCACTAGCTAGTTATCTTATTAAACAACTCTAGCATAGAAGAGCAATTACTAGGCGCAAGGGCCCTTAAACTAATATATCCTAGTCTTTAAATAGCTTAATACTATATATCGCAGATATATAAATCTAGATGCGTTACTTCTACAAAACTATATATAACGTTATAGTTAGATTACAAAGTCTTGCATAAGAACTCCTTTTTAGGTAGTAGCTAGAAGTTTAACTCGATACTATATAAGACAATCTTATAACCTACTACCTAGAGTTTTTATTTCTAGCGCACCTAGCTAATAAACTTTAGGGATCCTTTCGCGCTTTAAATAAAATAGCGTTTTTAAAGTAGAGCAGGTTTTCCTTAGAGACTAGAAAAGGTAGAATAAAGTAGAAGTAGTATCTAAACTAAAGCAACAATTTTATATATCTCCTTTACGCAGCAATGCATATAACATCTAGCATACTAGCATATAGAGAAGAGTTTAGAGTACTACGCTAGGCTAACACTATCTCTATATAACAAAACATCTTTATCTATAAAGGAAGCATAATACTTGTCTTTATATACAATAAAGCAAACACTAACACTAATAACTTATTCTATATTATGCGCTCTCTCTACCCTCTAGTATAGTAGATCCTTTACTTATACCTTATTTATATTAGCCTATTCTATAGTCTTATTAGCTAAGATCTAGAAGTATAATTAAAGAACTTAGCTAACCCTCACTTGTTTAGCACACACAAGAGTATAGTAGTATGCTTCTCCTTAGACTAGGCCTACTCGAGCTTATAAAAATCAATAGCTATATATATTACTCTAACAACTACTAGCCTATATAGGTAAACTGCAATAAGCATTGCTAAGAAGCACCTCCTAAGCCTTGTTACTATATTTAACCCTAACACACCTAAGGATTATAATAGATTTCTTTAGCTCCTTACTTTCTAAACAGGTTATAGGCCTATTATATATGCTAGTATATACGCGCTTAAGCATAGCTTTCCTACTAAACTCTAGCTAGACCTAATTAACCGCTACCTTATAAACAGTTATATATAGCACAAGTTTACCTTAACCTAAGAAGAAGACATTCTAGATTATAGTCTAGCAATTATATATAATACTCTAAGTTAAAACTTATAGGTTAGCTACTACCTAGATAATATCGCTATAGGAACCTTAAAGTATGTTATACCTAAGATAAGTAATAAAGAGTTCTTAGACAAACCCTCTATATAGACTCTAGAGCAAAGGCAATAAAGAGGGACTAAGCAACGTAGAGAAAGTAAGAGTCTTAGCCCTCTAATAAGAAAAATCTATACTATATAGCAGTAATTAGACAATCTTATTAAAAAACGCGCAAGGTTAAGGAAATTATAAGTTTTAGGGCAACGCAATAGTCGCATCTTTATAGAAAATAATTTAGAAAAAGGGGTAGATCCTAGCAATAAGGAGGATAAAAGGATACTTTAGGCAAG